AAAAAAAGTCGCAAACAAACAAATGGCGCATCAATGATGTGGCGAGGAGAAGAACCAACTGCCAACTGCGAGCTAACAAAGTCGTAGAACGTTCTTCGTGCGTGACTGTTTTAACGTTAAAAGACTAAAAATATAATTTTCAATTCTCAACGTTACCTCAACGGTTTCCACTGGTCGACGGTTGCGCCAGGCCGACGCCTCTGAACTTCCAAACTCAATGTCAAACAAGGTAGATCTGCTTCCAGAGAGCGACTATAGGCAATACATCATAGCTCAAAGTCATCTGCACCTACTCCAGTTATCTCGCTGAACCATTCGGTGGCCCCTCGAATTGCCCATCTATCGTCCAATTTTAGTTTTCGGAACAGCTTTGGCACAGCACTCGAAAAAAGCCGGTGACCCATCAGATCATTGTCTTTTTTTGTACTATACATCTCTTTATTGGGTTCCTCCTTAGCGGTCTTGTCTTCATAATAGTCCATTCATAAATATTCATATCTGTTCATAAAAATGAAACGAAAAAGCGGAGACGTAAAAAAAGGCAAAAGTTATTGGACTCCAGAAGAGGATGAAGCTCTTTTGAAGGCTGTTCAAGATGATCAGAATCGAAGAGATGCTGATGCCGAGGAGGACGAAGATTGGGACGAAATTGCAAAGGAGGTGCCAGAAAAGACACCTGTGCAGTGTCTGAAGCGGTACATGGCCCTCAGTCAAAAAAAGGAGGCCAAGGCATCATCGCCAACTCCAAAAGACGATGGAGATGATGACTATGACGAGGAGGAGGGCGAAGACGATGGAGATTCCGATGGCCAGTCAGCAAAGAAGCAAAAGTCTACCTCCAAAGATAACGATGGTTCGGGGAAATGGACACCTGATGAAATTGAGCTTTTGAAAAAGCTCGTAGAGCATTACAAAGACAGTAAGTTATCTCAAGTCTCTTTTTAGTTGATGAGGAATACTTTTCTCACAACACTTTTCATAGCTGCACCACGTTGGAATGAAGTTGCTGCCAACTTTGAGAATAAAACAGCCATTGACTGTCTCACCAATTGGCAGACGATCACAAATCCACCTGTGATCAAGGGGAAAGGTTCATGGACAGCTGAAGAAGATGCTATTCTCCGGGAAAAGCGTCAGCAATACGGAAGAAAGTGGGCGAAGATTGCCGCTCACTTGCCTGGGCGACAAGGGAAACAATGCAGGGAACGCTTTGTGAACCATTTAGATCCAGAATTGAAAAAGGGGGAATGGACTGACGATGAAGAAGCAATCTTGATAGCTATGCACGAGCATCACGGAAATCGATGGGCAAACATTTCCAAGCAGCTTCCAGGCCGATCCGATAACGACGTTAAGAACCACTGGTATTCTACTATCCAGAGGAAGTTTCAACAGCATGGAAAAGACGTAAGTGATAAGATTGATGGCCTGTGGATATCATCCTTCAATGATTGTGATGATGCAAACTCACCCCAATGATTTCCCATTGCCAAATACAGAAATTGATTCAAGCTGCCCTTCAGCAGGTGCAAATGATGCAATCAATGGGAACTCTCCCAAGCCAACAGTCGTTACCTGCTTCACAGTGGCCAACCGGTCCTTATAACCAAGCAACTTCTGGTCATCCCCCACCTCCTCCATACGGCCATCATCCATCTATGCACCAACCATACCCACCACATTCTCCGGGCACCGGAGCATACCCGTACCCACCACCACCACCACAAGTAGCGCAGGGTCAACATGGGCAACACCACGCACCGCCTGGCGTAGCTCCTGAGGGTGGCCAATACATGTACCACCCTCCTCACCCTTCGCATCCTCACATGCCCCCTCCACATCCATACTATCATCCCCACTATCCTCCTCCAAGACATGGCGCACCAATGCACCAAGGTCAAGGGTCCATTGCAGGAAGGACAGGTGGTAGTTCTGGAGTTGAGGCATCGCCCGGCGGAGATGCGAAGGGGTCTGATCCTTCAGATTCCACACAGAAAGAAAATGAAGCCTCCAGCGACTATCCTGCTGGCGCTCCTGGATACATGCCACCAATGGCATCGTCTCCACGAGGGGATGGTAGTAACTCTGCCAATGCTTCACCACAGAAAACGAATCCAACCGAATTGTAAAAAAGAAGGGGCAAATCATCATTCGTACCAGTTTATAATCAGTATCACACAAGAAACCCTCATGTCCATGTCACAGTTGGGAAGAAAGTGACGCGCATGAGGTAGTCAAGTGTACCGCAAATGTACATGCATATTCTGCCGGATTTCCGCAGATTTCATCATGTCAATTGACTTTATATGTTCGTATCATCATAATAAATATCAAAGAAATAATAATAAAACAAATTACTTGTCTCAATTATGATTATCGTCCACGAGGACCGCCACGCTTCGGTGGTGGGAAGGTCAACGGTGTCTTCAATATAGCACTCATTATCGGACCCTTCTTTGCAACTGTGCAACCAGCTAGCCGTAACATGTTACCGCAGTCGTTGAGAGGAACTTTCATGTCGTCTGCAATCTTTTTCACATTGCCAATTTTCATTGATGGTCCATGGGCGATCATGTAAAGTACAAGTGCGTGGACAATACACTTGTCTTTGTCTGTCTTGGACATTGCGTACGAAAATTTGCCACTCTTATTTTGCATTTCAGTTGTGAAAAGCTCCAGGAACTTCGATGCAACTTCATTGGGGATGCCAAAGTGCGAGGAGCTCTTTTCGTCGATTGGAGCAATAGATTTTCTTCTATTGTTTGCAATAAAAAAGTTGATAAGGTGATTCAATAGAATGGTGCATGCGTATCTATGCCCAGCATTGTTTGAATCTGGTGTAATCTCTCGGACGAGTTTCAGTGTACAGTCGTGCCATGCTTTTTCCTTGTCCCCAAGGCACTCTTCGATAGCACTGGTAACATCCGCTTGGTGAGTGCAGTAGTGCACCGTGTTATAGATTTTCGACCATGCCGTTTCACCGGCAATTTCCTTTGCCTCATACACTTTGTTCGGTTTCACAGCAAGCTCATTGTAAGGAGGAAGAAAGTTGCGACGAAGGGTTTCAAAAGCAATTTCTTGAGCCAGATTATGATCTTTGTCCCCCTTCTTGCTTGCTTCGACTGCTTTTCTGTTGCTCTCACTCATCGCTTCACCCTTCATGACCTTGTCAACAACTGCACTGCCTTGACCTGCACCAAACACATGATCGATTTCAACCCTGTTAGCAGCTTGAGACCTCAGAACCTTGCGCTTTTTGGAGCTTCCAAAATCTTCGTAAACATTTGTTCCATATGAAAGAACATCCTCGATGGTGCGTGTTTTGATTACTTTATTGTGCTCCAAGTAAGATGGAACTGTTTGCTCCAAAGCAAAGACGGTCCCTTTTGTTGCCGCTTGCTTAAGCACAAGAACTCCTTTCTTTTTGTCGTATACTCCCACGCAAAGTTTCGTGCGACGATCGTCAAACAGAGATCCTTTCGCTGATGCAGTGTATATGCAGTGCTTATCTTTTCCGACAATCTTGCGACTGGAGGATAACTTCTCATATTTTTTCTGCCAGGAGAATTTCGGCGCCACATTGTCTGAACCTCCGCTATGTATCGACTCTGGTAAACCAGAAGGGAAGGATACTACAACTGGTTCGTCGACTGCATTAGTGTCTTCGACGCGGACGCTGACTTTTTGCTTGGTCATGGTTTGTTGCTTTCGTGTATTGCTTGCATGTTTTCTGTACAAAACCTGATGGATTTGTGAATGTGAGTATCATAACCTGATAAATTGCTCAGTCATACGAGTCGTAGATGAGAACAAAAAAAGATGCGAAGATTGATCGAAGAAACGTCACTATCTTGGAATGTCAATGATGTTGCCACGATTACGCCGTCTAAACAAACATGTCAGGGTTCATCTCAGGAAAACATCAAGACGATTGGACTCCAATGTCAGTGGATCAAGTTCTGGAGGTGGTCCGGACAATGCGTTCGTGAAAGGAATGGGAATCGGTGTAGGTGCAGGTGCGCTCGGATCGCTTGCGGGGTTGGGCGGAGGGTTCATCATGATACCTCTGATGACCTCCAGGCTACTGCGATTATCACAGCATCAGGCGCATGGAAGCTCCTTATTTGCTATCACAACAACTGGTCTGGCCGGTGCGCTTGGATATTCAGGTCACGTGGACTTGGAAGCTGCTGCTGCCATTGCATGCACGGGAATTGTGACTGCAAGATTCGGAGTAAGGGCAATGTCTGCCATGCCTGAAAAAATGCTAAAGAAGTCACTTGGTATGTTGATGATTGGAGTTGCCCCCCTGGTACAGGCCAAAACATATTTCATGGAAGCAGGATCCAAAAAAACTGCGGGAGAAACGGCAGATAAGGAGAACACGGCGGCACGGCTCTATGTACCGGCTCTTATTGGCTGCTTTTCTGGATTCGCATCTGGTTTGTTTGGTGTTGGGGGCGGCGCTATCGTTGTTCCAGCCTTGACTGTGTTTACAGATATGGACCATTATGCAGCCTTGGGAACAAGTCTATGTGCCATGGTTCTGCCCGCAATGTCAGGTACGTACGCGAACTACCAAAAGGGATTTGTATGCATGCGGACAGCTCCAGGACTTGCTGTTGGTGCCTTCATCGGTGCTTACTTGGGTGGGCGACTCGGTTCATCTATCGACGAGACGCAACTGAGGTGGGGGTTCTCTTCCTTAATGCTGGTTCTTGGGACTCGAACTCTGCTCAAGTAGAAGATTCATGAATCTTCTACTAGTGTAATCTGGGAAGCCTTATAATATCTTTGTACCTACTATTTGTGAGGTAAACTTTACAGAACCTACCTATGTTTGGCTTCGTGATTGATCAAGTGACGAGTATGCGATCCTAATTTACAATCGACTCGCTCGAAGACATTTTGGTAGCCTTAAATACCGTACTGAAACTACGTATGAAAGCGCGTAGACAAAAAATGAAAGAGTCACAATTAATAATGATCGGCTGCAGTCTGTCCGTAGTATTTCCTAGTACTTTTGGTCGTAGGATATTCCAACGATAGCAAGCGGAACCAACTCTCAGCACCTCGACAGCAGCTTGCCTAGGTATTCAAAGGAGCTTGTACTCTAGTATCTGGCATCTGGAAGCGATATTAGTTTAGATTCGAGGAATGAACGCAAAGTGAAAAGGTCTTACATTGAAGGTTCGAATTTGGATCGTCGAAAGCAGACCAAAATCCCACACAAAGCAGAGTTTGTTGGCTCTCTTTGACTGCTTGTATTGGAATCAAAATGAAATTAGGAAAGATCTTCAGACGGAAGAGGAAAGACAAACGGGACAATTCGAAGAAAGATGCGTCAAATCGTGGTACTGCGGAAGATGAAGAACCCATACGGTCATCAGTAGTAGCGAATAGAGGATCTTCTGAATTTCCATCATTTGCAGCATCATCACAAAACTCCGTTGACAGAGGAGAAACAGGAAGCAACGGACATCGCAGTGTTTCACAAGAAGCTCCCCCGAGCCGTGCTGCGAACGAGGATACACATGGCAGTGAAAGCGAGGATGTAGTATCTGAGATGGTAGCAAAATCAACAGGGGGAGGGAAGCGGAGAATCAACAAAGGTGTCCCAGATTCCTTCAAAGGGCTCAGCGTCAGCCATCGTTTTAATGTTCCGCAAGTTGAGGAGGATCCGGAAGTTGTCAGAGAAATTAGTGAAGCATACGATGGTATTCCAGAGATTGAACAGATACGTCTGCCGAGGGGAGGAATCAGTATTGACACCAAGGCTGTTGGTCGCATTCAGGTAAGCATTTCTCCTTGAAACATTGTAGCCTCCTGCGGTCTACTAACGTTTCAATTCAAAGTTTGGAATCCCACCTGAAACCATCAAGGATAGTATGAGACTTGGAATTCCTGTTCCACAAATATATATTGTGCCAGCTGAGAGATTCTGTAGGGAGATGGGTCCTGCTCTTGGAGTCAACCTTGCAGAGTTTGAGTTTCCTGGATATTTCAACTTTTTCATATGCAAACAGAAATGCATGATGATCGTAGATTCACAAGATGCACAAGACAAAATCTGCAGTGTATTATCAGAAACTTTGCTGGGTCCTGGTGAGTTCCTAGGTGAGAATCCGAGAACTCACAATGAAGAGGACTTTGCACCCGATTTCCCTAGGGATGCCATTCCGAACTTCCAGAAAGAATTGGAGTATTTCCGGAAGATGCCGGACGGTTCCGAGCTTGCGGTGACCGCAATCTATGATTTTTGTCATTTCAAAATTCCTGAACATGGTTCCACCCACGCGGAGCTCGGTGTACCGCCAATAAAGTCGTCCGGCGATAAGAAATCGGAGGGCCGTTGGTTTGGTAAGAAGACATGTTTTGATTTCTTATCGTATCTGGAACAATCTGGTGATTAAGCTAACTCATCGGACTTCAATTGACTTGATTACAGGCGATGTTGCAACAGTTTGGCCTCTAAAAGCAACAGAGGAGCAGAAGAAAGAAAGAAGCGTTCCGAGAGTCGAAATTTTCAAAATGGCCAGTGGTCTTGAGTATATTATTCACGACATTGACGAGAACAATCACATCATTGGAAGAGCAAGATTCAATGGTCACATCAAGGTATCTGAAATGATGAGCGTGGAGGGTTTCAGTGGCTCCAAAGCTCATGATTTCACAAAGAAAGAAAGTACAGACGAGGATGACAGTGTTTCTTCATCAGAAGGCTTCGGATCACCAATGAGTTCGCTAGGACCACCATCCTTTCATCCTCCTTCATTCGGGGTTACCACGCTAGGGAACTCCCACGGGTTTGACAAGAGTGGATCAACCTCAGGCTATGTGCTTTGGGTTAATGGCCGTGGAATCATGATTGATCCTCCGCCATACTCATCAGCTACTCTTGAGCGAGAAGGAATTAGACCTCGAACTATCGTTGGTATTATTCTGACACATTGCCACGCTGATCATGATGCAGGAGCTTTTCAGAAAGTTCTAACTGGATCTCCCGTTGTGGTGATAACAACTCCTACGATTTACAAGAGTTTTATCCGGAAGTACGCGGCGCTTGCATCAGTAAGCCCCGCTCTATTGCGACACTGTCATCGTTACAAACCAGCGATTGTTGGTGAAGCTCTGAGATTTCAGGGTGCAAACTTCCGATTTCAATACTCGCTTCATGCGATTCCGTGTGTTGGTTTCCGTGTGGATTGGAGAGGAAGATCTATGGTCTTCAGTGGGGATCACTTGAACAAACCGGTTCAATTAGACCAAATGCAAAAAGATGGTGTCTTATCTAAAGCGCGAGGGGACGATCTTAGAAATTTACCTCTACAGGAAACCGATCTTCTGCTGCACGAGGCTGGAGTTCCTCCACTCCACACACCATTAGAGGAGTTGATGAAACTTCCTCAGCGGGTCAGAAAACGTCTGTATGTGGTTCATACAGCCACGATTCCAGAAGAATTTGACCTACGTGTCGCACCAACTGGTACTGCTGGGACCCTAAGATTGGACAAGGTTCCAAACGTTTCGAACAGTCAACAGCCAATAGGTGGAGCACGTAGACCAAGAGCTGCTCGACACTCTCATATGGCGGACGATGACTTGATGGCATGGGGCGGTACAATCAATGAGTACGAAGTCGATAGTGAACCACCGGGAAACAAGGAAATGTCAGCGCAGAGTATGCAATACGCCATGACCACTTCATTCACAGGAACAAACAAGAAACAGATTAGGCATTCTATCACAGACATGGGGCACCCCACTGTGCCTCTTGTTGGCATGCGACCAGCGTCAAGTACTGACGCTTGGTTCATCCTGAACTTGCTCAGCGCGGTTCCGTTCATGTCAAGGTAAGTTCATTTGAACTATGTTTGAAGTCATCTCTTGTGGAAACTAACTCTTGTGATTGACAGTTTGTCCTATGCTTCCACCATGGAAGTCCTAGAAACTGCAAGGGTGGAGGTCTTTGCCGCTGAAGAACAAATCATTGAAGCGGAACGCCGCCGATCAATCTTGTGTGTAGTTTGGGAAGGGACTTGCGTGGAAAAGCCACCCAGTGAAATGTCTCTGTCTGGGATACCCGAGGGTGAAAGTGATGCCGAAAACGAACAGGAAAACGATCGGAAAGACAAAACTACTGTTTGGCACGCTGGTGACTGGACTGGGCCAATTGCTTTGCAGCCAGACAAACGCTTAAGTGGAGAAAGTGAAAGGTGTATGACGCATGACATTGTTGCGCTTTCAACTCAGGGTGTCAAGGTGATCACTATTGATTTTTCTGCACTTCATCAAATCCTAAAGAGTGGATCAGGATTGTATCGGAAATACTTGGATCGTCAAGCCCAGCAAAACCGTCGCCGGAGTGTTGAAACAACTGTCTTGAATTCAAATGGGAAGAGTGACAGACAACTGACAGAGGCCCTGCGAAATCTGAACATCGTTGATCTTTTGGATCAAAATTTTGCTTTGCGTAAGCTCTCGGCTGTTCAGAAACGACACATAGAAAGTCTAGCGGCGGGGCCGATAAGTTTCGAACCTGGAGCCCGGTTATGGAGAGATGGCGCGCCAGTCGATCGGGCATTTATGATCGTATCGGGAACTGCTTCGTTTGTTCCAAAAAGAAGAAATGCAGGTTCTGCTACTGCCAGAAAAGACAACGACGTTTCAGATTTTGAAGAAGACGAAGAGTTTGGTAGATCAATGAGCAACACCTCAAAAGAGAGCCTCAGCGACAAAATCTCACAAGACGCTTTGAAGGTTGCCGAAGATTTCGATAGTGACGAGGAAGGGAAGGAATTGAATGACCGCCATTATGTTCAGCTCGAAACACTCTTCAGTCGTTCGCAGAATGGAATGGTCAAATCAATGACTGAGGCCAATGATTTCGCTGATCTCAGTAAGAATCTGCAGCGACGAGCAGACGCAGTGAGTTCTGGTGAATTTACAACCGATGAGATGAAACCCTATGAGTGGGAAAAGCAGGCTCAAGCTGCGGAAGAAGAACCAGATCCCAAAGATCGTCGATCTGCTCTTCAAAGGAAGGCGTCTGTACGGGCACGCTTTGAAAATAAGGTTCTCGGCAGGATTCACAGTCGAGAAGCATACACAGGCGGACTGGTGTTTAGCCGCGGGCATTTCCTCGGTGATATATCCAGAATGTTCTATGGCCACGTCAACACGGATCTGAATTCAAGTCAGTCGAAGTTGAGTCCTTCAAGTTTTGATTTATCGCTTGACAGTATGCACGACAAGGTCATTCAAGATGACGAGAGTGAAAGTGGTCCCAGAGAGGGACATACGTCGACGTTAATTGCTGGAAAGGAGGGGTGTGTTGTTCTCGTATTCGAAAAGGCATCGTTAATTCCGTTCTTGGATGAATACCCAGGACTTCTTTTGAGCTTACTGGGGACTCAGGTAGTTGTGTAGTAATCGATTGCAATTATTGATTTATGTGCCGTAAACGCTTGCTACTTTATGTAGATTTGGAAACTGCGCTATACAATAGCTGGTTTACTAGATTATTCAAGAGGTGGTCGATTGCGTTCGATCGTTGTTGGTGGGCTTTCCAGTATATCCTCCAGCACGAGCTTTGCCTTTGATGGGGAGATCGGCTGCAACGATTTTGCTTGTGGACCAGGAACTCGGTCGGGGTGCAACCCTAGAATGTTTCCGTCTGTATCAACTCGAAGAACGGGTATGCAAACGTACTTGAGAGCATCTGACATCTTTTTCTTGTGCGCTTCTTGTTCTTTCTCATCCCACGTGTCGATGCCTTCAGTGATCTTTTCATAAAATACTTCTACCACTCCACTGTCGACATCCTTCTCGTGTTCTCGCACCATCGCATAGAACTGCAAATTGGACATGCCAAACTCTGGCTTTGTATCCTCCACCCTGCTAGTGAAATTGGTATTTCTGGAGACAGAATAATCGTGATCTTCTCCCATGAGTGGCATGTCTATTCTTTGTCTTGGAGCTGTTCGTTGTGATTCTATCTTTTCTAGTTCTCCTGCATTCTCTTTTTCCAATAGCCGCTTTGATGTGTTGTCCTTATCTACCTCCTGTTTTGCCGGACCAACGTCTGTAATGAATTTGAGCAAATCCTCTGGCATTTCTTGGGGGGCTCCTTTTTGCTTGTCTCTCAAGTACATTTCTTGCCCAACATCTCGAACATCCTGTGAGCCCACCCCATCACCCCGCATGAAACCACCCGGATTCTGAGGAGTTATTGCTGTACCAAACTCGGTTGTTTTGGGTGGTGGAGGGGCTTGAACCTGGTGCGCTGCAATTGGAGGACGGCTCTCTGTCACCTTCTTCGCAACGTTTTTGGCTGTATTACTCGCGGTTTTGGAGGCACCTTGTCCCATGTTTTACGGTAAACTAGACTACTCAGTAAGAAAAGGGAACAGACGATGGTTCAGTGTTTCGTTTTCATGTCTTGATCAACATAGTCAGGCGTGAAGTCGAAGTGGTCGACCGTTTCCGTTTCTCCATTACTTACCTGAATGTCGGAAACATCCAACCACACAACCATCAACAACAAATGCCCATAGACACCTGCAATCTAAAGGTGGTCCTCTTATGCAAGGGTCCAGGGTCCAATGCTGATGCATTGAGGCCCAATAGAGACGATTCACAATGGTGGGGAAGAAGAGACGCCTTGGTCAGATGCATAAGTTCCTTTCTTTTCTCCCCTCGACCACAAACCGGATCCAGGGAGTTGGTGTTTCTATTTGATGATGACTTGGCAAAGATGACGATTAAAGTAACAAAGAACTGCAATTTTGTGCCTACAGAGAAAGCGATTATTTCTCTCTGGAAAAAAGCAGCGCAGAAATTGAACACGACGATTGAAGAGAACGGCATGGAGTGTGTGGTCGAAATCGATCCCACTTACCAGAGCGACACTCTATCGGCGGGTAATCGTCCCTCAGGACTCGATTCGAAACGACAAGTTTTGGAATATCTTCAGAAGCATTGTCCTATGGAATTTCTGAGATCAAAAGGATTGAACAGCAACATGACTGTAATTCTTAGAAAGACAAATAAGAAGGCACTGATTGCAGTATTTAATGATTGGAAGAAGGCAACTCAAAAGGGGTTCCCTGCTAGAGATGATGCATCACAAAGACAGAAACTCTTCCATCACATCCTGAACACTGAAAAAGAAAAATCAACTCGAGTGATCGCTGGGACCTTGCACGAAATGTTTCAAGAATTCCCGTGTTATGGCCTCGCCACCAAAGAGAACAAGGAAGTCGTTCCTTTCAGTTTGGTCCTATTTCTCGGTGCAGTTCGAGACATGTCTCCCAAAGAGAATCAAATTTTGCAAAGCGTCTGCAAGAAAGCAGATATACCTCTCGTCGGAATCCGGTTCGGGATGGTACCAGAGTTCACCAGTAAGATTTTATCCATCCTTTCATTCCATCACTTCCATAATGCTGTTTCAGTTCCGATCGAGAGGCTACTTGAGTCCAATGCAGGTCAAGCAATAGGGGAGAAAATATCATGGAAACCTGAATCGCATAAACTCCGAGTGGTTTGTTCTGTTCCAATGTCGTCAACCGAAATATCCACTGATCTGAAAGCCCGTTGCCGGACGCACTGGTGCCTCATTCGAGTCATTGTGTGCACACTTTGGCGATCGCGCTTGGTATCTTCTGACTTTTCAACCTCCCTCACAAATTATCTGCATTTGATGTTTCGGGATGGAGTCACTCTGGAACTGAATGAGGCTGCTTTTGTATCAAAGCTTGCGAATAAGCACCAAGCTGCCCCGTCCGAGTATCAAATTCTCGCTGCTCTCAAGGAGAATATTGATACAGCATCATCAAAAGCGAACGACTTGAGTGAGAAAAAGTTGGCGAAGAAAGTCATGCAACAAGTCATGAAGGACGAGCAGGAAGAAAAGTGTCTCATACATGGGCTGAACTCCAAGATTGCCGATTCATCCCTCTCGGCCAACTTTTATAGAGAAGAAGAGCCCAAGAGGTCAGAGGGCCGGACTGTCGTATTATTACTTGAACTTGACGCAAACTCCAGAGAGAAGGGCCAAGCTATCAGCACTACGTATGACGCCCTTGTTCGCGCCGCAAGGAAAACAAGTTCACCTTTCTTGGAAGGGCCCTTGTTCGATTGCGATTGTGAGGACCAAGAAGCTGCTTCGATTATTGCTTTGCAGCATTTCTGTAACCAGAACAAGCTATTCACCATGAAACAGGCGAGCAACAAGAGAAAACGCGACAGCGGTCACTAATGCAAGGGGCATTGATGTGTATAGCACCATCTACAATTCTTTTAAGCTGTACATATCCTCGCGTTTCTGATTTTCAATTGGAATCCCAGCACGCATTTCTTCAACCTTTGCCAAGTCAAGATCAGCAAACACAATTCCTTCTTTTTCGTCGATTGTGGAAATCACTTCGCCCCAAGGTGAAACAACTGTTGAGTGACCCCAAGCTGTGTAGTGAGGATATTTTGCGTTTTCGTCCTTTGGATCCTCCGTTCGCGCGGGAGATGCCATCATCACATAACATTGGTTGTCAACAGCTCTTCCTCTTTGTAACAGCTCCCAGTGGGCAGGCTTAGAAAAGGTTTTATTAGGACTGGATATCTCAGATGGGCGAATCAATCAACGTCTTCAACCAAACACTTACTCCGGTTGTCAAGTTAAATGCTCCAGGGTATATCAATGCCACACAATTGTACTTTTGTCTCAAAAGCATAGCATATTCTGGGAATCGTATATCGTAGCAGATCCCAAGGCCAATCTCTCCAAATGGCGTTGAGAAGTGGGTCATCCCTTCCCCTGGCGAAAGTGTTTCGGATTCAAAGAAGGTGATTCCTCCTGGGACGTCAATGTCAAATAGATGCACCTTGCGATGCTTAGCAACCACTTCACCCTCTGGATTGAGGACGAGGCAAGTGTTGTAGATTTTGTTCTCGCCATTGTCATCCTTCACGACCTCAGGGATGCTTCCACCAACAATCCATACGTTGTGTTCTTTGGCGGCATCCAGCAAAAGCTTGGTTGAGGAAGATTCAGACTCCTTATCCCCAACTTGAGGAAGTGTCTCGGCATATTCTGGAAATGCTGCTGTGGCATAGGGTGAGTTCCAAATCTAGGAATTCGTGAGTGACGTTGATGTGCAATTTGTGGTACTGTAAGCAACTACTAGCCATCGTAATGAAAGCATACCTCTGGAAGAACGACCAAATCTGCTCCACCAGCCTTGGCTTTCTCCAAATAACTCTTGGCTGTACTGTGGTTTGCTTCCTTGTCGGAAGTAACATGGAATTGGCACAAGGCCACTTTCATGGAATTGGTCGAGGAGGATGACATACGCAGCGATGTCTTTTGCTTCAAGGCTCCAAATCGACTACGAGATACTACTCCGATGCTCGGATGCACCAATCCTAGAGACGTTGGTAGGAAAGCGGATGCTGTTGTAGCTGCTGAAAACCATAGAGCGACTGGTCTAGTGGCAAGCCTCATTTGGCAAAGATTATTTTGGGTGGATCTGGAATTTTCTTTCAAAACTAAATGTACTTACCAAGTCCTTCGCGATATGAGCACACCAAGGGATTTTTCACAATTGTCTGTCCTAGTTTTGTGTCCAGAAGCAAGCGGACATAGTTTACACCAAGAACCTGGTTTTCGCATCAACTAGCCGACTCCTAATTTAATGTTATCGCTACATCTGGTCCCTTAGCTTCTGCCTTTGCCTCTACATTTTCTGCTTCCTTTGCATCCGCTTTGGCTTGCGCCTCAGCTTGAGCAGCATCCAGTTCTTCTCGAATAGCATCAATTCCAACTGGGAGTTTCTCCAAGACCTTGGTTTGTACCCTCAATTTCTCTTGGGTCTTGGTCAACTGTACGTGCTTAGCAAAAGCATATTCTAGCTGCTCTTCCAGTTCAGCAAGCCTGGAGAGTGCTAGAATCAACCCCGATGGCTCTGCCTTTGGAGGAGGAGTGATCGGTTTCTCGACTGGTTCCTTTGGTTCCTCCTTCATCTTTGCTGGCATTGGTTTGACTCTGTCGTTCTGTACAGGTACTGGCTTGACCTTAATTTGCTTTGTATTTTCTGTATCGGCCTTGATGGAAGGAGCTGATCTACTTGTTGGCGCTGATTGAGTCGGTTGGTGTTCAACCTTGATTGTTTGGGGGATATTCATTGGCGGCCGCTCTTCTCGAATACCGTCGTCCATTCGCCTCCTATCGTCGAAAGAACGGTATCCTTCAGGAGGCCCATCGTTTCGCGGAGCAAGATCTTTGCGAAAGGAATGATCACTGAAGGTACGGTTGAACCTTCCATCATCGAATCGGCCACCAGAATCAAATCGTCCTCTTCCTCCCCTGAATCCTCGCCCGCGTCCACGACCGCCAAATCCTCCACGATAATCGGTTGGTGCTGGTCCACTGGAATCCGGGTATGTTTTGGGAATGTTCAAAGAACTATTCCTATCATATGGAGGTCTTCGATCAACGGTCGACTGTGATGTACTCCAATTATCTTGTTGACCGTGTGTGTCTTCCAAGTTATTGTGGGAGGAAGATAGGGGCCGATTTAGATGTGCACCCCAGGACGGTCCGTCATTGCGCTTTAGATCGTTATATATGGGACCAGGACCTCTAGGGTCGTCACGGGGACCATGTGGATCATCTCGATGAGGAACTCGAAGCTCATCATGTGGTCCTCTTGGATCATTTCGAGGAGGACATAGAAAGTCCCTCCGCGGACCCCGTAGATCATTTCCAAGAGGCCCTCTAGGATCGTCCACCGGCGGAGGCGGACCCCGCGAATCATCACGAGAGTCCATCTTTCGTGGTGGTATACGTCTCCCAAATGCATCTTCTCCAACATTCCGAGCACTGTCATCGTAGTTTCGGGGTTGCATATCCTCGCGGTATAGCGGCTCCTGCGATCCCGTCCCTTCTCCCCGAAACGATGGACCACTACGAACATAGTCTCTTCTTCCGATTTCATAAGGAAGTTCTCTCCGCTGATAACTAGGAGGTCCAGAACCTTCCAGTCTATCTCGTGGCCGCAAATCTCCTTGAGAGTCAGATCCACTTCGAAAGTCTCTGTAATCAAGTCTGGGTCCATCCCGAGGATCTAGTCGCGGTCCATCTATATGGGGTGGTCTTAGTCCATCCCGAGGATCAGGTCTGAATCCATCCAGAAGGTCATTTCGAGGTCCCTCCCGAAGAACAGGTCTGACTCCATCTCTGTGATCAGGTCTAGGTCCATCCCGAGGATCAAGTCTGGGTCCATCCCAAAGATCATTCCGTGGTCCATCCCGGACAACAGGTCTGACTCCATCTTTGTAATTAACACTTAATGTGTCCCGAAGCCCAGGTCTGGGTCCGTCTCTGTAATCAGCTCTTAGCCCATCCCGAAGATCAGGTCTTGGTGCATCTCGAGGACTAAGTCTGGGTCTATCTCTGTAATCAGATCGTTGTCCATCGAAAAGACCAGGTCTAGGCCCATCTCTGTGATCAGTTCTTGGCCCATCTCGAGGATCAGGTCGTGGTGCATCCCGAAGACCAGGTCTGGGTCCATCTCTATGGTCAACTCTTATTCCATCCCCAGGATCAGATCTTGGTGCATCCCGAAGACCAGGTCTGGGCCCATCTCTGTGATCAGCTCTTATTCCATCCCGAAGATCAGGTCTTGGTGCATCACGAGGACTAAATCTGGGCCCATCTCTGCGATCCGCTCCTAGTCCATCCCGAAGATCAGGTCGTGGTGCATCCCGAGGGCCAAGTCTGGGTCCATCTCTGTGATCGACTCTCAGTTCATCCCGAAGATCAGGTCGTGGTGCATCCCGAGAGCCAAGTCTGGGTCCATCTCTGTGATCGACTCTCAGTTCATCCCGAAGACCAGGTCGTGGTGCATCCCGAGGGCCAGGTCTGGGTCCATCTCTGTGATCAACTCTCAGTTCATCCCGAAGATCAGGTCGTTGTGTATCCCGAGGACCAGGTCTGGGCCCACCTCTGTGATCAACTCTTAGTCCATCCGGAAGATCAGGTCGTGGCGCATCCCGAGGACCAGGTCTGGGTCCATCTCTGTGGTCAACTCTTAGTCCAATCGGAAGATCAGGTCGTGGTGCATCCCGAGGACCAGGTCTGGGTCCATCTCTGTGATCAGGTCGTGGTGTCTCTCGAGGATCAGGTCTGGGACCATCTCTGTTATGAGATAGTGGTGCATCCCGAGGACTAGACCTAGGTCCATCTCTGTGATCAGCTCTTAGTCCATCCCGAAGATCAGGTCGCGGTGCATCACGAGGACTAAATCTGGGTCCATCTCTGCGATCGGCTCCGAGTCCATCCCGAAGATCAGACTTTGGTGCATCTCGAAGACCAGGTCTGGGTCCGTCTCTGTGATCAACCCTTAATTCATCCCGAAGACTAGGTCTTATTCCATCCCGACGATCAGGTCTTAGTTCATCTCCGTGATCTGGCCTCAGGTTGCCTCTATGATCATGTCTTGGTCCATCTCGATAGGCAGGTCTCAACCCATCTCGTTGGTCTGGTCTCAGTCCATCCCTAATATCAGGTCTCGGCGCATCTCGATGCACGGGTGGCAGATCTTCCATGGATTGACGGCGAGTTCCTCCTCCTCGGCTGTCATGACTGTAGTCACTTGGTCGAATTCGTTTCTCCTCATGGTCCATGCTACCGGATGGGATCAAGTCAGAATCGTCCCGTCTTCGTTTTCCCAATCGATCGGGATCCATTCGATCCGAGTCACGCCGGTCCATACCACCGTAGCGACCACCACGACCTCCACGGCCAACTGGTCTATCTCTATTCATGCCTCGTCCACCACGGCCTTCGCGAGAGAAAGAGTCTCTTCGCATGCCAGGTTCTCCATCATAGAGCCTATCAGAATGATTCGATCGGTTCGATCGGTAACTGTCATCATCATTCCAGCTTCCCCTTCGTTCTATTCTACCACCTCGTCCTCGTCCACGATAATCCCCTCGTCCTCGCCCACCGCGATCGAAGAACCTGCCCCGTCCCCTGCCTCGACCCCCACGAAAGGAATCCCGACCGCGACCACGGCCACCCATATCCCTATCGTAATATCGTCCACCACCTCTGCCGCTCCCGCCACCCCTGCCGCCACTCCTTCGATCCCCGTCACGGCTGTGTCGACTGTAACTATCATTGTCTACCGAACCGTTGCTGCTTGGCGGACCTCCGGGCAGAATTTCGCCATCTTCAAAGCCATCCTCTTGATCTTCTCCTTCTCGTACATAGGAAGGTCTTGCACTTAGCGCCAAAGAAGCGTAAGAATTTCCTCTTTCTCCTCCACCCGAACCGTTGGATGACCGAGCTCCTCTTCGGTCCATGGTCGACAATAAGTTTTGAGTAGCGTTGTGTGTGTGTGTTGTGTGGATGAGATTGATGGCGGATCGGATTTTGAGTGCGGCTGCCTTCGATCCATTCGACTGACAGAGAGAACCCGGATTTGATTTTGCAAAACCAAAATCTGAAAGTGCAGGTTTGTGGTGTTGCATAGACTACCGGTACCGGTATTCATCATCCATACCAATCATCATCACCATCTGCTTCTTGAGATCAAATATTTCAGTCAGAAAATGACAGAAGAGAGTTTCCCCCAAGTATTGCAAGATCTTCACGGTTTCTTGCGGAAAGATGGACCCTCCTCTCTGTTTGACAAGAGCGTCATGGCCACACCTGTGACTGCCATCAAGGCTTTGTTGGGAGTCGTCCAACGTTCCAATGCCACAACAATGATGGAATTGCAAGATGAACTGAAACAGGCCCGTAGCATCATGATTAAAGATTTTGAACAAGGCTCCCAATCGTCTGGAAGAGGACGAAGTCTGATTGCCTTGGCGAGTGGATGTGATTTGTTCCTCAAGTATATTACCAGAAGTTTCTTGGAGCTTCCCGATTTTGAAGCCTGTCGACAAGAAGTATTGGCAAGGGGTGCTCAATTTGCGGACATTAGTATTGCGGCACGGGATAGCATTGCCGACATTGCGTCCGACTTTATTCAAGAAGGTCAAACTGTTCTAACCCATGGATGGAGTCGAGTGGTGGCTTCGGTCTTGTTGAAGGCGGCCGAAACCAAGCACTTTGATATCATCATTTTGGAAGGACGTCCGGATGGAGCAGGTGCCAGAGCAGCTAAACTCTATGCCGAACACGATAGCAACATCCCCACAACCGTTGTGTTGGACTCGGCGATGGGTTACATTATGGAATCGGTCGATATTGTGTTGACAGGAGCCGAGGCAGTACTGGAAAATGGTGGTTGTGTCAACAAGATGGGGACCTACACCATGGCTATTTGCGCCCAAGCCCATGGAAAACCATTCTATGTGGCGTCTGAGAGTTACAAATTTGCTCGTTTGTATCCATTGAATCAACGAGATCTGCCAAACATGGGCAGCATCCCACTGAGATCATATGACACGACGAGAGGTGAGGAAAAGGATAGCCAGGAAATTGTTCTGCCAGATAAGGTCAAGGTGACGAATCCACCGTGTGATTACACACCAGCAAAATTCATCACGCTGCTCTTTACCGACTTGGGCGTGTTGACACCGAGTGCGGTTTCCGACGAGCTAATTCGGTTATATCAATAAACTTTATATGTAATGAAGAAAAATGGAAAGCTCAAAATTGTCGCTGAAAATACCGTACAGGTAGTTAGTTGAATTAAGGATTTCTGAGAGTTTCTGTACATTGTTTGATTCTCAGCAGACACACGGTCTGATGTTGTTGCGATGCCAAGGAGTTTTCTCTTCATTTCTGGAAGCCGTTGTGATGCAGTCTCGACTATCAGTAACTTATCTTGAATTGCAATGCATTGCATTGCATTTTAATGATGTGCTTATGGATGATTAATGCTTGAGTGGATGATTAATTGATGTACAGTTATTGATGATAGTTTTTAATTCACAAGACTCGGAAAAATAATTGTGACTTAGGCCTTGACAGTTTCTTCTGCTCCCATTTCGGCCTGCACTTTGGCTGCCAAGGACTTTGTGGATTCCACGATGCGGTCTAGCATCGAGACCACATGTCTCTTGTTTTCAATGCGGCTACCAAATTGCGCCGAGCTCAATCGCAAAATACCAGTCTCCTCATTGAGTCGAGTTCCTACAATTTCCCTCAGAGCAATTTCTTCAATCTCGTTAAGTGGAATGTGCGAAACTGGAACTTGTAGAGTGATTCTGTGTTCATTGGGTCGGACGTACGGTTCCTCCAGCAATCTTCCGTAGGTTGTGGTTTTGAATCGGAGAACGTGTTCCGGGACACCGCACTTGAGAGTTTTGGTTTCGGGTATTCTGAATTCTTTGCTCCCCAAGAATGTTTTGCCTTCTTCAATTGTGTTGAAAATCTCTTGAAATGGTGAAACATATTCCTCTCCGCCTTGGGATACCGACGCGAACAATCGCACGCTGCTGGTTTGACATTCGGTTTTCATTTGGACTCTTGTGCTTCGTTGCACCATTTTGAGCAGTTGCATTCTTCGAGTGGCCATTTTGACTATTATTATTCGCTTGCCTACGGTATTGTAGATAGTTCGACAATGATGCTAGGTTGTGACTTTGTGGCTCTTAGTCAGTAGAGAAAAACTGCGTTGATGTGTGCCGAGTGCAGTGCCGACGACGGATCTGGAGAATTTCCGGACGAGAACCAAAGATCTGACGTGTGTGGCTCAAAATATTTACTGGTCCGGCCGGCCATCCGTCAGTGCAGACCGGTTTTCGACTAATGCGACTAGTGTTGGCCACCCAAAGAAGACAACAACGCATTCCCACTATTTCTACAACAAGGCCAACAACAATGCCAACAACAATGCCGACCACCTCAACATCACTGATAACAACCTCCAAAGGAGAATTCGAATCCTGCTTTGCGGTTGGGCTGGACTTGTCAGAATTTGACAATCAGAATGCTCCAAACAAACCAACGACGAGCGCTGCTGCAGAATTACTTCAGGTAAAGAAATTGGAACGTGAGCAACGAATGCAAGAGGAAGCGGCAGAAGAGAAGATGAAAAATTGCATTCGTCAACAAATATCCACACTTCGAAGCTCGCAACAGAGACGGACCCCGGGAAATATGTTGGTGGATGCTCTAGTGAAAATGCATGGTGGCGACACGGATGATCCAAGACATCGAACCATCAAAATGGGAAAACAAAGGGGCCAAAGAAGAACATCGTCACAATCTTCCAGAACAAAGGCTGTCAAGAAATCTCGCCGAATAAAGCATTCTAGATAGAGCTTTGGGGAAGGAATGAATACAAGTCCTCACACAGTCATGAAGAATCTTATTTTAAAATTATAGTTTATACACATATTTCTGCTTATTTATTGGTCTCATCCACAAAAGTAGCTTGGATATGTGAAACTAAAAGCATCCGAGTCATTCAGGAAGGCAATATGTTTGCTTTTAATGATTGGGTACATTCCTACAGCGCGGGTAGCGTACCAGGTACCAGGTACTGTACCATACTGTAATGCAATGTCAAAACACTCTTGGTCAAAAGCAGTGAAATCTGATGACGTACGGACCCTCTCAAACATTCGGTGTCGTTGCGATTGCTGCAACGATAGACGAAACCAACCTTTGCTTCAACATTGTACTGTTACGATGAGTGTAAACCCAATTTTCCCAGCAAACCGCGCAGAGCTAAAAGCTTTTGCTTCCGTAAGTTACCATTGAAAGAGTGACTATATTTTGGGACGAAATTGCGAAACTTACGCCTCTTTTCTTGCTCTTGTCCCTCTTCTCTTCTCAAGGTCTTGGACATTTCTTGCGTCGAATCCAGAGCCGCATATGAAGAAGCAAAAGCAGGTCGCTTTTCTCCTGCTATCACAGATATTGCTGGAAATTCGGTGCGTTTCGTTTACTGATTGTAGCATGATTTGTGAAAACTTGTAGCACTCACATCAATACCGATTCATTTCAACTTGTTCCAGTTCCGACCGTGTGCTATTGATACATACTCTTCCATAACCAGTGGCGAATGCGCAGATCTATTCGCTGACGTTATGAAGTGCAATGCCAAAAACGAGTACAACCATGGACGGGTATGCAAGGATGTCCGTCGTGCTTTGGAAAGTTGTGCTGCCAAGAACAAGTACGGCGAGTTTGGAAAGAAGTACTAAGTGGTGCGTTTCGTCCGTGACCATGATGATGGCATTAGGTCTATCTAGCTAGTAGCTCAAATAACTTTAGTTTGTGCTACGAAATTTGTTATTGTTATTCTTCTATCGCAGCCAATCAGCCATTCGATTTTTTGTTTGGCGAAGCTACACGCTGGTTTGGATGAACCATCCCCATTCAACTCCTAGACTGGTGTTGATGCTAGCCTTGCGTTAAACAACACATAATACATCATCACACCTTGGAAATGATGGATGTATCGCTATTGATAGTATGAATTATTGCATTGCTATTAGGTCCTATTGCCTGGTTCTTGCTAAAAATAAGGCAATCGATACTTTAATAAATTGCTTTTAGCTTAAAAAATAAAAGCATTCTCCTTCTTCTAATATTACTGTACACTTTTGGTGGTATGGATGACAAAAAACAACCGGCATTGAATGCAAGGCCGCGACACCATCTGAGAGTAAAGGAGGTGCTCTAGAAGTCTTCCATCGTCACAAATTTACCAGAGCATTCCTTCAAAGTCCAAACAGACAGTCTCTCGGAATCAAGTTGTCTTGTTGATGAAGTGCTTTTGACAAACTCAGATGATCGCTTCACAGAAATGGCTGATTCAAGCTTGTATATTTCTGACTGTTTCTGTTTCACAGCCTCTATTTTCAGGTACTCGTGGTAGTCCTCAAGAGTTTCCCGCATCTTTTCCCTTTCTTCCTCTTCGAAAGGGCCAGTCTCCAGATACTTCAGCAGCACTTCTATCGACGTTGATAGTGCATCAACAAATACGAGCTCGTCTTCGACTAGCATACGAATAGCAACCTTCGCAGCTTCTTCTGTCTTCCCAGTCCGTATCAAGTATTTCATCAATTCTGTTTCGATTTGCTGCATTCTCCCTGGGAGACTCACAGTATCGAAGAGTCTTGATGACTCTTTCTGTGCCTCCGTTTTTACCATGGCAAATGAATCCTCTATCAAGTCTTCAATATTCCACTCGTCTTCGTATCCCATATCGATGAGTTGGTTGTATCCTCTTAGTCGAACAAGGTTGACATTGAACGATTGTCCCAGCCTATCTGCAGCTCCCCATCCGATATCCTCGCCATATGCGACTACTTCTTGGTCCATATCTCTAGTGATCTGAAGATCACGATTCCCCAGAGATTTCAGCTCTTCTGGTTTGTCGTGATCGTCCTTTGTCATTAGGAGAAACAATCCTCGATTGAAGTAGCGATTCGCAAGGTGTTGGGTGAAGTCTAAGCATGCAGGGGACCACCCTTGCGCAAGATGGAACTCATCGTATCCTCGCTCGCCCATTTGGATCGATGTGTGGAAATGGCCGATGCCAAGGCGGACCATATCTTTCTTCCTGAGACCACAGAGCTTATCTTTGTGGCTGGCCTTCAACTCTCTATACATTCCTAGTAGCGTATTTGCGAGGTTATTGCTTGCGACAGCAATGGCCTTCTTGTTACCAAGTCGCTTGAATAAGCGAAGAGCGTCAACGAGAACCTTGTATGCTACTTCAAGCTCACCAGCATGAAAAGCAGAATTTGCTGATCTAACAAGCTTGTAGAGGATCTCCATAGTGTCACAGAATCCAACGATCTCGTATGAAGCTTGGATTCTCTTCGAGCTTGAAACATCTTGGCCAAGGCCATTTCTGAAAGAAGAAAAAACACTTGTGAGAACACAGGGAAAGGTTTCGTCATTATTTCAAAACCCCATCAACTCACCGATTGATTGACCGGATCAATTCAAGCAAGTATAGCATTGGCTTTGTCACTGATGAGGCAAGCCGGCGAGATATGTAAACGACTGCCAATGTTGCAAACGCAACTATCACAGACAGCATGATTACAGCAAGTGTGATTGATTCGTTCACCTTCTTTTCCATTCCTCGAAACGGCGCCAGCATCGTTTCTTTCGAATTCGCAAGACCGACAGAATAAATGAGGAAGTCAGATGTCTTCACTCCTCTTGAAAAGTCGGAACTGTCAACTATATCGAAACTCTTCACATTTACCGGCGCATAAGCCATAAAGTATGTCTCGGAACTTCTGTCTTCCTTCCTTCTATCGAACTGGATGTTGACATTCGGATTCTCCGCTTCGTTAGAGCTGTCCCCTGCCTTCATCGACGCGATGATCTCAGCGAAACGATTCAAATTATTTGTGCAGTCTCCATCGTCACAACCGTAATCATATGCCAGGACCTTCGAGGCGACGGGAACCGCTGATTCAGTGGCGTATTCGAAACCAGGGGCAATGACTGTATCTCCAACATTGCCAGCGGTGGTTACAACGACCGGAAAACCTCCTTCTTTGAGATCAGTTTCAACGTCCAGGGCGTTGTAAATTGATGTCGTTCTGAAGTCAAGCAGCACTTGGCCAACATGCTCCCCAGATTGTGGATGGAACAACGCCGTTGTCGCTGTCTGCGCGATAAGATCATTAGAAGCAAAGCTGTATGGAGATGTGACGTAAAGTGATGTTCCGTCGCTTTCATACTGTTTCTTCCCTGTGTCATACCACTCACGACACCTGAAAAACACGCTGTTGAGAAAACGGTGTCATTTGAACTGCAAAAATAAGGCAATTTAATACGAACCTTGGATCATAGCCATGTTTCCCAAGTGGGCAAAGTTCTGGTCGTAGTTCAGCAGCTCCATTTGCTTCAGAAGACTGCCAGCGGCTATTTCGAATGTAGTCAGATCTGCAGGTGTTCATTCCAACATACATTCCATCGGCCTCCGTTGCCACAAACGCTCCTATCATGGCGCGATCTTTGGAATTGTAATTATAGATAACTGGAACTATTGGTCCATTGGCAAGCCTTCGCAACCGACCATAGCTTGTCTCGATTCCTGTGAGCGACGAATAGCTTTCAAAACCTGGTACTGTTGTCTGGTCCGTATAAAAACTAGTTGTCTCTGGTGAGAATGACTCGAATGGATATCGCGAGGCATTTCGATCTCCGGTTACTGGATTGGCTCCATTGGTTTGCCCAGTAAAGTATTGTTTCTGCAGGGATCTGGATTCGATTGCACTATCATAATTCTTGCATTGCCGCAACACACTATTATCATTCCAATCACAATCACAAATATTCACAGTATCAACGTAAGGACATTCGTCAAAATTCGGAGAATACTCCTTACACTGCTCAGTACCGGTAAAAAGCTCAGTGTAGGAATCGGTTGCATTCAATCCACCAAACAATTGCCAGGCTGAAAATCGTGTGTACATGTGTAGATCCGATATGGACTTCGAAGTCAAGCCAGCAACGTAATCTGCACGTAGAATGGCATGCACAGTAAGAGCAGACTTCTCAACTTCCAGAAAGTGTCCCTCTGCCCTATTGAGGAAATCCCGCACGCTCGCTGTGTACGAAGAGAGCACCAAAGACGCCACAAGAATTGTAACGAGCAGCAGAGGGACTACAATCAACACAGATATCCAGAGAAACAGTGGAGAAGTTTTCTTCTTTTGTGCTCCTTGAATATCAAGAGGTACATCATTCTTGTCGTCAGTTCCATCTATCAAGTTTGATCCTTCATTTCGATAACTCAATTCATCCAAGGGATCGATGGATCTCTCTTTCTTTGCTGTGATATCCCACTTGAATGATTTGTCTTTCCGACTTTCGTAGATCCCAATAAATGACTTCCTCATGTTGAAGATATTTTCTACCTCCTCCTGCTTTCCTTTGTCAGCCTTTGCCATGCCTTTTCCGCTGAATGAAACAACCATTTTGTTGAACTCGGCTACAACGTCACTCAACTCTGTCTTCGGTGCAATGCTGTTTACCCTCAACAAATCATCTGATTTCGAAATCAGATTTTCAGCAGAAGCATCTCCGAATTGGTTTACAATATCGTTCGCAGTGGAGTTCATCGACCTTAGCGGAGCGGTAATGACATGTGCCATGACAACAATGATGCTGAAGGAAACAGCGAGCCCGATACAGCTGATGATGATCGCATATAGGTTGACCTGATTCACATTCTCATCAATGATATCGTTCACGTCATTGACGACCTCTTGTAGATCGCTCTTTTTTGTAGATGTGACAATGAGGAAGATCGGTACATAGTTGGGATCATACTCGCTTGGAATCGGTGGCATCGGGTGTGTGGCAACAAGATAGGTGTCATCATCAACGGCAAAGTTGGCGTAAGCTTCTTCCACCTCCTTGGGATCCCATTCCTTGCTATAGTCGACCAAGGTGTACAATCTATCCCAAGAGTCTTTTGCCAAACCGAGATCGACATCGAACACTGATACAACTGCATCGCCAGTCCTATTCTTTGAGTCAAGCTTCGTAGATGACGCAATGTTCCCGGGAACTTCCCATACTACAATTGATACTTCCGAGTTTTCAGTTACCTTATATTTCGTCAACTCTTTGTCAATCGCACTAATTTGAATTCCAGCATAACTGCAGGCGATGAACTCTTTCGTGGTTCGATCATAGATACCTTGGCCAACCGTCAACAGATAAGAGCCCGGGTTCCATGAATCAGGCCCAACAAAAGCTGGTATGATATCAGGATTTTGAGCCATGAAAATACACCACTCTCTCTCCAAAGGGTTGTATTCTCGGACAGACACTGACTCTTCGTTCGGGTGGCATCGATCGATTTCTTCTTGGGTGCCTAGTGGTTTGGTCGGATCCAATGGATTTGGTAGATTCATCCATTCGCATCCAAGAGAAGTGTAAACCCCATTGCCGGTAGTGTACTGAGGGTAGTTGAAAGAAGCACCTGCACCACTATTCTTGAAGTACAATCCAAGATCTCGGATTTCACTTCTGGCTTCAAACAGAGTTCTCATGAGGGGAGTAAGATCGCTTGCCTTTCGATGGATCATTTCTGTTGTAGGAGACGGGGCTATAATTCCTCCGGTAGTCAAGTTATTATTTGCATCCGTACAATTTTCATAGTATCCCTGTGCAGAGCTATCCGTAACAGAAGGATCGCAAGTTCCCTGAATCAGAAATCCAGCACGTGCTGCATTTGCAGGTCGGAATTTATAGAAATCCCAACGGGCCTCTGAATGCAAGAACTCGTCGTAGTTGTTTTCGTCGATGTTTGGTTCTAGTTGCCAATCGAAGGGTGCGGGATCCACAGATATAGGGTATCTACTTGAGTTGGAAAGAACATCGGGAAAGGGAACAAAATCGTCCGATGCTTCAGGATAACCTTCAAACCTGTCTTGCGTTGCTTCAACAATAATTCTAATAGTGTCGAAAAGCATTAGCCTCTGGTCTAGAGACTCGGCAAGATACCTGGCTGTAGTGCCTTGCCTCTCTTGTGCCAACATTTCAAACTCAATTGCATTAATCTCTTTCAATGTGTCTCCCGCAGTGAATGCTACAACAATGCAAACAACCAAAACAAAAATGATTGTGATAACATTGATGATCCCAAAGGAAAGCATCAGCTGCTTGTTCAGCGTATACCCAGGCCGTAAACAAGTTTTGTACAATATATCATTGCGGTATTCGTCCTCAAAATCACTCTCCGCTGCTTGAGACGAAGCAACAGTGGTATCGCCAGGGTGGCTCACGCTACCTCGAGGAACCAAAAGTTCATCTATAGGCTGTCTTCTCAAGGCCATAGATGAATGATTGGAAGACGATGTGACACTGCGGCGGCGAGGAGCGGCATTTCCGCTGGTAAACTTTTTGTGGACTTTGGAAAATCCTGAACTCTCTTCTGAAAACGCCACCGACTTCTCCCTATCGCTGTGGGTCATCGGTGCCGTTTCTGGAGGATTGCCAGGCATTACCTCAGACTCGTCGGGGCGCTCAATGGTTTGGCCCGGATTATCTTCTTTCGTATCCATGGTGGCACTCTGCCTGTGAGTAGGATGAAGAAACAAGAGGTCAAGCTGCAGCACTCAGCAGCTCTTCGTTTCGCACTCCAAATGCCGAAAGCACAGTAGAAACTAGTACATAAAGTCCGTACTGATATCTATTATTAATGCCAACAGCGGCTAGGACTTAAAAGACCATCAGAAGCCTTACATATGACTTCAGCACAGGGCTTAATTGGGGGAATAAGATTTGCGAAGGTGACATTTTCTCATAAGTATCACGAAAAATCGGAAAATGACACTATTGAAGACCTTAGAAACAATTACACATAACCGTCATCTGCAAAATGCCAATAAAATGAAGGCCTTTCTTGCTGTTGGAGTATTGCTTTCATTGCTTGTTGCACCATGTTTGGCGCTGACACTGGGAACAAAGAAATCGATCTGTAATGAGGAAGGTACTGGAATTATATCCTCAAGTCGACGGAAATGGATTCTACAGTCAATCTTTATAGCTAGTACGTATACGTCACTGCTGCTAAATCCAAAAGTTGTCCTTGCTGAGGACAGCCCAAAACAGGGACTGCTATCAACGACTGATGTTGCTGAACTGTTGCATCCTGTACCGACCTTTACAATTGTCGACAAGAGAGGTATCCCCTTTATGGTGGTTGGTGAGGATGCAAAGGTGACGGGTTACTTCTTCACCACCTATGGAGAGGCGGCTCGTATCTTGGAGGTTGCCAAGGACAGTGCCAACAAAGCAATCGCTGAGGCAAAAGCAGAAGGAAAACCAAAGGAAGAAATTGGAACGAACCCATGGACAAAGGCTCGGGTATCCAGCGTTCCACTGGATTCAGCAATTACTCTTGTCAGCAAGTCAACTCCTGGAAACATTTTTCGAAGTGAGTTGGATTGGTCATTATCTGAATGAATGAATGGTTGCTTTTGTGTACAATATATCTGATGTTATTGTTTCTTTTTCATTATTGCACCAGTTGCACCTGCAGCCGATGATATTGAGGATGCCCTTGCAATCACAGGTCAAGAAGATCTCGCTGAAGGAAAGGTACCCATGTTCTACTACAAGGATTTCACCTTTGAGGAAGGGGACGGGAAAAAGATATCACCATTATATTTTCGAAAATCAGAGCTAGAGAATGATTTCAAGAAACGAAATCCAGGGGTGAAACTTCCAACGACCGAAATCACGGAACTTTTGTCAGTCTTGGCAGAGCTGGTGAGACCAGGAGGCACCGACAATGAACTCAAAACATTAAAGATCATGACGCCAGTCGAAAGCCTCGAGAAGAAGAAACTATGTGACAAGATCGGAGGCAAAGAAGCACCCTTTTTTGTAGGTCAAAGACTATTAGTGCTGTAGAGTATTAGGTTTGGTTGGATACGGTTGGCGTTAGGATCGAACTACAGTACAGTAGTCTAATTTGTCGGATACTGCATCGAACTAGTCAAATTTGTGGAACTTCAAACATCGCATCGCCTCCATGCAAGATCATCATCACTTGCATTCATTGTTGCATCCACAAAGTTCGTCAATCCATCACGACACCATGAGCCCACAACCGACGGCAGTTTCCAAGAGACCTCCATTGTGGAAAGTTTGGCTTGTTGCAAGCCGGCCCCATACATTGACCGCGTCGCTGTCACCGGTGTTGGTTGGGTACAGTGTGGGATTGGCAACCATTAAAAATGTCGAACGAGCTTCCTATCTATGGCTGAATTGCAAGTGGGCCTTGTTTTGTATGCTGATACAAGTGAGTGATATTGTGATGATTTTTAATTTGAGAATTTGACTTGAAAGTACTGGTCTCATCTGAGCTTTCCCTCTATAGTTGGGTACAAATTTGCACAATGATTATGCTGATTTTGTCAAGGTAGGTTGAACAAAAAATGTTTGCATGTATCGCTCATTCATTCGCCTTGCATAGGCAGTTGTTTTCTAATATATGTATGTCGTTCAAGGGTGCGGATACGGACAAGCGGGTTGGTCAAGCTCGAGCGACACAAAAGGGATGGCTCACACCATTCCAAACAGCTGCAGCAGCTAGTGGTGTTCTGGGATTGGCACTCTTGTTGGGATTGGGTTTCATATCCAGCGTGTCTGGAGATCCAAATCACCATGTGATAATGATTGGAATTGTGGCGACTTCTATATTCAACGCATTTGCCTAGTGAGTGCACCGACCTGTTGATGATTGATTCGATAGAATGAATGAATGAACCTTATCGGAACGTACATGCTGATTTGCGCTGCCGTGTTCTCTCCTGAATTGTAGCACTGGCGGACCATGGCCTCTGGGATACATTGGATTGTCGGATCTTTCCATTGCCTACCTTGGACTGGGAGACATCTTTGTGTTTTTGTACTTTGGATTGGTGGCCACAATAACTCCAGTGTTTCTGTATACCGCCAATCATGACGTGGATCAATTGAGCACTGTCATGTTTCGTCTGTTGCCGTATGCGATCCAAGTGGCGTCACTAGCAACCAACATTATTGTTGTGAACAATTTACGAGACCGACACACGGATATCAGCGCCAATAAGAATACGGTTGCAGTTCGTTTTGGTGCTTCCTTTTGTCGGACGGAATACAGTATCATGGTTGCCATTGCCTACCTGCTGGTGATTTACGACTGGGGAATTCATTCCTATTCTGCGGCTCGATTATTTCCACTGCTATCCTTTCGAGTGGCAAGGAAAGAGCTAGTAGCAATCTACAACAAAGATGGTGCAGCATTGAACCCGCACGTCGGGGGGACCGCCAAGGTTCAGTTTCTGTTTTCTGTCATGCTATCGTTGGCCATGCGGATAGCCATGAAGCTGGGTAAATGATGATGATGATGATAATTCCTACCTAGGCATATAAAAAATCATAGGAACACTGTACGAGTATTAATAGTCGACGTCTGATAATACATTTTGGTTTCTAGTATCCGAGTAGTAACATCAAAGTGTAGTACTTTTTACTTCCACAGTCTTTGCAAACTAATGTTCGAGTCTCCATCCTTCTTCATGACCTTTGCGACAGCCATTTCGAAATCTTCTTGTGTCACGTGCACTCTTCTTTCCCTTAGTGCAAACATACCAGCTTCCGTACAGACAGCCTTACATTCGGCACCACTGGAATTGTTCATCTTTTCGGCAATGGCTTCAAGATCAAGATTTCTCAACAAGTTCATTTTTCTGGAGTGAATCTTCATAATGGCCATTCTGTTTTCAGTATTAGGGTTGGGGAATTCAATCTTACGATCAATTCTTCCGGGTCGAAGAAGGGCAGAATCCAAAATATCAATACGATTGGTAGCCATGACCACCTTGATGTTTTGTGCTGGTTCGAAACCATCCAATTGATTCAAAAGTTCCAACATTGTTCTTTGAACCTCAGAATCACCACCTCCAGCACCCCCACGAGCTTGACCGATGGAATCAATTTCATCCATAAAGATGATGGAAGGGGCGGCTTCGCGAGCCATGACAAAGAGTTCACGGACCATTCTACTACCTTCACCGATATACTTTTGCACCAATTCAGCTCCCGAAACGCGAATAAAGGTACAGTCTGTGTGATGGGCCACTGCTCTTGCTAACAATGTCTTTCCTGTTCCGGGTGGTCCATACAACAAGACACCCTTGGGTTGAGCCACTCCCAAACTCTCAAACAGTTCTGGATGCTTGATTGGAAGCTCAATGACTTCCTTGATTTCCATAACTTGCTTCTCTAGACCACCAATCATATCGTATGTTGAATCTGGAACAGCTTCCACCTTCATGAGACTGACCAAAGGATCGACCTTGGTTGGCAGAATCTTGTGCAAGGTGTAGGAATCATTTCGTAAGGCAACTCGAGTGTTGGGAGCCAAGTCCTTGATATCTATTTGTGTCTGATCCAGATCAACCACATACTTTCCCTCTGGATTGATCTTTACTAGCACCTTGTTTTGTCCCATTTGCTTGACGACTTCGCCAACATAGGATCCCGGCTCTTGCAAATGATGCAGTTCTTCTCGGAGCATTCGCACCTTGGCATTCAATTCGTTACGACGAGCCTTCAGACGTTGCAAATCAGCCAAACGTTCTTGAACCGTCTGTATTTACAATATTGAGAAGAAAAATGTTAGACAATGATCATGATCATGATACATGATTGTGCATGATTGTTCGTGTGCCATTGGGGAAGAGAAAACATACTATCCAATTCAATTCAATTCAATTCCAATGGCAATCGTATAATAATTACATACCTCACTGAGCTCTCCAATTTTGGAGGCATAATAAGGATCTAGACTTCCAATCTTTTCTGCTGATGCCACTGCCGCAGACATGTTTGATTATGTTCTATAGTGGATGTATTAATATTGCTTTAGACAATGCCCAAGTGTTATTATTCTTGATGCAGTTGGTTGCTCGTCAGCGATCGATTGTTTCGACTCGTTTGATTTCCGACGAAGCCAACCGAAGAATCCTTGGAAAGGAGCTAACTTAGTATCATTGGACCAAATCCTGACCAAAATGAAAATAATGTTTTCACTGCGATATTCTTGCTACTTGTACTTTTGTAGAGGATTCGTGTACATTACGAGGAGGTTGCACCTCTTACAGTATTATATTTTATTCATACAGTACCTCCATAAATCTATATATTTCGATATTTACAAATATCGAGACTGCTCGCCCAATACATACATGGAAAGGCAAAGCAGTTGCTGGCCCGCTACTACTAACTACGAGTAGTCTTCTAATTCGGCATCCGAACCAAAGTCATCCTCCCCATCACTGCTGTCACCTTGAAAGTCTCCATCATCATCATCATCGTCATCATCATCGTCTTGTTTCTTCTTGGGACTCTTGCGTTTCTTTGTGGGTCGCTTGACCTCCTCTTCTTCTTCTTCAATTTTTTCATCAGCATCCTCGTCATCTTCCAAGGCAGAAGGAAGGGCATAATTGACGGATCCACGATTGCGACGACCCCGTCCTTCTTGAATAATCAAGGAGGTATCCAAACCATCCAAATCGTCTTTACGCTTTTTCTCAGCCTTGGCCGCCTGGATATCTTGGGTGGATGGAACAATACCCTTCCAAGTGGCCCCGGCATCTTGCAAGCGCTTGGTCAAGGCTTCGATGCGCTCGTCGTCGTCTTGCATATCCTTTAGGCCTGCATGGAGGCGAGGGCCAAATCGCATGGCTTGGCCCAATTTGAGGAGGCTTTGGACTTTTGTGCCATACGAGGCATACGCGGGAGTCGAAGCAGCAGAGGTGGTGGTTGGAGAGGAGGACTTCTTGGTCGACTTTTTGGTTTTGTTGGTAGTAGATTTGGATGCCTTGGATGTTTCCTTTGTCTTTTTTACTACTTTCTTTTTCTTGATGGGCGATTCTTTCTTCTTGGAAAGTTTCTTGCGAGCCTTGGGAGCGGGATCAACATTTTGATCGTCCTCGTCGCTGTCTAAAAGGTCGCTACCAGCATCATCATCAACACCATCATCACCATCATCATCATCATCATTGCTCTCGATGTCAGACTTGTGACTTTCCTCATCACTGTCTTCACCATTATCGTCATCGGCACCGTCGTCACCATCGTCATCATCATCCGCTCGTTCCTGCACGACTTGAGCGATGACCTTTTTGAAAAGTTCCTTCTTGTCGGAAGGAAATTTGCCGTCCATCCCCAATCGTTCCATGACTTGCTTGCGAATGCTCTTTTCCGACTCGTTTTCAAACTCAAAGGAGGGAGAATCAAAGATGGCCTTGATTTCCTTCTCTAAGCGAGACGCAGTGATGATTGTTGCAGACGATGAGGAAGGCATGATGGTTTTGGGAAAAATGACACGAGAGCACTCGTTGCGCTTCTGATTGATTATTGCTTGTTGTGGCAAATCGATCGAAGTCTGATCTGGCCTTCACCCGTACTTGCAAGACTGGCGCGTAACGTAACTAGCAGAACGCAACGCGTCATAGCGTCGCGTAACCGAAGATCCAACCACCAAAATACAAAAATCTATCAAAAACACAAATCCATCAATCCACGCTCCTTTCACAAAATGGACGATACTAGCAAAAGTGGTACTGGTAGTAATAGTAGTAGTCCTTCTCTATTAATACCAACTCCCTTGGTGGCTTCGGAAGAAAGCAAGGCATGTCTTTCCAATGCCGTGGAAGTTTTCCAGGAGCTCTTTTCGGAACCATTCTCCTCGTCACAAGACTACCCACAGATTTCGACCCTGTTGGAACTCCACGATCGTCTGAGTCATCTTCTTCTTCTTGTCCATCACAATGGTGATGATGATAATGATAATAACAATAATAATAATGACAAGATTCCTCAATCCATTGCAAGATATTTCTCGCAACTGCGACTACAGAGACATGATGACAATACCAACAACAAAAGTCAACAAGATATCAAGAAGAAACAACAATTGTTTGAGTACTTGGCAGTGGAAGCGGATTTGTATAGAGCCATGGCGTTGACTTCCATATATTTGATGGAAATGATACCAACGGCAACCAACCGTCCGCTGGATGTGTCGGTCGAACAAGGGTTGAAATCTTGCTATCAGCGTGCACAATTTCTCGTCAAGATGATGGACCATCGCGTCGTACAATCGGTGGACGTCGTCCTTGTAACACCAAATCAAGAAATCAATTCAACATCATCATCATCATCATTATTATTGGATCATTACACAACCGATTATTCGGAGCAGCTAGAACGATGGCTCCTGGAATGCGATTCTTTGGAAGAAAATGATGATAACAACAATAATAGTATCATGATGTTTGACAAGGAACAATTGCAATTGGAAGAAGACGAACTCATGCAAATGGCTGCGACACCAACACCGAATGAAACAGAAGACGATTCAGCGATTCTACCATCCGCCACTACAACTTATACTTCGGATAGGAATAGCCCCACTGACCTCTCGGCTCGTCTCATACAATACGATGATACCAGTAGTACTCCAGAGAACGACGACAGCACTGACAAAAACAAGAACAACACATCTCAATATTCGACGCTGGTCGTTCTCAATGACAGAGGAGGTGTCTTTCAAAGTCAACATCCTCAAGAGCAAGCTTGGTGGTGGGCGTTGACGAGCGATTCCACCATACAGTGTGATCATCATGCCAACAACGACGACAACAATCATGATCAAATGATGATTACCATTTCGTCCGTCGTTTCCAATCGACCCAAACTAGGACAACACTTGCCATTCATACAGTTGCACGCAAAGAAACCACAAGACGTTTCTCTTTGGTGGTCAAGAATATCCAAAATTGTACAATCCTTGCAAGAAACCAAAGACCTGCAACACGAATTAGAATCCTTGTGGCCAGCAAAGGAGGTCCAAACCAAGTTGGAAGAGTCAAGATTGTTACTATCTTGAAACTTTTTAATAAATATACTGTAGTATAAAAACAAATTGAAAATGACGCCTAATTGTGATTTGATTTTAGTTTTAATGCGTATGGTGGTATGCGGTGTGTGCATGTGTGCATGTTTGTTGATGCATGATGTACGCTGTATGTGTGCATGTATGTGTTGTGCTAGCAAAAATTGACGGTTGAAATTTGCGAGTCTCAATTGTTCGTTTCAAGATCAAAATGAATTTGTGCAGGAAGAGGGCTGCGAATGTAGCGTGTGTATTGAGTGTATTCGTGTAAAATACCGATCGTTGTCACATGTGGGAGTTCAATTGCAAGTTACTGTTTTGTGTAGCGGGGTGAGTGAATGAATCGAATCATCATCACGGGAGTGAAACGTCAAGGAGCTGGGATCCAAACTGTAGAAACAAACAGCAAATGAGTGACTTTCAAGAACAAGAAAATGAAGCGATGCAAAAACAAAAAATACTCACTCGTCGTTCAACAGCCATTACTGATCGAATCTGACCAAGGCTGTCCATCAATGTCTGTAGGTCTGCAAGGCATCGAACGTTGATCAAGAACACTAGTGTTGCACTCTCCTTTGTTGTTTGACTACCAGTCTTGACAATCTCGGATAACTCCGAGACAACTTCAGAGCAATCTGCCAACAACAATTTTCGATCTTCGGCGTGAACGACAACTTCACAAGGATACAAGAAATCGTCTTCAGCGTCTAGCTCTGACCATTCCAGCTTTACTGGAAGACCAGGAGGGCCCTCCGTTGTTCCGTTTCTCAATCCGCTTCGCAAGCTGACGCTGTCTATTCTTTGTCCAGACCCAAGGAAAAAATTGTCTTTTGCTGGCGTCTTATTCTCTGCGAGAGCAATATTGATGGCACGTTGAGCATGAGGACATCCTATTCTATGAACTGTCGTGACTGCTTCGTAGTCATTCTCTGGTCGTGTTCCAACAATTTCATCTCCGTAGATTGGAAGACAAGTTGTGCAAACATGTTCTGGATCAGCGTATTCCACCTTCCCCTTCACAGTGTTTGCGACAACGGTATCAAGTGGAAGAGGAGGTGTCGATGTTCTTGGCCAAGACAGCGGTGGGGAGCTCTCACCATTCGTATCAGTTGACGATTCAGTAGCCGCAAATGCAGCATTCTCCGCGTCTTGCCGCATCAAATTGACGGCATCTGCAACTGTTTTTGCCATTGGAGATTGTTCGTTTTCGCCATCAACAAGCACGCGTAGTGGCACTTTGAATAGTTTTGATGCAAATGCATGGAGCGTGTCGCGATCGTTCTGTTTTCCAATCGTCATTAGGAGATCGTCAATTTCGTTGTAGTTGGTATTCCCTGGAAGCCAACTCTGAAGTTCTTCGACCGTAACAGGTATTCTGAACTCTTCTTCAATGTAGGATGATTTCAAAATGAGATCTCCATGAATCCATAGATAATCAAAGAGCAAAATTTTTCCAACCTCCATCAAGCTGTAGACAAAGAGTCCGAGTTGAGAACAATTTGAAGATTAAATGACAAAATGTTGCGGTGACACCTACCTTTCTTTTTGCTTTGTTCGGAAGTAAGAACGCAGCTTTGAGCGCGAAGACCTACTCTTCACGATACCTATCCAATCAGTTGATGGTTTCCCTTCACCGGTCAGAATAGAAATGACATCGCCATTCTGTAACTCATAGGAAATTGGAACTGGTCGACCGTTGATTTCAACACCATGCATGTTGAGACCAACTTGAGTGTGAATTTGAAAACCAGCGTCAAGTGCTGTGGATCCACGAGCAAGGTTCAAAATTTTGCCATTTCTCAAGAAAACAAAGACTCGCTTTCCCAGCAGTTCATTTCGAACACTGTCAACAAAGTCTCGGGAATTCAATTTCTCGTTCTGCCATTCCTTGATGCTTGCCAGCCATGGAGTATTATACAAGTCTTGACCGCTGCGCTTTCCATCAGTATAAGCCCAATGTGACGCCATACCATACTCCGCAACTTGGTGCATCATCTTGGTACGAATTTGGACTTCAATCTTTTGACCATTCAATATCAAGGCAGTGTGTAAGCTTTGGTATCCATTCGGTTTTGGAAACGAAATGTAATCCTTCACCCGTGTTGGAACAGGTTGGAAGCCGTCCAAGTGCTGCACCAATCCCAAGACATGGTAGCACAGCCATACGCCGCGATCTGTTTCATTCTCGTCGTCTTCTGGGTTCGATTTGGGTGTAATAACGACTCGAAGTGCCACAACATCTAAGATACGATCCAGATTTCGTTCACCTTTGGTTTCCATTTTGTGCCAGAGAGAATATATCTCCTTCATTCTTCCCGATACCTGAACTTCTACAGCTTGATCTTTTAGTGTAGGGTCAATGTTCAATCTGGCTCTAAGCATCTTTTGTGCTTTGGTCAGAGCTTGTTCGAACTTTTCTTGATGTTGCTGCAGTTTTCGATTCAGTCGTTTGTACTCTTGAGGGTAGAGGTACATGAAAGCAATATCCTCCAGTTCACTCTTGAACTGCCAAATACCCATGCGATGTGCCAGTGGTGCAAAAATGTCCAGGGTTTCTCGAGAAATCTTGATTTGTTTCTCCGGCTTCATGTGCCGAAGTGTTCTCATATTGTGCAGACGATCTGCAAGCTTGACGATGATGATGCGGTAATCGTCCGTCATGGCCACAAACATTTGCCTCAAGTTCTCGGCCTGCTCATCGGCAATCTCCGACAAGGCAATCTTTGGAAGTTTGGAAACTTTGGTCTCTCCTTCCACAATCGATCGGACTACGGTTCCAAACATGTCCTCGACCAATTCAAACGTTAACTCGGTATCTTCCACAGTATCGTGTAACAGACCTGCCTTCACAGTAGGACCGTCCATTTTCAATCCAGCCAACAGCATGGCTACCTCGACTGGGTGAATAATGAATGGTTCACCACTTTTTCTCATTTGCCCTCGATGGGCTCGGTAGGCGACTCGTAATGCATCGTATATCTTTGCCACCTGTTCGGTACCCAAGTAGGATATCAGTGGACGGAGGTTTTGCCAATAGCTATCCACTTGCTCGCAATCGTAGGGAGACATGTCTCTCAAGTCTTTGTATATTTGATCTACCGTTTCTTTTTGCTCTTTGTTTAGAAACATGCCTTGCATCATGATGGACGTCCAATCGTTCACCTCCGGGGCAACATTAGGTGTACTGTCACTTGGTCTCACAAAGTACGGCTGAGATTCCCCATTATTGTGATTGTGGTGATCGCTGTTGTGATTGTTGTGATCATGGTGGTTGTTATTGTCATTATTGTCTAGCTTTTCGGAGGATCCATTCGTCGTAACAAAACCAGGCCCAGCTTCCATCACATCCGTTGTGTTCTCAATACTGAACTTGAAGAATCGATTGACTCCTTCATTCTCTGCACTGTTGAATACTCTGGTTTCTCGTCGTGAACGAAGACTCCGAGGATTTGCAAATGATCTTGGCATTTGGTTTGTGACATACGCTTCCACGTTGCCAATCAGAAGGACAGCGAGGAGGGATGCTCCTAAAAGTGATGAGGACCTGCATGTGATTGTGATGTCGGTCCTTCTTGGAATGACCTTTGTATTTCTCATCGGCTCAAACGACGTTTTCGTCTGCATGTATATTCTCTTGGCCGATTAATAGTGCGCCGTTGGAATATATTATTTAGTTTGCCAGTGGTCGCTGTCACGTTTGGGAACTTTTGTGAAGGTTGATGCAGAAATATGCTTGTGGAAGATGCAGCTGATTTTCCGTTTCCCGGGGAGTCGGAAAATCGGGCAGCATTACGCAACTATGACAGACTTGAGAATCCAATCAGAACTGTTTCCGGAAACCACAAATCAGAAATCAGAACTGTGTACTGACGTGTTGGACATTTGACTTTTATAGTCCCAAACTACTTTGTGACTGGCGACGGCCAAACCAGTATGGCATCAAATAGGAAACATACCTGATCCTGATCCCAAACCAAATTCCAAACAACCTTGCCATTTATTACGTCCAACAAGAACAATAATATCGTGCCATGGGACGCGACAAATTTGCAGCCATGGCAAAAGCCACTGAACGGCAGTCAGTATCACCAGTCAATCCACCAAAACGTGACAAATTGGCAGCATTGGCAGCGTCTCGAAGTGCAGCAGATAGTACTCCAACCAGCACTACTGATGCGGCAGAACCGAGGGGAAACAGCAAACTTGCCGCGATGGCAGCGGCCAATACTTCCGCAAATCGAACTGTAACAGAAGCATTGGATGATAAACATGAAAAACGAACGAGAGAACTCCAAGAGAAAATGTCAAAACGCAAACAAATCTTGCAAGATTTGGACCAGGCCGAAGATTTGACGTGCAAATTGTTGGATATTGTCCACCAGACCACCAATGCTCTTCAAGATATGACCTCATCTTCTCCAGAACTAGCTCAATTATCACGAGACTATAGAAAGACACTACAAGAGATACATCCTCTGTTGAGCCGAGGTACCGAAGCATTGGTTCAGCCCTACCAAAATCATACTACGGAAACCAACCAAAGTATGTACGCAGCACGAGTGGAAATGAGACTGGCCAAGGAAAGATCAGATGTTCTTAAGGCATTTACTGAATTGGAACGCCAACCAAATGAAGAAGCTACAGGTGGGGACGAAAGTATGATGGCAGGAACCAAGAGATCACGAGAAGATGACAATGATGCTATAATAAATAAATAACTAGTTTTGATTGGCTTTCGAAGATTTCATCCTTCTCTTTTCTGGCTTCATGCTGTATTATATATAATACATGTATTATAATGTAAATACCGGTAAAGATATGCAATACTGTACTGAAATACGGTACATAGGTAGAACATACGCATTAATGTTATCCCCTTTTGAGATCACCCTTTTCGTCCTCCCCCATTTATGGTGGTGGTATTTTAACCGCCCTTGCGATGCCGGTGAACTTCGCATTGGACTTATTGAGAATCGCAAACGGTTGAACCTCTCTTCAACAGTGGAGTTGTTTCTTTTACATATCCAAGCAGCCACCGCCTAGATCCAAACAGCCACCAGTTACTCACTCGATTCCGTGTAGAAGTCTCCAAGAAACACTTGAAGAATTATTGATCCGCCTACAAGAACCTGATTGATTGTCAACTTCCAATAGATTCATTGATTCATAGAACATGCCACAAGTTCAACTGCCACAAGCCGAGTTCAAGGTGAGTACTGCATTTACCGTTTCATTCCTGGTCTATTCTATTCTGTCGACATAATACTGACTTTTTGCCACTGAAAGGTTGTCATGCTCGGTGACGCCTTTACGGGGAAAACATCGCTTGTCATGAGGTTTGCAGAAGGATATTACAGGGAGACATCACGGAATGCAACGGTTGGAGCATCCTTTACCACGAAACGGTTGACAGTACGAGGGGTAACTAGCAAAATTCAAATATGGGATACTTCCGGTCAAGATCAATTCAAACGGCTGGCGTCCATGTACTACAAACAGGCGGCAGCTGCAATTATTTGTTACGATATTTCGTCTCCCGAAACCTTTGAAGCCGTGAAATCGTGGATTGACGAATTGCAATCAAAGGCTACCAACCGCATTGTCATTGGGATATGTGCCACGAAATCGGATCTAGTTCGAAATGCCGACACGGCCGAGGTGGAACAACTAGCCGAGCAAACGGGTTCGATTTTCTTTACCACATCGGCCAAGGACAATACCAATGTCCATTTATTATTTGAGAAGGTGGCGGAACAAGTTTTGGAAATACAACAGGAACAGCCGGACGCCATAAGTGTCAACCTGGTACACGGCGAGGAGACCAACCTATCACCGCGACAAACTCCAAAGCCAACCATGCGAGCTGTCGCTGCGGGCACTCCAGGAAAGAATACCTACAATATGGCCAACTACATGCCAGACACTCCCTACATTGATGAAAAGAAGGACGCAGACGATATTATTGTGGACCATGAGAAACACAAGAGAAAGAGCGGCAAGAAGGGGCAATCCAATGGAATGTGTGGGGATACATATTTGTGTGGTGATTTGCCAGAGGAAATGGTGCAGAATAACTGTACCGTCTCGTAGATAGATAGACTGCATCTCTGGTGGGGATTCATCCATTCAATCGGCTTTTCTATCAATCATCTGTAACACTACTACTACAATAACAACAGCAACAGCAACAAAAAGACAAGAATATATCCAATCGACGGGGACAGTTCTGTGGAATACTAATAGACCAATATGTTTGTTCATTCATGCCCTAGGTCCTAGACCCTTTTAGAAATCTATTTTGAATGGTAGGGATCAAAGTTTGCTTCTTCTTTTGCTGCTACTGCATTTAGTCCGACTCCCCAATCTTGGCGGTTGTAACAAACTGCCTGAGCATGTGCGTCTCTGTGTAGAGATTGATCGATTGATTGATTCGGATGAGTGTATGTATCGTATAACTTTCGTTGTTTCAGCTAAAGATAGATCCATGAAGGACAACTAACTTACCGGTACAATGCATCCACAAGTCCATGATCCTTTCCATGTCGAAAGTTTCGAATCATGGAACGGACTGCCACAGGATGCATCTTGGCGATTTGTTCGGCCAGGGAATGTGCCTCGTCCTTGACTTGATCCGCGGATACGAGTCGATTCACAAGTCCCAGCTCGTGAGCATCTTCTCCCGTCAACGTCTTGCCCAGTAGCAGAATCTCAGTGGCAATGGTCGATGAAATTCCTGCTTGTTGCAGCATGTACATACCACCCAACCCACTCGGAATCCCTAGTTTGGTGAATGGAAAGCCAAGAACTGGTGTCCCTCCAGATGCCGCTACGCGAAGGTCGCAGGACAAGGCCAAGCAGGCACCTGCTCCCATTGCGGGACCTTGTAGTGCCGCTATTACTGGAACTGGTAGCTTTTGTCGCATACAGATGAAGCTACTGTAGAATTGAACCATGGTGTCAACATTCTGGTGAACAGAGTTTTCGGACAGAGAATGCAGCCATTCCAGATTCCCACCAGCTGAGAACGCCTTGTCGCCTTCTCCACACAGAACGATTGCCTGAACATTGCTTTCGTTGTACAGCTCCTTTTCGATCTTTCCAATGAGTGCTTCAAAATCTTTGCCCATCTCCATTGTCAAAGCGTTGAATGTCTTCGGGGTTTTCAAAGTGATAGTACCGACTTTGTCTTTTGTCGACCAAGACACCAGGGACGACGATAACCTCTTTCTAATCTCACTATTATTATTAAAGGCATGATTGTTGACTCTTGTAGAATTTCTCAGAGTGCTTGTGGCGAATCGCGATGTCATCCTCATGGGAACTCTTGATGTTGACAGGTTGTAGTGTGAAGAATGAAATGCAGAGTTCGGGTTTTTGGGTACTTTGGTAGTGTCATTTTATTGGAGTTAACAGTTTTCGGTGATGACTTACTTCCACACCAACCAGACACATCCTTGCAGATCATCATCAAACACATACCAATGAACTTGAGGCGCTGCCAAACGCTCACAGATGCCATTCCTCGCCTTGAAAAGATCTTTGCCGAAAAAGCAAATCCGAAAACAGCCAATGCCTTTCCTCTGTTCAATAAGAGCACCCACCAAGCGGTGTGGAAGTCGGTGCCAATCAACAAAGAACGACAAGCGGCAGTGCTCGTCCCTCTAGTTTCCTTTCAAGGAGAGCCTTCTATACTATTTACAACAAGATCGATGAACTTGCCTCATCCTGGTGAAGTGTCATTTCCTGGTGGGCACCTAGAAGAAGGCGTTGACAATTCATTGACCGACACTGCTCTTCGGGAGGCGCAAGAAGAATTGCTAGGAGACTACCCATGGGACGAAGTTCATATCTTGGGGCAGTCCACTGCTCTGCCTTCTGCAGGGGGAACTCCAGTGACTCCCATCATAGGGGTACTACCATATGAGATTCATGCCAACACTTTTCCAGGAAACCCCCAGGAGGTCGACGAGGTTTTCGTTTTAAGCCTAAAGGAGCTGTTAGAGATTGAGAGCCGTGAGAGATTACAACGATTCAAAAGCAATGTGCCGGTGTTCCATAGGCAGCATGGTGAAAGAATATGGGGCTTAACAGCAGTGATCACCCGACCAATTCTCCATAATCTGTTCAAACCAGTGCTGCTGGAAAGTTCACGGTTGTGAGTGAGTCAGTCAGTCAGTCATTGGGTTTCGGTGGGTAGAGCTGGGAGATTGACAATGATGTAAATAGGCTCCTAAAATACAAATTTGATCAAGCGTCACGATGGAATAATGATAGTAGTATTAAAATTGGGTCATCATGGTCAGATCTTGGTAGCAGCCATCAATCTCTTGGATGATAAAGCGGATGCACGAATGGATGGTATCTCATAAAATAACCCCTTTGCTCATAGACTTAAAGACGAAAAAGTGTAGCGAAGCAGGCTGGAGGTGTACAGTATTGTACACTGTACAATACCGGTGCCACCCATGTATCCATGATCGATCCGTTCGATCATATCCCCCCACAGCAGGAGTATACGCGCAAATGCTGCAAACACTAACACGACCATGCCAAACGATCGATCACTATCGACAAAGTGACCTACTGTAGTCTTTGAACCTTACAGCAGCAAGCTTCACATCGCACCATGTCGTCAAGGCGTAGATCCGATGCCAAAGCAACCGAAAATGACCATAATCAGAACAGCGTCCTTTCGGCCAAGGTTTCGAGAGCTCTCGAGGTGAGGAGCGACACTCCTGCCATGAAGGCTGCCCTGGATGCCCTGGCACATCTTCCAGATCATCAGGATGATTTGTTTTCTGTGGACTCTCGATCAGTGCGTGTTGCTATTGAACAAGATGCTCTTCAGCAAGCACTGTTTTTGCAAGAAAAACTCCGTGGTTTGTTGGATACAGTGTCTGATTTACGAAACGGTGTAACCGAGATTGCTGCGATTGCCCATGAGGTGGAAGATGCCGTCTCGATGAATGTAATGGCGGATTCTAAGCCACCGCCATCCGATTCAAATTCTGAAGCAAAAGAAAATGAGAATGCTGCAGCAAACACGGCCGCAGATATTGGACTCGAAGCGGAACAAAAACTGGCTTTGACTCTAAGCGAAGCATTTGTCCAACGCAACATGGCGAAGAAACGAGTGGAAGCGGTGCACGCATTTTTGGAAAAGTTCGATTTGTCCGAGGAAGACTCTCGTCTCTTGGATCATTACGCATTTGAGGATATTGAAACTTCAGCGGTCAATGGTATGGCTTTCCTTGCAGCATTGGAACGCGTTCGTGTAATTCGGTTGGAGCTTGGTCAAAAGAGTAGACTAAGTGATGCTGATGCCAGTCGTCTGGGAGCGTCATCGACCCTTCGAATGATGGAAGGCCTTGCAATGAAGCAAGAAAACGCATACGAAAGGCTCTATCACTGGCTACAAAAATATCTTCGTGTTTTTGGAAACGAGTCTGCAGGTCCAAATGCCTTGGACGAGGATGTTTTGGATGAGGCATTATCCAATCCTTTTGTTCTCAAGTCGCTTCGCGCACTCAAGAATGTCCCAGCCTTCCATTCCCACTTGCTGGAATTGATTGCATCTTCCAGAAGATCTGAAGAAACTCGAAGATTTTTGATTGCACTTACTAGTGGTTATCAAGGTCTTCCACCGATTGAAATGAGGGCTCATGATGCAGTTGTTTATGTTGGTGATATGCTGGCCTTTTGCTTCCAAGCCTTTTCTGTGGAGGCTGATGTGGCAAAGGGCGTCCTTCGAACTGTCGCGGATGATGACGACGATGGTGACGAAGGCGAGGTAAAGACTCCTTTGGCATTAGATGAAGCTGACTACCTAATTGAGAAACCGATGACGGCAGCAGAAATGGTTATTCAAAGTATGGGGGGTGTGGCCAGACCACTAAAGTCACGTATTCTCCAAGTAATTGCAAACCTGTCTCGGCGGCAGAACGATGACTACGAATCTGATGACGATATGGAAGAAATCGAAGAGGAGGGTTCTGGTGCTCGCCATCGTCTCGCCCAACTCTATGAAATCTGCGGCCTTCTACTTTTCTACATGTCGGCAATCGGCAAGTCCATTTCCAAACTTGAAGATTGGGAGGTCTCAACAGAGAAGAATCCTCTTTTGGATTCGCTCGTTGAGTGCTTGGAGGAAGGCACACAAGCTTATGACGCTTCACTTCGTGTGTACTGTTCAATGTTTGAGCAACTCAACTTGTTGACTGGGGATTCGGAATCATTATTGGCACATGCTATGATTATTAAACTTGCCGACTTGCGAAATACTTCTCCAGGCTTCACGACAACCGTAGAGTGTCCAGCCGACTGCAAACAGGCACTATCATTGGATTTCGCTTGCAAAATTCTTGTTGAAGCTTCTTTGCCAAGCTGCAAATCGCTAGATGATACAGTATTGCTTAAGCAAGCGATTGCAACCGCAAATGAATCAGAATTGGGCGAAGAGATCACACTATCACTACGAGATAAGATTGAAATCCGGGAGACATCGCTGATCAACGAGCTAGTTCAAAAGGAGACTTCGGATGTTCTTGACTTGTGCGGTCTTGGGTCGCTTTTGTCTGCGCTGGATCGATTCAATGGTGTACAAGTCGATGGAATGGTAATGTCTGCGCATCCTGGACTCGCACCAGAGGACGTCCAAGTGGCAATGAAGGAATTTTATACGTCTCTTTACTCTCCACCCATTCCTTCCTTTGAAAGCACGATCAGGGATCCATCTCTGCGGAAGTCAGCTCGGAAAAAGATTGCTGACAGCGTTTGTGACTCTTACAAAACACTGTACGATACAATGACCACGAGCGAGAGAGGCGGGTACGATGATTTGGGATTTCTCAGCCATACCCCTGAACAAGTGTCCACACTCTTCACCCTATAATGCTAGCCTGGAGATCACGTCTTTTAAAAATAGATCACGTCTTTTAAAAGTATTCTCTAGGTTCTTTATTACTTCAGCTATCATCATGCTTTTCCAGCATTCGATTGGCACTTTCTGTGCGTCGATCCTTATATCCATCTGGTTTGGGGAATGGATTTTGCTCCAACGTCACGGAGAAGTTTGGATTATTCCGCGAATTGAATTGTTGCAATTGGCCAAGCCCTTTGTAGGCAATGTGAATCTGTTTTATGCCTTCCGGAGAGTCTGGGTCCATGTTTACATTCTCACGAAAGTCTTCCCGAATTGACTCTGAAACAGAAGAACAAAAGATGCGTCATTAGCAAACGATCAAACTGAAGAGAAATGAAAAATAGTTGACTCACGGTAGATTCTTGCGCGATTCTTTGACGGATATGTCTCACATGCGCGCAAGAGTCTTCGATAAAGATATAGTAGATCTTTGCTTAAAGCTTGGGAAGTCATGCTGATGAAGGACGTGTGATGTGTGATGCGTTCTGTGTTTCCATCACTTTCGTGGAGTGAGTCAATCATGTCCCCCTTTTGTCTAAAAAATGTCAGGGGAGAAGACCTCACACCTGCGTCTGGCCTCCCTCCCGAAGGCTTGCCTGAAACCAGAACTTGCTAAACATCACCAACAAAACAACCAGTTGACCAGTTGGTATCATGCCAAAAGGAAGAAGGAAAGCCAAACCGGACCCTGTTCCGTCCTTGAAGACCGATGTTATTAAGGAAACAGTTGATATTGGGTCGTCCTTGGATCCTCGACTAAAGACACCCTTCGAATGGGGTCGAGTTCGAGCAACACCGTATGGATCCTGTTTGGACTCCATGCAGTCGGGTCAAGATGCGGAAGAATGGCACGCATCGAGAAAGAAACGGTTCGACCCACTAAACCCTCCTGTTGAGGGATATGATCACGTCTACGGGCAATCTACCATAGATCAGATTGATGGAACCGAACTGGCTTCAGCTGGAACAAAGGAATCGCAGGATTTAGAGGATGTGAGATTGAAACATGCACATGACTTTGGCTCTACCAGAACCCCTGCCGATGCCCCTGTTGGATCACTGAAAGACAAATGGAGACTACTCCCCCACTTCCTTCAGCTGAGATCACTGATGCGCCAACATATTGACTCCTTTGATCATTTTGTGAACGTAGAGATGAAGCAGATTGTACAGTCCGAAAGTGCTCGTGAAATTAGATCGGAACACGATCCCAACTTTTATTTGCGCTATACTGACTGTTGGGTAGGAGAACCAAAATTTGTGGAAGACTCTTACGTAGACACCGCTCTGACTCCGTTCCAGTGCCGGTTGAGAGATTGCACCTATTCGGCACCCATTTATGTAAATGTTCGGTATACTCGTGGTCGACAGATTGTGGATAAGAAGAACGTGATTATTGGACGGATGCCAATCATGCTTCGCTCTGAAAAGTGCATGCTTCGAAACAAGTCGGAACGGGAACTGGCTGCAATGAAGGAATGTCCATATGATCCTGGTGGCTATTTCATTGTGAAGGGAGTGGAAAAAGTTATTTTGATTCAGGAACAGCTGTCGAAAAATCGTGTCATTCTAGAAGAAGACCCCAAAGGGGAGGTTTGCGCAAGCATCACATCGTCCACCCATGAGAGAAAGTCGAAAACATACATCGCGATGAAGCATGGGAAGGTATACATGAGGAACAACACACTGGGAGATGATGTTCCGATTTCTATTGTGTTAAAGGCCATGGGAATCGAGAGTGACATGGAGGCAGTGCAGCTTGTGGGAAGTGAAGACTACATTGTCAACGCCCTTGCGTTGTCTCTGGAAGAACCCAGGAAGCTAGGAATCCACACCCAACTTCAAGCATTGAAGCACATTGGTTCAAAGATTCGACGTTACAGCAACTCATATCGAAAGCCCCTCGCCCCAGAAGAAGAAGCCAGGGAGGTTCTTAGCAGGGTTGTACTGAGCCACGTACCTGTTGCTCATTTTGATTTCAGAGCAAAGGCAATTTATGTGGGCCACATTACACGACGAGTTCTCATGGTCCACCTAGGTAAGCACAGCCTGGACGACAAGGATTACTATGGAAACAAAAGACTGGAGTTGGCAGGTAACCTTCTGTCACTTCTATTCGAGGATCTTTTCAAGATTTTCAATGCAAACTTGAAACGACAAGCCGACATGGTTCTCTCTAAGCCAAATAGAGCACAGGCATATGATGTTGCAAGGGTGATACAACCTGATACAATCGCAAATGGAATGATCACTGCAATTGCTACAGGCAATTGGGTGCTGAAACGTTTCCGTATGGACCGAGCCGGCGTCACCCAGGTTTTGACAAGGTTGTCGTACATGTCTGCCGTTGGAATGATGACAAGAATCAACAGTCAGTTTGAAAAGACTAGAAAAGTTAGCGGACCTCGTTCATTGCAACCAAGTCAGTGGGGCATGTTATGTCCAGCTGATACTCCCGAAGGTGAAGCATGTGGTCTGGTAAAGAACCTTGCTCTGCTCGCGCATATCACGACTGACGAAGATACACAACCGATTGAACGCCTTTGCAGAGACTTGGGCGTTGAAGATGTTTCTCGACTCTCAGGCCATGAGCTCCACTCCCAAAATGCATATTTGGTGCTGCTGAATGGTCTCATCCTTGGTGTGCACACGCAGCCAGATCTTCTTGTTAAAAACCTTCGGAGCCTGCGAAGACGGGGGCTGGCTGGAGAGTTTGTTTCGTTCTATCTGCACCAAGGACAGAGAGCCGTCCACATCGCGACTGATGGAGGTCGAGTTTGCCGTCCCCTCATCATTGTTGATGAAGCTTCAGGGCTTCCTAGGCTGAAACAAATTCATGTCGAAGCCCTTGCAATGAAAACAATGAGTGTCCGAAATCTATTACAGCAGGGAATTGTGGAATACGTCGATTGTAACGAAGAGAATAACACATTGATTGCGGTGACGGAAAGAGATTTGGCAACAGCAAGAAAGCAAGGACTTGACAAGCAACGAATGAAATATACACACTTGGAAATTGATCCGTTCACTGTTCTTGGAGTTGTCGGTGGTATCATCCCGGTAAGTTCTTTTCGCATCACCCAATTCTATTCCAACTTGTTATTCATACACTTTTTTTTGCAGTACCCGCATCACAACCAGGCCCCACGAAACACATACACCGTAGCCATGAGTAAACAAGCAATGGGAACCATTGGGATCAATCAATATGAGCGAATGGATGGTTTGATTTACACTCTCGTTTATCCGCAGAAGCCTATGGTAAAATCTCGAACACTTGACTTGGTCGGTTTTGATAACATTCCTGCCGGTCAGAATGCTGTAATTGCGGTAATGAGTTACAGTGGTTATGATATCGAAGATGCTGTTATTCTGAACAAAGCGGCAATCGACAGGGGATTTGGTCGATGTATGGTTTTCAAAAAGCACCAAACGAGTGTTCGCAGATACGCCAATGGAACGATCGATCGTACGCTGGGCCCCCCATCTGCAAGTGATTTCCCTGATGGAGAAGAAGACAAACGATTCCAGAGATATAGGGCCATTGATGATGATGGGATTTGTTTGGTTGGTGAGACAATCAATGGCGGCTCGATCCTTGTGAACAAAGAGTCGCCAATGGACACAACTAGCAACTTTGGAACAGATGCGGGTATAAACATTGGTGCATCCATGTCCAATGTCCAATACAAACCCGCCCCTTTGTCGTACAAAGGCAGGGCTCCTTTCCAAGTAGACAAGGTGCTGATCACCGCAAACGCACACGAACAGTTCCTAATCAAGGTCATGTTGCGGCAGATCCGTAGACCAGAGATTGGTGACAAGTTTGCATCTCGACACGGACAGAAAGGTGTTTGTGGATTGATTGTTCCGCAGGAAGATCTCCCATTCAACGAGTCTGGTAACTCTCCAGACTTGATCATGAATCCTCATGGATTTCCTTCGCGAATGACAGTCGGAAAACTTCTCGAGTTGCTTGTTGGAAAGTCTGGTGTTTTCGAAGGACGCCAAGGTTATTCCACCGCCTTTGGTGAAGAACACGGATCTGCAGACACGGCAGAAGCCACAGCCGAAGCTCTCGTGAGGAATGGATTGAACTACACAGGAAAAGATACATTTTATAGTGGAGCAAGTGGCGAGCCATTGGATGCATACATCTTCTCCGGGCCTGTATTCTACCAGAAGTTGAAACACATGGTATTGGACAAGGCGCATGCTCGAGCGAGGGGTCCCCGTGCCGTCTTGACTCGCCAGCCAACGGAAGGTCGATCGAGAGATGGAGGTCTACGGCTTGGTGAAATGGAGAGAGATTGTCTTATTGCGTACGGGGCTTCCAACTTGATCATGGAGCGATTGATGCACTCTTCTGACGCATTTTCTGCAAATGTTTGCGAGACATGTGGCTTGCTCCAATATCAGAACTGGTGTCAATATTGCAGATCCGGAGAGAAGGTTGTCGATATTCGAATCCCATATGCATGTAAACTTCTCTTCCAGGAGTTGCAGTCGATGAATGTGATGCCTCGCATTAAGCTGAAGAACTTTTAATGAGCACCATATTCTGAAGGCTATACGCAGTTGTAGCTAAGTGTAATGCTGTGGATAGTTCCAATTGTTTAAAATTGTAGTTTTGCTTCTCTAATTCATTACCCACCAATTCAACGACTCCGCGTCTACTAGTTGATAATTTTCATCGGAATCAAACATCATGTCTGTAAGCATATCTCCAAAGAGCGAGTGGTAAAGAAGGCCTCTGCTCGATAGTCCAGTAAAGATCCATGCATTGTCATGGAGTTCGCTATCGAAAGATCCAATTATTGGCAGTCTACCACGTGGGCCGCGATCGGATTGGACCCTGAATCCTTCAGTTACTTTGTGCACATCGCCATCGTCCCACAGGTCAGACAGAAAATCGTAAGATCTCATCTGAAGCTCGTCCTTCACACTGGCACAGTCCAAAGGCTCGTCTTTGAACTCTTGGGTCGCGCCAATATTCACTTTTCCTTTGTCAGGAAGAGGTGTCGCGTACTTCCCACATAATCTAACTTGCTCAAACTGTCTATTTCGGAGATGCAATTCGATCGATTGACCTCGAACTAGTTGTACAGGCAGCTCTTGCTTCACTACGGCGTCCTGGAACATTCCAGCACCGGCTGAGAGTACAACTGCGTCAAACTCACTCAAACGTTCTTTCCAGTCGGCACAGTCTTCTTCCAATGCCCAGACTCGATCACCTGTGCCTCTGGATTCGCAAGCTAGCCACAATCCATTTAGATATGAAGGCACATGAATCACCTTGCAGCCTGATCCATGAATACGAAGCGCGCCAAGCACTGAGCTTGAACTCGTATCCCATTCAAGTTCGTTTGCTTCAAGCCACTCGCAAAACTGTGGGTGTGACGACGCTGCTGCTTTGAGTACTGATCTATGTTTGTTGTTAACAGCAACGCGGTAGATCTCATCCCGTAAGACCACACCTTTCTCGAATTCGGATGCAGTCTCGATCAAGGTTTTGCTAGAATCAACACCTTGGATTCCAAATGCGGCGATTTTCCCTCGTGGAGTCAAGGGGTGTAACAACCTGAGAAAGGAGAATGATCGAAGTTAGATTCAAATGTCAAGTTCAAGCGAAATCCATTGTCAGTGTGTAATGGTCTCAGCGATCTTGGTGATATGAATTGTCGTCATGAGCTAGGCTCGATGAGGAGTAGCAAATAATATGCTCTTCCTTGACCAGTTTGTACAAATCAATTTATCACTTTGGTTTACTCACCCTCCAGCTACCGACGAGGCACCTCCCGTTCCAGGCAATGCCTTGTCAATGATTGTGACGTTGATCGAGGGCTTCTTTTTAATCAATTGGAATGCAGTGGCCATACCAGCGAGGCCTCCTCCAACGATCCCAACATTGTTGGGACCGATCGAAGACGGAATTGTCACCATGCCCTAAAGCTCATGCTTCGTTTATCTATTTGTGAGATGAAGCAATTGTGGCCAGTCAATAACCCGACGTGGACAGACTTCCTAGTTTGGCCGGATCCTCATCTCATTCATGATTCAGAATTTTACGCTACATGGATCGTGATCTACTACGTGTACTCGTGATCTACTACGTATACTCCATTACGGCTGTAGCAGATGTTACATTCCATTATCAACCACAACATCATACTTTGGTTTTCCGTCCTTGGCCATGACACCAAATCTATATATCTGTGCATTTGCCCGACTTCTTGCTATTTCGACGCCACGACAACTGTCCTCATTGTCATCTCTGTCACTACAAGCTTCATCATCCCATACGACCACAACACAATTCTGTGCTTCCCCGCTCCATGATTTAACTTGGATCACAATCCCAGATTTGTAGCGTTTTGGAGCTCCTAGTCGAATAGGATTCCAATCAGGACCAGGTTTTACCTTTTGCCCAATCTGTATTGTTGGAAGAGACCCATCACTTTTGGTTCCCGATATTTCCGCGTATGTACTAGAATGTGCTTTCCAAAAACCCCAACATAGACCATCGCAAATCAAATCTGGCTCTCTGCATGTGCGACAGCGGCGATGAGCATCTCTATCTATTTGTGCTGATCCATTCTCCAGGTCTTTCATACGTTGCTCTAGCTTAGATATTTGCTTTCGAAGCGTACGCTTTGTATTACGACTCAGGTCACTTTCTGCAAGTACCTTCAAGCCACTCAGTTGTTTCTTCAATTCATCACTGGCATAGACTTCCAGAAAGGTGAAGTAACAATCCTTCCAATCAAGATGGAGCTTGCAATGATATTCACGGTGGGTCTTTTGACACTCATCGCAAACCAACACAAGATCCCGACACACTGTACAGATCCGATTCCCACTTATCTTATCGAACTTTGTCTTGCAGTATATGCACTGCCCGACAATCTGTTTGTTATCAGATGCATCAAGTGCAACACGTTGATCGAAAACAAAGTTCTTCCCTTGGAAGTAACCATGGTCGCCAAACTGTTCAACATATCTGTGGATACCCCCTTGCAGTTGATTGACATCTTCCACTCCCCTTTTGGTCAACATGGCGCTCGCCTTTTCACAACGGATTCCTCCAGTACAATACATCAAGACCTTCTTATCTTTCAAATATTCGGCATTCTTGTCGCAAAATCCATTGAACGAAGCAAATGTCACCATTTCAGGATTCAAGACAAGTGTTTCTTCGAATGACGCTTCTGGTGGAACGAAATGGCCAATGTTGTATTCAAAGGTATTTCGAACATCAATGACAACAGTTTGCTTCTCTCCATCTCCTTTCAATGCAATGTGGAATTCCTCTGGAGTCAAATGGTTTCCGCCATATTGTGGTATGTCATCCAAAGTAATTGTGTTTCCGGTGCTAACAATTTCCCTTACAATCGCAATCTTCAGATCGGGGAACGGCTCTTTCTCAGACGCGTTGTCTGAAAACTTCCAATCAATATCATGTAGCAGCGGTTCTGCCTCTTCCAGTCTTGCACAAAATGCTTGAAGAGTGCCTGTATCTGGCCCTGAAAGTGTGCCATTGATTCCTTCCTTAGCGAGGAGTATTCTTCCCTTCAATGAGGATTCATAACACAACTGTTGAAGCGTTGACTCAGTCTTTTCAACATCGGTAGCATTGAGTTGTGGTAACGGCGCTAGAAAGTATTTGTAGAATAGAACAATGCCTTGGTGTTTTGCAACCTTTTTACTATTATCCATGATTTCATTTTGTGTTGTGTCTGCAGGTATCGAGTTTGACGTTTGATGTTTGACACCACCGGTCGAAGCACGAACCTCACGAGACATCTGTTTTTCTATTTTCATCCTCCAGCTCATTGTAGCGCACGACTGAAGATCTGATAATCAACGACTTGATTGTAGTTGCTGGGATCCGTTTCATCTATTGAATATTTGAGATCTTTGTAGAACTTTGCTGCCCGAGACTGACGGAACGCTGTCAACATGACACGAGGCAACTCAGCATCTACAGCAATTCTTTCAATCAGTCCCATGACCTTGGTTCCAATGCCCTGACTGCGAAACTTTGCACTGATTTGTATCTCATACAGATACAGGACGCCTGTACTTGGTGTTTCGTCGTCATCATATTCGAACCGAAAGTGTACGAACCCACCCAATTCATTGGCATTTGTCAACAATAGTAGAAATCTTGCGTTTTCGTGTTGGAGCTCCTTGGTTTTCTCATCCATGTTCAGACCCCAGGAACTCTTGCGATATAAGTCGCCCATATTCTCTTCGAAGAGCAATAGACATTCTTTTAGCCTTCTTTCTTCCAAACTCTTTGATGGGACAAACGCAATCGTCAACGATTCGGCACCTTCATCAGCCTTTGCCAACTTCAATTTCAAATCACCTTCAACGAATTTCGACATCGGATTATATTCAATACGATTGAGCTTCGTGATTTTCTTTCGGAGGATCTTCAGGTCTTTGGACTTCATTGCTGCCTTGTCGTTGTTGGATTATGTTGTCGGGAGCTTCAAACTTCTGACTTTTGACTTTGGTTTTCAAGTTTTCGGACGTCGTCTTCCCGCCATCCGTACATCCATTGTTCGCGCCAAAATTTGGCTTGACTGACTCGAATGATTGCTATACACTCAATAATTGTAGGTATTAATAAAATGAATGAATGGAATGGTTACTATTCTGTTTCAGCATCGTTCATATTCCTAAGTTCGCATCCACTCCCTTTTGCATTCGAAGAAGAAATGTCGATTCTATGGATGATAGCAATTGTGGGAAATTCATCGGTTCGGGATGGTTTTCATGGATATATCAATCTAGTCCTTACAATGGCATGTTCTAAATAGCACATCATAGAATGAGAAAATAAGAAGCTGCTGGGAATTTCAGCAAAAACTTCCAATGATTTGGCAACGAATAACTTACGGTGTATGTTTGCGTTTCGACAACGCTCAAACCATCAATCGACTTCAACTTTTCAATGAACTTTGATTCTGGCTCGAATCCTTTCTCTTCCCATTCACCAAACTTGTCAGCCGGAAGGGTGGTCACAACCTTGAAATCCAAGCATCCGCCACAGACAACTCGTTGGACTCCTTCGACGCCGTCAACCGACTTCACATCAGGAAGAATAGATTCTAGCGCTTTTTGGGCTTCGACCAAGGACTTCTTGTCGTCATCTGGTGACCACTTGCAGCGCCACTCACGAGAGATGGTGTCTTTGGCAAAAATAGAGATCAGAGGTAGTTCGTTGTACCACAGCAAACAACGATCGGAAATTGAAAATATCAGGCTTACCGAATTCCACACCTTCGCAAATCTCAATAGCCGAGAGGTTTGTGGTCCGACGCTGGCCATTAGGAGCGATAGAGAATGCAGAGGCGAAAGCAGCGAAAAGTGAAAGGACAATTGCAGTCTTCATTGTTACTGGCGTTGTTGTTTTTGCTGAAATAAGATATATACATTCTCGAATCTCGCTCATAGAAAACATCAACACGTACTTTTTAATTTTTAAAAGTACTTTGTTAGGCCTTTGTGGGTCATACTATTTCACTACCGGAAATACGGTGCCAGTACCCTGTAGCTAATAAACATTTTTTCGAATGTAATATGCATCGTTACATGCTATTCCTTTACTCATACAAAAACACCTAGTGACGGCGATCTGCTTCTTTCATTTTTGTCATTTTTCGAGTAATAAGGACAAGCATGCTGTAGATCAAAGCACTTCCCATTCCAATTTCTGCTAGAATTTCTGGTGTAGTGCTCCAGATCCAAAGCGTAGATACAAATGAAATGAGTGCCCACCGCATTGCAACAAAGAAGATAATACCGATTCGCATATTGAAGCTACTTCGTTCAAGCACTCGAAAGGAGCGTCGGAAGCCAACCTGCAGGAACTGTGATATGTCAACACAAAGCAGAACGATGCCCAAAGATAAGCAAAAAACAACGGCAGATCTTTCTTTCATTTCGTAGGCCGGATAGAGAGATACGGCTCCTGCTGCCAAGAAACGGCCCGCGAAAGCCAATTCAACCAATCGCCTTTTCTTCGAAGCTGCCTTTGCAAAGCTTCTCAGGAATAGTGTAAGTCCAGCTCCTAATCCAACCATCGAGGCAGAATAGAGATACTGAACAGAGAAAGCGACAATCGCGCGATTCTTAGAATCGACCATTACATGGCGCTCTGCAACCATTGGTTGTGAGGTGAAGTGAATATATTCCAGGAGAATGACGCAAAGTAATCCACAGTAGAAAGTGATATAAAATTCCTGTGTTTCAGTGACTTCTTCCACCAACAGGCTGAATACGGACTCGCCAAGCATGAGCATTGTCCACTCCATGTTGCGGTGAATGGTGAAATCAACATTAATTGGGACAACTGGAGCAGGCGTTTAGTTCACACAAGTGAATCAGAAGCACTTTTGGGCAAGATGAATACTCACTAAGTTTTTTGTGTGATCCATCGCTTGGGAACAAGCAAATTCCACGAATTGCCCACTGAATCTGATAAACGACAGGGCCAGCAAGAGTCAAGATGATAGGAATATGATTGGTCGATCCACCAGCTCCACCTGCCAGCAAGCGATGCGAATCATCGCCGTAGGAACCACCAGCAGTGCTATAATAGTCTAGTCCGGCAATAATCGTAGCTACCAGCTGCAGGGACAACGGAATCATGACATCCCGCGAATTCCGAAAGCTTACCATTTTCAGAATACCTTCTTCCCCGACGCCAGTAAGACCAATCTCAATTTGACGCAGGAGGGTGATAACATCTGCGATCAGCAATGAAAGGCTCAGCGCAAACATATCAACATAGTCTGCTGTGTGAGAAAGAACATCTGCTGTGCGAATGTGGACAATAACAGAGCCCATCGCTGTCAAGAAGGCCACTTCCATCATTCGGTGAACAATGTCATCATCTACTACAAAGGTTGAATCGAAAAAAGTCTTTGCTGACCACAGGTACATTGACGCCATAAAGGTCGCCATGAAATACAAAAATCCCATTGCTGATGGATCTGTGACAAGAATGTTTGAAATCTGTCGGAGTAGAAGAATATTCCAAATTAGTTCAGTGCAAATGATGGCACCATGCAACACATGAAAATCATACATTATAAGTTGCTGCAACAAAAAATAGATCGAAGTAGAGATCGCCCCAGTTGACTCTTGGTAATACTCGTTTGTCACCCTGCAGCAAAACAAAAAGCATAAGTCACAGTTGTAGAAAAGAATGAAATTCAAAACCGCACGTACCCATCGTTGACGTTGCTTCGGCGGACTATAGAATGGTGTATTGCCTGGATGGTAAGATTCTTCAAATATATGCTGCTGAGAGTCGTCCAGAAACGATTCGCTGGCAACGAACATGGATGGCCGCTTCGGTTTCTGACCTCCTTTCGGACGAGAGAAATTGACGCTGGAAAGTTCCTCTTGTTGCGCATTTCTTGCATTGTCATCGATGACTCCATCAAGGTCTCGTGAGCTGGCGTTGCCTTCCATTTTAGAACTATCCGCTATTATTGTTGGAGATCTTTCAATCAATGCACTTTGATTGATTGATTGAAGTTTATATACTCGTATTGGTATATTATTATTGTACCCCGTTTCAAAGATGATCTTTTGTGTTCTCTTCCTAATCACTGGTGCGGCTTGCTGGCTGGCTGGTATCTTCGGCCTTTCGATCAAACCGACTCAAAAGACCGCATTTTACCGTCACCCTCCACACGTACGGTAGCACTGAAACAATGCTGTAGTCTAGAACGGACAGCAGAATGGTGAAAGAAAAAGATCTTTTATGCTCTAGAAGTGGTAGGGGTGATGGGTGGGGTGGTTTGATGGGGTGGATGAATATAATGTGACAATAAGTGAGGTGACAGGCGTTTGTCAGGTTTCCAAATCATGTCTACTCGAAATAGGTTGATTCAGTCATCACTCCTCATGGCGTTGGCTCGTCCAAGGTGGGAATGGTTTTGTCGCCTGGAAGAGGGAGGGACCGACTGATATCTTGGGTTCGGTACCAGGAAAATGGAATCATGGAAAGCTTCTCCCACTTTCCAACGTACGCTCGTGTAGTCAAAGAGTCGTAGCCATTCTCTTCCAGTTTGTCCAGGATTCTGCCATAGGCATCCAAAGAACTTTGCACAGGAAGCCTACTCTCTGGAGCCAACATGAAGACACCTCTTCTGGCCCGTTCATAGTACATTTTGGCTCTTTCAATTTGGAATTTCATCATGTCTCGGTAATTCTTGTCGATCTTTTTCGCCAGAATTTGTTCCTCGGTGACACCAAACTTTGCCATGTCTTCTCGTGGGAGATAGACACGACCTCTCTTTTCGGCATCTTCGCCGACGTCTCTCAGAATATTTGTCAACTGAAAGGCAACTCCTAACGAAAGCGCTGGTTCTCTGCGATCAAAAGAAAAATCCAACAACAACAGCAACAACAATATGAATTGAGGAAACCATTCTCTCAAGCCTTTAGACAACTGTCATGAGGACAACGATATTCTTACCTTGCAATTTGATCATTGAATCCTTCCGCACAACCAAATACTGGCAGACTCATCAAACCGACAGTTCCAGCTACTCGGTAGCAATACAGGTGAAGTTCGTCGAAAGATTCGTAACGTTCTTGTCCCAATCCTGGAACATCCATCAACATTCCTCGGATCATATCCGTAAATGGTGTAATGGGAAGGTTGGGATACTTAACTAGGACGTCCAAAAGACACAAGTCATAAACATCTTCCACTTCCCCATATTTCCAAAGGGCTTCCAATCTCATTTCCCATGACCCCAGATCGTTTAGCATTTCTTCATCGCTATCGCGTGGTGCATCCACAATTTCATCAGTCCGACGGCACCAAACATAGATTGCCCATATTGCCTCTCTTGGAAGCTCGGGTAGGAGTTGGGTTCCCAGAAAGAAGGTCTTGGCGAATGCACTGGTAACTTCACCGGATTCCACGTATGCTTTGCGCAATATGGAATCGATAGTCTTCTTTTCTTCTTCTGTGAAGGATGATGCTTCTCTGTTTATTGAATTGTTGTGGTTTGGTTCAAATAGCGATTTTGGTGCTTTGGATCGGAGGTAGGAAGCACATAGCTGAATTTGCCCGGGGGTTGCAAATTGCCCCAATTCATGTCCGACTTCGGAAACGACATCATCGTTGATGCCGAGAATTCCATTTCCTGGGGGAATGTACTTTTTGCCACTTGATACAATACCATCCTTGGCAGTTTGCAGCGCCTGTTCGGCGTGGGAGGGTCCCTTGATTGCTTCAAAATCAATGACTTTTCCTCCTTCCATCACTTTTCCGGACGATAGTTCCGTTTGAATTTCTTCTTCTGATTTACCTTCTCTCTTGGATGGCATTGGTGCAAGAGAGTTTAGATATGTGCTCGTCGCACCTACTCCTCTCTGATTTTTCATATCGTATACATCAGCGACCTTCATTGAGACCGTGGAGACAGGTGTTCGGGAATTGGAAACGAAAGCATCTGCTACGCCCATCACCATCAGGGATGAAATGGCGAGAGCAGAGATTTTCATTTTCAAAAAGTCTATATTACAAGAAGATTGCTAGTGTAGCCTTAAGGAATTTTGGTTTGTAGGGTGTTGTTGATGGCATGCACTCACTGGTGTGCAGATTTCATGTCAAATTTGATGGTCAATCCGACGAATCATCGCAGGTAACGTAATCGAAGAAGATTGTTACTAGCGACACGAGGAATTACGTACTTGATTTTTTTTCCAACACTTCAACTTGTTAATTGATGGAAGGACTGACGGATCATTGTTGGACAGAAACAGTTTTTCTTCGTTGCTGACGTCTGGCACTATTTTAACGGCTCAAATCGCCAGCGGCGATTAAAAGTCCATGTGGCAAGCTGCTAACGGCCCGCGTGCCCACTCCGAGCCAGGAATGAGACGAATCCCAGCAGACCGGAAGCTGGGTTTTTACGCTGGGTTTTGTACCAACGAGGCTGGACGCAATGACACTTCAAATAATAAAATCCATCCAAGATCTAACTTTTCGTGTTGTTGTCGACAAACCCTAAGGTTGTTTCTTGAACCCCTTATTCCCACTAACCAACACGGGAACGAGCAAGAAGATAGAAGAGAAGGGTACATTCAGCATCAACACTCTGCTGATTAGATTGATTGCTTCTCCCAAAAGACACACACTCGAGAATTCACATAGAGAAATCCATTATTCTCTGGATCTCCCAATCGTGCTAAGAAATGGAAGCCGGCTCGATTGTTTGGTGCTCCGCTGAAGGTAAAGGCGATGAAGCTTGGATTCAGGCAGAGGTTTTGAAAAAGACAGACAGCGAGATTCAATTGCAACAAGTCGACAAGCCGGACAATAAATTCACTCGAGGAGCCGCCGTGGCGGACGAAGAAACGGGAGAGAAAAAGTTTGAGGGTGTCGAGCTTGCCAATGCCAAATTGAGTGACCAAGACAGAGCAGAAGGCAGAGACAACGATCTAATTACACTGCCTCACTTGCACGAACCTGCCATTCTTCACGCAGTTTCTGAACGTTTCTTTCACGGAAAAATTTACACGTGGACTGGTCCAGTTTTGATTGCGGTCAATCCCTTTCAACGTCTTCCTTTATATTCTGATGTAAGTGATGAAGGGCGGGTGCAGCTTGAATCCTTTGCGCATTGCATTGCTTGTTTGTTTACTCATTCAACATCCTTCAATTGACACTGACAGGACATTCTCAACTCGTATCGAAGTGAGGGTCTCTTTCGTTCCCAAGGAATGGGAGGTGGCAAGTCCGAGTTGGACCCACACGTTTTCGCCATTGCCGATCGATCCTACCGTCAAATGATGAGCGAGGGACGTAGATCCCAATCCATTCTCATTTCGGGAGAGTCGGGGGCCGGAAAAACGGAATCTACCAAAATTGTCATGTCCTACTTGACCACTTTGGGTGGAATGGGAATGGAAACCGAAAAGAAGGAAGGAGAACTCTCAGTCATGGAACGGGTGTTGCAATCCAACCCTGTTCTAGAGGCTTTTGGTAATGCCAGAACTCTCCGAAATGACAACTCGTCTCGATTCGGAAAATTCATTGAACTTGGTTTCAGCCGAGCTGGACATTTGATGGGAGCCAAGGTCGAGACATATCTGCTAGAAAAAGTTCGTATTGCCTTTCACGCTACTGGAGAACGTAACTACCACATCTTTTACCAATTGCTGCGAGGAGCCACCGATGAACAAAAGGAGAAGTTTGGCCTTGCGGAAGGAAGTAGTAATGGTCTCGAATTGCCAATGATGTTCAACTTGACAAAGCAAGGAGGAGCTCCACATCTACGTGAATACTCCGACGAGTCCAGTTTCGAATACACTGTGAAAGCCATGAAGGCATTGGGCTGGAATCAAGAACTCATTGACAACGTCATGTCCATTATTGCTGGTCTGCTGCACCTTGGACAAACGACGTTTGGAAAACGAGAGAGTGACTCTGGTATGGATGTCGCCGATATTGAAGATATGGAAGCTTTGCAACGAACATGCAGCCTGTTGGGTGTAGATCCAGAGAAAATGGAAGCCGCCTTGACACAAAGAATTGTCGTTGCCAGAGGTGAAGAGATCAAAACGGAATTGACGCTCGAGCGAGCCCAAGACGCTCGGGACGCTCTTTGTAAGACAATCTACGGAGCCCTTTTCTTATGGGTGGTTGACCAAGTCAATCAAAGTATCAAATGGGAAAATGATAGTGATATCCGATCATCGGTTGGTGTTTTGGATATTTTCGGATTTGAATGTTTCGCCATCAACTCTTTTGAACAACTTTGTATCAACTACACAAACGAAGCCCTGCAACAGCAATTCAACAAATTCATTTTCAAACTCGAACAAGCTGAGTACGAGTCCGAACAAATCGAATGGGCCTTCATTTCCTTTCCTGATAACCAGGACTGTCTCGACACAATTCAACAAAAGAAAACTGGTGTCATGGCCATGCTTGACGACGAATGTCGTTTGCCAAGAGGTACTGACAGAAACTTTGCCAAGCGTTTGTTCGATCAATGGCTACCAGAGAAGAACCAAACTGTCTCGGAGAATACAAGATTGCATGCTTCGAAGATGCAACAAGCCAAGGCCATCTTCTCCATTCGCCACTTTGCTGGTCTTGTAGAATACCAAGCAGAAACGAATTTTATGGAGAAGAATAAGGACGAAGTGCCTCTCACTGCAAAGAATCTTTTGGAAACTGCTCCTTCGCAGCTTACAAAGGATGTCTTTGAGATCCAAAAGAGAGAAACTGCTGACAGTGCTGACAGCAAGGGGGGAGGCAAATCAAAAACAGTTGGACAACAGTTCAAGGAACAGCTCACGACCTTGATCGCGAACGTTGAAAAGACGGATCCCCACTACATTCGATGTTTGAAGCCTAACGATGCAGCTAAGCCAAAGATGCTCACCCGCAAACGTCTTACTGAACAACTTCGATATGGTGGTGTCTTGGAGGCGGTTCGAGTCGCTCGTGCAGGTTACCCTGTCCGTCTCAATCACACATCATTTTTCCAAAGATACCGCATGCTTCTTCCAACTGTTTCAGAGGACCAAATTCCATGGAGCATGGAGGGAGAGGACCCACAACAACTTTGTGTCAAGGTGCTTATTGCATGCTTGGAAGAAGGAAAGAACTCACAATCCAAAGGTGTTTTGGACCCCAAGGCGCCAGGAATTTCCAAATTCGAAAAGATTAGACGCATGCAAAACCAACCCATTCCGATGGTTTTCCCACAAAGTGATGTGCAATTGGGTCTCAACAAGGTTTTCATGAGAAAGCCTCCACACGATGCGTTGGAAGCCCACCGTGTGTTTCATCAAGCCGCTAGTGCCACACTGATCCAATGCTGGGTCAGAGGATTGGAACAACGAAGAAAGTACCTCATCTTCGATGATGCCGTTTGCTCCGTGCAACGTTGGTACCGTGGCTGCAAGGGCCGGGAAAGGTATGTACTTTCGACACTATATTTGAACTCGATGATGCAAGCTCTAACATCCGTCATTTTAATGTAGATGGACCAAATTGCGACGAGCACAAGCCGGAGATCTCCTTACCAATCACTATAGAATGCAGATCAATAGACGAAAGTTCAATCGTTCACGAAAGGGGACTGTTGAGCTTCAAGCTGCTTTCCGTGGTCGCTTAGCTCGCTTCACATTGGGAGCTATCAAGATCCAAACATACAGAAGACTGTTCAAGCAACGACAACATTACCGCATGCTCAAGTCTGCTGTCATTGCTCTTCAATGTAAGATTCGAGTGAAGATTGCATGCAAGGTTCTCAAGGGATTGATGGGCGAACAGAAGGATATCGGTAAATTGAAGCAGAACAACGACATTCTGAAGAAGGAGATGCAAAGTCTTAAGGCTATGCTTGCCGCACAGGCTAAGGAAGGTGCTTCGAATGATCTCCATGGAAAAGCAATCGAAGAAAAGGAGAAGAAAATCAAGGAGCTCGAGAAGCGGATTGCAGCATTGGAGAAGGAACTTGCTACCGAGAAGCAAAATGTCGAGAAGCTCGAGGCGGACCTCGAGGTCCAGAAGCAAATGGGCCGTCAGTCTATTGCCGCACCTGGGTCTCCAACTCGAAAATCTCACGTCAGAGGCGCCAGTGCGCAGCTGTCTGGCTCTGATCTTTCGAAGCTGTCGATGCCAAGCATGCCTTCCAATTACGTCAGTCCAGAAGTGGTCGAGAAGCACAAGAAGCACGTGTCTAGACTTGAGGAGCAGCTCAAGGCTGAGCGCAACCAACGATTGGAAGCTGATGGAGAGATCATTCGATTGCGAGCAGCTGTTAGTGGAATTCACTTAAACGAAGCTGAAATCAGTGCCATGGTCGAGGAAAAGCAAGCTGCAACGCAAAAAGCGGCCGAAGCGAGGTATGTTTCATTTTATTTCGTTTTGATAAGTTCTCCAGTGCCTTTTCTGGTACCCGTTCGTGTGATGAAAGTTGGCTGGTATTGCTCATTGTGTGTGTTAGGTTTTTTGTCTCTGTTGTGCTCGCGTTGCTTGTGAACTTGTTGATTTTTACATTCTTTGTTCACCGCCGGATGTCGGGGGGTCATACGCGATTTGTGATGAAACTTTTGTTTGAGAGATTGAGTCCGAGCATTTTGAGTGCGATTGCTTGAAATTTGAATCTTGCTTTGTAGATTGCCAATAGTGTTTACGCATTTGAATTGAGTTTCCATCCACCTTGTTCTTTTTATTCCAACTAACTTCTTCATCTCTCTTTCTCGCACAATAGTATTCCCGAAGAAAAGGAGGAAGAAAAGGAAGAGCCAAAAGGATTCGCAGCAATTGCTGACGGAATCGCTTCGGCATTTGGTGGAGGAGCGCCGAAAGAGGATGCTCATCGTGCTTCTGTCATCAATTACGAAGATTTTCTTCCAAAGGTTCGACGTGGAGTCGTCGAGGAGACAAAGGAAGATGCTGTTGTCCTCGGATGGCAGGCAGATATCAAGAGCCGAAAGGACCGCGAAGAGGCTTTGCTCAACGATGTCAATCGCTTTGAATCACAAATGAAGAAGTACGTTCATCATTTGGAAGAAGGTGTTGATGTTGTGATGTGGCAGTTGAATCGGGGTGAAAGTAAGGATGCTGCCGCTGAATTCCCATTGAAGTCATCCCACGTTACCTTGAAGCTCCACAAAAAGGGAGATGCCATGTCGCAATCTATCCTCGAATTTGTACTCCGCGGTGGTTACCTCAGCAAAGCTATTGGACGCAATCGTGGTGTCAACAAAGCTGCCTTGGAGCCTCTGTTGCTCAAGGAGCTTCTTGAGGTAAAGGCTGGCTGTGCAGGATACGATCATACAGAACTCCCATCGGCAGCTGGGCGATCCAAGTCAAAATCGAAGACTCGTGGTGAAAACAAGCAAGGAAGTTTGTTCATCACATTGACCGCCACCCCTACAGAAGCGGCTGCAAAGCGTTCATACATCCTTCGGTTCAAGTCTAGATCAGCCCGAAATGAGCTCCTCAATGGGTTGAGACGTGTCCTTGCGGACATGCAAATTGACGAGGGTGTCAGCATCTCAGGCCTTCATACCGAAGAAGGCGATGATGAAATGGGACCAATCGATATGGTTCCTCTTGAAGCTGTGCACAAGGTTCTTGATAGAGAAAGAGAAGCCTATGACCGCATCATGTTGATTCTACTTCAAGGATTCGAAGATTTGAAGGACAGAGAAGACGAGTTGGTCAAGTTGCGCAGCAAGCTTGAAAGTGTCATTGAAGAGTCTTCAGAGAAAGACCGTGTCCAAGCCAATGATTCTAAGCTTATCATGCAGCTCAGTAAGAAACTCGAGACTCTGTTGATGGACAACGAGGACCTGCGTGATCAAAATGATCGTCTCAACGCTCGTCTCATTGCCGCTGAATGTGAGAAGATGAACATGATGACTTAATAAGATACAGTTATCCATAAAGTTAAAATTCAATAAAAATAGATGTCAAAACTTTCTCGTGAATGGTTGTATCATCCCGGACGCTTCGTTGTTTGCCCACAGTGACTCCGGTGGGATTTTCTATGGTTGTTCTTTTGACATATTACTATCGTCCTTGCAAGCCATTCAAGGCATCTAGCACAGCTGGGTGTCTGGATGTTCTTGGAGCGGGTTTCGTCCAATTTGATGCAAGGCACAAGACCGCCTTGTTCCGTTCCCTCTGTATGGAAAAGCTTTCGTTCTTCTGCGTTGAAAAACTGGCATTTGTTCGACCACCTGCATTATGTTGACGAGGCGTTCGATTTCCCCAGGGATTTGAACTCATTCCCCCTTCTGAGCTGCGCTTTGTATCGCGATCTCTCTGTGATCGTTGCCGCCGGGGTGCTTTTCGGTGACGCCGACCATTTCCTTTGGATGGTAGATTGCATTGCTTCGTTTCAAAGAATGATCTATGGGCTGATGTCATATTAAGCGGTGGTCTATGACAAAGGCCTTTCAACCGGACTATCCTTGAGGCTTGATTCATGTAGAAGTTTCTGAACGAGTGGCGTTCAGCTTGGTTGCTTCACCCTGTGTACCACTCCGTTGTGATTTATGATTCCTGCAGAAGAATCTTCGTCAAAAGTAACGATGTTCCGATGACGTGTACAGTATTTTATCGGAGTCCGTCTAGTCATGATCTTTGTCGGGCTGGCGCGCGATGCCCAATTTGAATTTCAACAGAAAAACGATCAAAGCGACCATCATCGAAATCATAAAAAAACAGTCAACATTAACCTCTACTAGGTACTAAATACCTTGCAAGCAACAACCATGCCGCCCCGAGCCGAAGAATTCCAACCAGGAAATGAATTTGCAACGTTGCCCAGGACTGGGTTCACATTTTCCCTCCTTGAGACCATAGAAGCGTCTAAGTCCAAGATGGACCGATGGGTGGATATTCAAAAAGCCAAGATTGAAGAAGAAGCTGCAGACTACGACCGCAAACTCAAAGAAGAACAGCAAGAAATTGATGATCTAGTGGCAAAGATAGCGACAGCGCAGTCTGAACGTGGGCTGAAAATGAATCCGGATGAAGACGAAAACCAAACCGCGAATATTTTGAATAAGAAGGCTTTGCTAGAACTCCAGAAACAGGAAATTGAGTCGAAAATTCACAAGCTGGAAACAGAATGTAGGAATAGAACGAAGAGAATTGAAGGTATGAACTAATTTTCTGTGATAGTATTGAATACTGCCTATCGTCCTCTCGGTACAGGTACCTAACATTCACTCTTGCTTTGCACAGAAATATCGCTCGAGAACGAGAAGCAGCGTCTTCGTGCAGAAGAGGCTCGTTCCTTGAAAAATCGTGTGCTGGAAGCAAAACAAACGACTGTAGATGATCTCACAAGGGGCATTTTGTACTACAAGTATTTGGGGCTAGACTTTGAAAAGACAGAAGGGGAAAACGAACTTAGGTGAGTTTGTGCTGAAGAGAAGTCCTCTAGTCATTCATATTTGCGGTGCATTTGTCAAAGTTTGTGCTAATTGAGTTCCGCATTTATTTCAGATTCATCTTTACGCAGTTGGATCCAGAAGTTCCGACAAGACAATTTTCGTTCGTTCTTCAAGTGGACAGAAACGACAAGTACGAAATCAGTAACTGCGAGCCCTCAGTTGATGCAATTGTTTTGGTCGATGTGACACATCGATTGAATCGAGCAGATGATTATATGTACCTTGCTCAAAGAATGCGTAAGTCTGTGCCTACTAGGTAGTCGTGGATTTGGACGACGCTATCCTTTGACTAACTTACCTTTGTCTTTAGGGCAAGCCTTTGTGGAAACTCTTGGCCATCCTCAGGATGTACACTCGTGCTGAATTCTACAGCGTGAAAACAAATTCCAGCACAGAAATTCGACCCATTTGAGGTGATGGAAAATCAGGAGGTCTTTAGATTCAATCAGTCTTAGCTTTCACAGCATTTATCAAAACTAACAACGTCTATTCAAGTTTCTGTTGCTCTTTTGAATCTTTTTCCTGTTTCTTCCTCCGCTCTCCAGCTCCGCTAACTCTCCAAGTCGTCGTCGTCTGGCCTGCTTTCGTCCAACGGTCGAATAGTTCTGCCAAGTTGAAAGATACAAGCACGACTTGAGTTAAAGTGACAACCTTCTAGACGCGAGCCTTCAGAACCAGGACACAATGTTTGATATGTTTGGAGGATACAGTGAGAGTAAATTAAAGCCACGTAAGTCTCTCATTGCAATTGAATTGACTCTTTTACGTCTCTTCCTCTCACAATGAGCGACTCTCTCCCTAGAACTCAAAATGGCGGTCAGCCGTTTTGGCATTGCGTCCAACAAAAAGTCGGCGTTGTTGAAGCAAAGCATGCGAGAAATTGCTGTCCTGCTGGCGGAGGATCCTCCAAAAGAGGAGAAAGCTAGAATCAAGGCTGAAGCATTGATCAGAGATGACTACATGATTGAGGCCTATGATATTTTGTCATTGAATTGCGATTTGTTGAGTGAACGAATCAAATTGCTTTCGTATAGCAAGGAGTGTCCGCCAGATCTTATCAGTTGTGTGTCGACATTGATATACGCGTCGGCAAGAATCGATATTCCCGAACTAGTAACAATTCGCAAGCAATTCCGGGCAAAATACGGCAAGAAGTTCGAAGAAGATGCCTTGAACAATGTCAAGAATGTGCTCAATGAAAGGGTCGTGACCAAACTTTCCGTTCAGCCACCAGCAGCCTATCTTGTTCAAACATATCTAGAGACAATCTGCGAAAAATACGAAGTCGACTGGTCCCCAACAATTCGACTGCAGGCAACGCAAATCGGAGAACCAATGGCACCACCAAAGGGATTTTCAGTGGAAGCGGGGCGAGGAACGGGACTTGGACCAGTGATTGCAACAAATGGTGGAACAGCCGTGGAAGAAGATATCACTATGGCTTCTAGTGCTGAATACAACCCTAGTGCCAAGGCTACTGCTGAATACATCCCTGAATACAATCCGAGTGTCAAGACTAGTGGTGAATATATCCCTCCGATAGTAGAATCAGCAGTTGTCGATGCCACCAAGATCGACCCTAACGATTTTGTGGAACCTGATATCTTCATTCCTGCAGCACCAGGGTCGACGACCAAGAAAGATATTGCAGGTCCACCATCGGCACCCTCTGCGCCTCCAACTAATTCAACATCTTCGACAAATGGCAAGGGTGACGACGACGAGAATGGTGGTGCTCAGGCGTCATCAGATGGGAAAAGATCAACTTACGATGATCTTGCAGCTAGATTTGATAATCTCAAGAATCTATAAGTTTTTCGTTTCTATACTATTGATGAGTCGAGTCGAGCCCATTAGATTTTGCAGGAAAAAGTGTGAATGTGTATGTAATGATTGGTGATCTATCAGCACAGGAAAGCCGACATTCTTCATGCCTTGTGTTTGGTTCGCTGGGACTCTGTCTTGCGCTGAGCAGTCTTCTTCTGCGCACTTCTTGCTTTTACCTCTCGATAGAAGGCTTCGTACTTTCGCAGAGCTGCGTCCTTCTTTTTGCTCTCTTCTTTTTCCTTCTTCAAATCGGCCGTCAGTTTTCGGATCAACTGCTCCTGCCGTTGGATTTGGTCCTTTGTCGAAGAACTACGAATGAACTCACTGATGACAGAAGGAAAAGAGCAAACATAGATAGTTGGTGTAAGAACGGAGGTGAAACAAAGCAAACGAATTGGCATAATGCCCTGGTGCACATACCTTGAATTCATGGGATTCTCCGATGAGGTGACGCCACGCTCCGGATAATCTTGTCGAAACTTGTCTAGCGCAGCCTTTAAAGAGGCAAATCGCTTTCCATAATCATGTTTGAATCGTTTCATCTGTTCTCTGGCTGCCTCAGCTTCCCTTCTCGAAGCTTCGGCATCGTCAACTTGTCTGATCAGCTCTGCGTTTTCATCTCCAAGTGCCTTTAGCGAATCCATTAATTGCATCAATTGTTTAGTATTGATTGGCTGTCCCCTATCGATACTTGGCCCGCTATCGACTCTTGTTCCCAGCGAAATCACAGATGATGCGAGCATCTGTGATGTTGAATTTGCATTTCCCCACCAACTTGATTCCAGTCCATCTGGAGCGTCTGTTGGTGTTGCTGGTGGAGGCACTGGTTTCGCTAACCGAGCAACTGGTGCTGCAGTCGAAGCACCCATCACACTTTGAACACGGTTAGCTCGCGCACGGACATTGACATTCGCGCTTGTACTCTGTGGAGCAGATGAGCGAGGATTAGGACCTCCACCCCACATTGACGACGACATGTATGAATTTGAACCTGGGGGGACAACCATAAAGCTACCATCGACAACAGAACTTTTCATCCTATTCTGCATTCTTGTATCGAGTGAGGATATGGAGCTACCTAACTCCAAAGCCATGTCCATGTCGCGGAGTTCTCGTTCCAGTTCCATCCTGCATATGTACTCAAGTCAGAAACCTGTCAGATGTAGTCAGTTCAAGCAATATGAACTTACATGTCATCCACTGGATTATTATTTGTATCAGCGCCTACTGGAGCACTCGTCTCTATCTCTACCTCACTGTACTTTGCCTCGTCGTAGCTTCCAGGGTTTGCGGTAGCTCTTCCAAGGAACTGAGAATCAGAAATATCAGCTTCGTGGTTCTTTGATCCCAAAGCTCCTCTAACCGCAGCTCGTAAACGATCCTTGTGGGAAATAGCTGATGACTCCTTGCTAAGAGAGTCGTCCGATGTGGATAGCGCTTGGATTAGCTCTTCAGGATTAAGTTGAATTATCTTCTTCAATGCAATTGCTGATTTTGCCTGTGTTTGACTCAACAAGAGCATTGGTTTGGCAAAGGAAGCTGGTGACGGTATAGGTAAGGGCGTGAATCGTCACTCTAGATATAGTTGAAAGTATAAACTCACGATTGTTGATTGCATTCTCCTTGTATTTTCTTGCAGCCAAAGTGTGATACTCCAATGCTGGAAGTGAAAAGGGTGTGCAATTTGCGTTTAGAAAACGGATAGAGTACACTAGACTATTCTACATTCAAACTCACCTCCCAACAAGTCCCCTCGCTTCTTGGCCTCTAGTGCCTTCGATGCTGCTTTGTTGGCCTCATCCGTGATATCCTGTAAAGCAAGGCAAGGTTCAGTCGTGGACGTGTAGTCAATTTCCGAAGTCAATTGACAGTCAAGCTTACAACTATAGGATTCGTCCCACTCAAGAGCAAGCCTAAAACGTCACTTCGCTGTGACTCTGCTTCAAAATATAATTCATGGTCGTCAATGATTGCGTGTAGTCCGTCCACGTCTGTATCTGACACGTTGACATAGGTAAAATCAGTGATCTCGGGATCGACAAAGCCGTCATTCGGATCGTTAGCCTCCGAATTAAATACCCTCGTCCCGATTTCTGGCTGTTTCTCCTTGTACCGTGGGACAAAAACATCTTGAGGAGTATTCAGCCCATCAAGGTGCCTCGAGTCCGGTGAACTGACGTCTGATGGCGCATTTATCAAAGTAGATGATGCTGATTCTTGTAGATGCGAGCTTGTGACAGGATCTACCGATGGTTCAACTGCGAAAGGAAGTTCCATTTCGGTAAGCCAAATATCCTTTGCCAATGCTCTCCTTTCAGATCTTTCTTACACCTGGTTAGTTCCGGTTTTCTTCAGAACTGTTTTGTTGCACTCCTTTGTTCTTTTCTTTCGTTTGTCACGCTCAGTCGAATCGTCCGACCAACAAGGAAATCCGACTAGTCTGACTGACGTCAGGCTGGACAACTCACAACTTTCTTCCATCAAAAACATCGAGAAGGACGACATACAAAGACGACCCTATTGGAACTACAGCAAATAGGATGATACGGCTTTCAGAGCTCTTATGTTTTGCAACTATTTCTACCTTAATCACTGGGGCTAACTCATTTTCTAATTTAGAAAGCACGAGTTCAAGGACAGCAACCAGCCTCTTTGCTGATTTGAACGACGGTGAAGAGAATGGACTTTCGCGTCGTCAGTTCGCCGAATTAAGCTTCGCTGCGACGGGCCTGGGAATTTCATTCTTGGGAACACGCGAAACCACGCCAACATCGTATGGTCTTTGGGGCATCCTTCCTGTTGGAACATACCGAGAAAAGAAGACATTGTTCCAGGAAGTTGTCCCGGGAAAGATTTGGACTTTGGACCAGAAGTTTGGAATTTTGGACGTTCAGGTGCCTCTTCGAATGACAGTTGTGAAACTAAGTACTGGTGGATTATTTGTATATAACCCTGTTGCTGCAACTCAAGAATGTCTGGATATGCTTAACGATATTATCAAGGAAAATGGACCGATTCGACATATTGTTGTGGGATCTGTGGCATTGGAACACAAGGTGTACGCCGGCGTCATGGCTCAAAAGTTCCCTAAGGCAGAAGTTTGGCTGACACCAGGACAATACTCCTTCCCCGTAGACCTTCCTGACACGTTCTTGGGATTCCCACTTTCGAGAACGAAAGATATTCCCAAGCCAGAAGATGCACCTGAAGAATGGAAACAGGATTTCGACTTTTTGACTTTGGGGCCACTGATAAGCAGGTGAGTAAAAACTTATCTTGATTCAATTAAAAAGTGGAGTGTGTGTAATGACTAACCGGTGATGTATCGCAGAGATGGTGCATTTGGCGAGACAGTGTTTCGTCACAAGGACACCAAAACCTTGATTGTTACAGACACTGTATTGGAAGTTTCGGAAGAAGTTCCTGAGATTTGTGAGCTAGATCCAGCACCTCTCTTGTATCATGCTCGAGACACTGTATCCCAAGTTGTCGAAAATACACCAGAAGTGCGAAAGATTGGTTGGCGAAGAATTGCTCTTTTCGGTCTATTTTTCACGCCTTCGGCTATCGATATTAAGGATGCTGATGTAGCGTTCAAAGAACGACGACCCGATATAAATTCTGATTTCATTGGAATCTACCCATGGGACTGGGTGAGAGATGAAAAGACTAGCTTCGATGCTCTTACTGGAGGACTCTTGGTTGCACCCATCCTGCAAACTCTCATCCTGAACCGGAATCCTATAGAAGTTTTGGATTTCGCTGATGCAGTTTCCAAATGGGACATTGAACGAATCATCCCGGCGCACTTCAAGAACGACTTGAAGTACACTGGAGCTGATTTTAAGAAGGCGTACACTTTCCTGCAAAATGGAGGCGAACCGAAAGGACAACCCAAGCCTCTGGCTGCTGATTTACAATTACTGAAGGATGCCGAGCAAAATCTCCTTGCCCAAGGTGCGATTGCTCCATGCCCGCCTCTTCCAGGCGGTGATGTTTCTCGAGAAGACATCATCAAGCAGACTGTCTATAATTGCAGAGATGGCGTGTGCATGCCAAAGGCCTCATTCTAGACAAATTCAACAGCATTTAATTCGAAGGCTAGGTTCGTTGTCGTAGTGATGTGTTGCACTGGCAAGTGTCTATTTTATTTGGTCGCCGAAAGCTTCTTGTATGGCTTCAATCGTATCGTACCCTGGACAGGATCGACAGCATCGCATACTACATCGATCTTCTGTCCAACTTTCAAAACGGAGTGAACCAGCCCAAGTGTTCCGCTTTTATTCCGTTTGATATCGTCTTTCTCGACCAATTCACTGATATGACAGAGGCCTTCCTTGTTCCGCAACACTTCAATGATTGCCCCGAAATCCCGCAAATCAATGACGGTACCTTCGTAAACACCGCCAACTTCCACGTCCGCTACCAAGTCCATCACAGCTGCTTTGGCTTGGCGGACCATTTCACGGTCATCTCCAAAAAGCAGACACCGCCCTTCTTGGGTAAGATCCAAGGATACGTTGAACCGGTCTTCCATTTGACGGATTACGGCTCCTCCAGGCCCAACAAGACTCTTCTTTCTTGTTGGATCGTACTTTACAATATTGACTCTTGGGGCAGCATCCTTCAGATCAGAACGCGGGAGAAGATTGGAAACATCTCCACCTGATGTTTTTCTTGATTGTAACTCCATCTCACTCAGCATTTCTATTCTCCCATCCTTGGCAAGAAGAAGAGCCTCAGAAATTACGTGAAGGGGCAACGGACTTTTCACGTCCAGCTGAAAAGCTGTCACAGCAGAATCTGTTCCAGCAATCTTAAAATCCATTGATCCGAAATAGTCCTCATTACCTGTGATATCTAGCAGAAGTCTATGGGGGTCTTTCTCGGTTTTGCCGTCTGCGAGGCCCACACTGATAGCTGCCACCGGTGACGCAATCGGTACCCCAGCATCTAAAAGGGCAAGCGTTACACCACAGATTGTTGCCATGCTCGAAGATCCATTCGAACTCGTGACTTCACTGGTCATTCTGATCGCATAGGGAAATGCTTCGGCATCAGGTAAAATCGGCAACAAAGCTTTCTCTGCCAATGCACCATGTCCAATTTCTCTTCTATTGCCACCCGAAGGACCCTTCTGAACCTCTCCCTTACTAAATGCTGGGAAATCATACTGTAAGAAGGCACGTCGTCTCTCTTTCATTGTTCCCGAGTCTCCTGTCTGTTCCCGATCTGCCATCACTCTCCGAGTATTCAAGTCGCTCTCTAGGTACTCTTGTGTATTCAGATACCGAAGACTGCCCACGGGTAAGTCCTGATGTGGTAATTTCTCGTCTACTTTCTTCGAAGATTCTACAATGGGTTTGTACGGATCCTTGATGGGAATTCCATCTTTTGGAGGACCAAGTGTGACTGTGCACAAGACTTGGGTTTCACCTCGTGTGAACAACGACGATCCATGCACACAGGCCGGAAGAGCTGGAACTTCCATAGATAACGGTCGAATTGTTGTGCAAGCATTACTGTAGTCTCCTCTACCATCGGCTCGACGTCCATGTTTGATGGCTGCTTTTGCCATGGATTCTTTTAACAGTTTGGAGTGGACCAAATCAGCAAGCGTCGGCATTGCGTTCCCATCATCCATCATCTCCTTGTAGGAATCAAGTTGTTGTTTGCTGGGTTCGAAATCCACCAATTTTTGTTGAATCTCATCACGCAGCATTTGTTCCTTTCTTCCTCGAAGCTTTTTGCTCACCAGAGGCGGATCTGAGGATCCATGAACCTGTGGTGCGAGGGCAACCTCACTCCCCACTTTGGATAGATCACTAACACCGAAAAGCCGAAGAGAGCTTTCTCCGATTCTCTTTTTGCAAAAATCAAATATTTCTTCAAACAGCTCTTCGCTGTCGCTCACCGCCGTTGATTCACGCTCAATTGAGATCTTAGTTCCATCAGCCGGTGGTAAGCCAAGTTCTTTGCGCAAGGTGTCATCTTCAATCTCTTCTTGCTTTTTCCTGGTATCCACCAGCATCTTTTGTGTATCTAGTAATGGTTGGACACAGCCATGTGCCAACTCTATGAGATTTATCAGATTTGTTTCTGGCAGCATTCCCGAAAATTCCATCATGACCACTTTGTCTCGTGTGCCAGCATAGAGCAACTCACAAATCGAGTCCTTGTTAGGAGTCGATTGATCAACGAGTACGGTCCCATCTCTCATGACATTAAGATACACACAAGCAATTGGTTCTTGCAGCCGATTTTTCAGCGCCACTGACGCCGAATTGAGTGCCAAAGCAATTGGATGTCCACCTTGATCGTTCAGTGGACATGCTTGAATGCTACACGAGAGGTGAATGGATTCGTCCGATTTCTTGATCAGAGGTCGTATCGAGCGATCAATGGCTCGACCAGCAAGCGTCTCTTCGTCCGAGGGCCGCCGATTGTCACTTCGATTGCCCGAGGTGGGTATTTTTCCGACTGCATGATGCCGTTGTCGATAGTCGACTGTCAGTGGAACAAATGACGATTGCTGTCTTAGATACTGCGAAAATGCGCTGGAAGACGACTTGGATTGATCTTCTGTAGGGGAAGATGCAACAGTAGCCATGACTACGGTTTCTCCCGAGGCTCCGACAATGGAAGACTCGGTCAGATTGGCAATCTTTCCCGAGCCAAATCGTATTTGGGGTCCATCGATGACCGATCCAAAGTTCATTTTAGAATAGTCAATTCCGTCTTCTTTTGCTTCAGTATCGGATGAATTGGCTGCAAACCATCTTGGTGATTCTGGACGTGAAGTGGCGAGAGCAACATGGCACCGTGGACCAAAAATGGTGGATTGTGTTGGTCTCGGTCTCCTCAATCCTCTCGATATTCGGAGCCCATTTCGGATCATTTTTGAAATCTTTCAGTCTTTTGTTCTATTATTTGAGATTTATATGTTAGATATGACACAAAATTGCTGACTATTGGTTTCTTCTTCGCTTTCCTCTATCACCCATCAACGAGAAAGTTGATCAAATAATCATCAATGGATGATGGATGATGGATGAGGATGGCTTGAAGAATGAGTCGAACCGGTCGATAGTAAGAGACTTTTTTAGAACTGAAACAAAGAAGAGAAAGACAGTGACGCAGCCCAGGATTAGATGGTGAGACGGGCGTACGAGCGACCGTATGTACCAAATGTACTAAATGATACGGTCGGCAACGAAGAAAGAGGCACCACCCGAAGAAAGCGATTCTGTATTGAATAGCAACAATTTGTTGGTTCAACATGGCAGCTAGATTGCAAGGATTGGTATGTAGTGACATTAGCAGTTTGTGGGACATGTAGAGGAAGAGTAATTCAGAAGCGGCGGCTTTGAAATATTCCAATTTGGTAGACAACAACTGCAAAATGTGGTTTCGATTGGATCTGAAATTGCCGATGGATTCACATGCTTTAGGAGCACGGAAAATGCAGTAACTTGCGTCGACAACTTCAATCGATACACAATATACTCATTACTTTCTTTTCTCTTTTTCAGATTCGTTCTAATGGGCTTGCAGCCGGAGCCGCTGCGGTCGCTGCTGCTTCCACAGCAAAGGTGACCTTTTTGGACGAGGATGATGTTGTCCACCCTCCTCATTTCCCATGGCGTCACACTGGATACTTCTCCTCCTTCGATCACGCGGCTCTTCGTCGTGGGTTCCAAGTATACCGCGAGGTTTGCGCCTCTTGCCACTCCCTACACTTGATTCGCTTCCGTGAGTTGGTCGGTGTTACCCACACCAACGAAGAGGTCAAGCAAATGGCCTCCGATGTTGATGTTATGGATGGACCCAACGAAGAAGGTGAAATGTTCGAACGTCCAGGAAAGCCGTACGATACCCTTCCATCTCCCTACCCCAATAAGGAGGCCGGACGAGCTGCCAACGGTGGTGCTTACCCTCCTGACTTGAGTTTGATGGTCAAGGCGAGACACTCTGGTCACGACTATGTCTTTGCTTTGCTCACTGGATACTGTGAACCCCCTGAAGGAAAGGAAATGATGCCCGGTCTTCACTACAATCCTTACTTCCCCGGAGGTGCCATCTCCATGCCCCCACCACTTAGTGATGGAGGTGTTGAGTACGATGATGGAACTGTCGCCACTATTTCGCAGCAAGCTCGTGATGTTGTTCAGTTTCTACACTGGACCTCCGAACCCGAGTCTGAGGACCGCAAGAAGAACGCATGCAAGTACTTGACTGTTGTTGCATTCATGGCCCTCAGTGCTGGATACTACAAGCGTTGGAAGTGGAGTCCACTCAAGACCAGACAAATCTCATACGTCAAGGGTATCGGAGGTGCCGGCCGCTAAATTGGTAGGAACTATCTTTTTGTGGTGACTAGAAACAATAATAGTAAATTTTAATCCTCCCCTAGTACACTCGATCGGAATGACTACTCTAGGGTACTATCATGGAGTCTGAGGTATGCTATGCTTTTGTTGATGATGAACTATCAACGTAGCGTTGGAATTGTATGTTGATGGACGATCAGCTTGGTATGAGAATAGTCCTCATGATAATACTATAACTAGCTTATTATCGGTCTCGCAACTGTATTCTGTTTAACCGAACCAGCTGCTTCCACTCTTTTTTATGCTTTCAATTTCCTTTTGGTATTCCTTATCTTTCTTCAGATATTCTTGAAACGTCATGTTCTTGCCAGTAGATTTAGCGGCTTGTTCATCCTCGAGAAGGCGTCGCTCGGCAAAACCCTTGTTCATATCCAAAAGAATCTTTTGCTTTTCTTCCTTGAAACAATCGTCCAATCGATGTTTCAACTCGTTGCAAGCCCAAACCTTAATTCTGCTTCTAGTTTTCTGGCAATTTCGGAGCTCATCAATGGCCTCCTGGCAATCTGGGTGGGGACGATCCAATGGCGGATGCATGGATATTTGCTGGTTAGCTACTCTTTTCTGTAATTGATCGAAGGGAGTGAGAGTTGTGGAATTTGATGATGCGGTGGTTGGCAAATGATGAGCTGGAAAACGGACTGTTCGACAAATGCTCATCAATCGTGCGAGGAGACGAAACTCTTCAACCTACACTTCTTTACGCTAAATTTTAGTATGCACGTTGACTTTTTTTTAAAAAGTGCTCTGTGCAATTCTAGAACGATTTAATATCAATAATAATCAGACAAACTACTTAGATATTTAGCCGCATGAGTGCGGAAGTCATATGATGGTACTGCCACATTATCTTCTCGCTGGGATACTGTTGTCTCGCATTGCCGATTTGCAAGCCTGAATTTCGACCTCCTTACGATGGAACATTCCTGCTGCCAACGCTGCTTGAACATTCGTTTTGCTAAATACTTCAACAAAATGAGCCTCGTTTCCAGCCCCACTGCTCGCAATAACGGGAATAGTTACTGCTGCTGATACAGCTCTCATCAATGGCAAATCAAATCCATTGCCTTGTCCATCCATATCGATGCAGTTGAGCATAATTTCACCGGCACCGAGGTCCTGCGACGCTCGGGCAACAGTTACTGCACAAATGTCTCGAGCTTCCCGCCCGCCCTTCACAGTGCACTGGTACCAGCAATATCTCTCACCATTGGGCCCAGCATTGTCTTCATCAAGATCCACAACGACGTGCTTCTCATCAACACTCACTTTGTTTGCGACATAGACTCTCTTTGGGTCAATGGATACGACAACAGCCTGGACTCCATAAACAAGCGAGATCTCCTCAATGGAGGTTTCCATTGTTTTTTCTCTGTAGCTTGCAATGAACTTTTCAGCCGCATAGACGGCATCACTCCCAAGACTAACCTTATCGGCACCAGCTCTAAAGTATCGTGCGGCAACCTCCAAAGCGGACCAAGTTTCTCCGGACTCTGGGTCGGTGTATTCACGAATTCCTCCACCAACTGTTAATGGCACAAAGATACTCTTGGATGCTTCCTCCAAGACTTGAAGCATGGGCATATCGTCCACGACACCTTGTCGGAAACTTGTGATATTCAGAAAAGCAATCTCGTCAGCACCTTCTTCGTAGTATCTTCCAGCAAGAGACACTGGTTTTCCCAAATTTCGAACTCCGCCACGGCCAGATGTGACTCCTTCTTTTTCGTTTTCTCGAACGTCATACTGGTCTCCCTTGGTCACGACCAAGTCACCATTATCATTTGTTCGGACATCAAGTGCTACAACAATACGCTTTGTAAGTTGAGTTTCGGCGTTCATGTCTACATCGACCTTGACAGCGGTGTCAAGGTTGTCGTTTTCGACGGCCTGTTTTCCAACAGTGAGCGGCACGAATATTTGGAGGAGAAAATTATGGGGCTTGATTCAAAAGGTCTTACCTCGAGGAATCCTTTGAGAAGGTTCAGTCCAGTGTTGCCACTTTTCTCTGGGTGGAATTGAGTTGCAATAATCTTTCCTTTTTGAACGGAACTGATGAAGGATTGACCAGAATACGTAGTTCTCGTCAAAACCCAGTCCTTGTTCTCATCGGTGATGGGTGCATAAAAGGAGTGTACAAAGTAGGCATCTTCTTCGTTCGAAACGTACTTGAGAGCAGGACTCTCTTGGTGACGAATTCTTCCATTCCATCCAATGTGTGGCACCACCATCTTTGTCTCGTCGAACTTGATAACCTTTCCTGGGATCACACCAAGTCCAGGAATGGCTTCACCCGATTCATTTTCATCACTGGACTCAAAGAGGGTTTGCATACCAAGACAGATTCCGAGGAATGGCTTGTCACCTCTGGAGAGATATTCCTTCAATGGAGCATCGTATCCTCTTCGTTTCAGGACCTTCATCGCCGAACCGAACGAACCTACACCTGGAAAGATGATGGCCCTGGCGTCTGCAATTTGTGACGGATCTGTGATATCCTCAATCTCGTAACCACACGCCATGATTGCATTTCGAACCGATCGCACATTACCGGCTCCATAGTCGAGTAGGGAAACTTTGAAGGTTGGCATCTTCGAGGAACACGAATCTTTCTCTTTCACTGTGTACCTTCAGATTATCTGGTCAGGGTTTCAACTTGCAGTATAAAACCTACGGTCATCTTTGAGTCCCGGTTCGTGACTGAAAACCGACTCGATCGATCACTCTAAACTTCCACCGCGACAATTTGAAATATTGTACATCGCACACATCAACTAAAGATACTATTCTTCGCAGTCAATCCCATCCAAGGGTCTATATTTCATTCAAAATGTTGTTCCAATATCTACGGGCTACTGTTTTCTCGTGCCTTTGCTGCCTATGTTTGTGTTCACGTGCATATGCGACTGATGAAGTTGGTAGCAAAGTAATCTCAGCGACCGAACATGTTCACGACTCGGAGCATGGAACCGTTGGTCTCATTCGAACGTATCATGATGCTTCCTACACTGAATCACCATGCTCGGCTATGATTTTACTCGGAGTTGGCACATCAATGTCAATTCGGGATTACGACAAATTATCCACCCGCATCGCTGCCGGATCATCGATCGTTGTGGTGATCATGGACCACAACGAACATTTTTTTCAAAAGACATCACCAGAAAAGTATGCACGCTTGGTCAATGCTATTCGTAGTAATATATCAAGTCTGGTATCGATATGCAAGAATCAGGAACCATTATTTTTGATTGGAGGTCATTCGTCGAGCGGTGAAGCTGCCATCATGACGTTGGAAAACTCTCTACTCGGGGTAAATCCAGATGGTTGGGTTGGACTCGATCCTTATGACATGTCGCCAGAAACCATCGGCAATGACGCTCAAATAAAAATCCCATCGATTAATTGGGGATTTGCCAAAACCACGTGTCTAGTCGCAACAGACAAAGCTGCAAAAGCTGCATTTGAATTGGCTGACCCAGGCGCCAGAGTGCTCTATCAGATCAACAATAACGAGAATGATTGCAAGATCACGCATTGTGTTTTCAGTGACCATGGATGTGGTATAATTTGTTCCTCAAACGAAGAAAATGATTGGGTGCCCACGGTCGTCGCACGAAGTATCAATTTGTTTGTGAATGCTGTTGCCGGCCGAATTCCGTTTGACAGATCACATTTTCAGCTAGACTTGGAAAATAGGGTTAGGCTCTACATGAACGACGAGCAATTTGAATGAGACTTGTAGCTATCCTCGACGTCTTGGCTGCTCTGTGTTTGCTTCATGGCTAAGTAGGAGCACTGGTGGTGGTCCTGCTGTTTGTTTGTTCACTCAAAAGGAATCACTCTGTAGAGCTACTCATTGTGAAACTTCAACGACGCCGTTTGATATTGTCTAAACTATGCTACAAATTATAAAAATGAAATGATTGCTGAGTATGGTTTATTGCAACAGGGGTAGCTACTGTGGTACGGATACAGTACCAGATTCCCGGTAGAGTATCGTAGATCGTATGGAGTGAATTTTCAGTCGAACGAATCAATCGTTTCAGCCACAGCAACCCGAAACTTCCCTCCTCCAAACTCAACCTTCTTGTGGCGTCAATACATCTCTATATCCTGCAACATGTGTGGTAGAGCTGCACAAACATTCAGGGCCGCCAAGGAGGCGGGACTTCATTTGGGAGCATTGCTAGATTCACTTGATAACGCTGAGAATGGAAATGCAGATTCAGATGAGAACTTAGCAGGCCCTGTTGGTCCCAGCAACTACAACATGTGCCCTGGGATGAGTGCTCTGGTCATGTGGAAAGATGGTGACAATATATCAATCGATCAAATGGCATGGGGACTAATCACCAAAGCGGGAACTGAAAAGAAACCATTGCCTGTCGGGAAGCAACGAATGTCACTCCATTTTCAAAACCTCATGTTCAACGCACGGAGCGATACCCTCTTTTCGAAGCCTTCTTTCACCAAGTTAACATCTCAAAAACGAGCTTGTATAGTTGCTTTAGATGGGTACTTTGAATGGAAGAACTCGCCATTGGGAAGTGGAAAAGGAAATAAACAACCATACTATGTCTACCGAACCAAATCTGGTACTGGAGAAGTGCCACCGTTGCTAATTGCTGGGCTCTGGACTCAAGTGTCCACTGGTATTCCAGAAGAACCAGAGTTAAATTCTTTTACAATGCTGACCACTGAGCCGTGTGAGCAAATCAAGTGGCTACATGATAGAATGCCACTTTGTTTATGGGACAAGAAGTCTTGTATGGATTGGCTCGAAAACCCTTCTCCGAGTGTTCTGAAGTCTATAGATGCATTGGCAGCCAAAACCGAGAAATTCGACTGGCACATGGTTTCCACGGAAATGAGCAATCTTAAATTCCGAGGCGAGAAAGCAATTCAAGCAATCAAGCCTCCCCCTAGCGTACTTTCTTTCTTTTCGAACAAGTCAAAAACCAAACCGGTCTCAACCAGTCCGGCCAGGGACAAAGCAAAGGATGGGAGCAAAATAAGTTACCAGGTGGGAAGCAGCATGGCCGCGCCGTCTCCAAAGCAGTCTCGTTCGCCCAAGAAAGCTTCCTTTCCCCCGAAAGCTTGCTCACAGAAGCAAAATGACCGGCCGCGGACGAAACAGACAAATGAACCACCAGCAAAACGTAGCAAGATTACCAGCTTTTTCCAAACAAAAGAATGAGATCTTTAGGTGTTATATCTATCTGTTCTATTTAAAGCATAAACATTAAACATCATTGTATTTGCATTAGCTATTACAGTCACACACATTTTAGCAAGTTGTATGATAGCGTTGATTGATTCAGTAGCAGTGGAGATTTTCGATGCGATAAAAGTTGGCTTTAGCCTTGAGTACTAGCAAATTCAAGGCTAGCGATCGAAGGAATTGATCTCCATGATGGAGTCAGTGAAGTAGCTGAGGTTGATTTCATGGCCTATGGTCGAAAAGATTGTGGTGGGTGAGGGAATGTCCGAAATTGGAAAGGTACTTCAGAGAAGAGAAACATTGCGTACCTCGTCAGTTGGGATTGCGAGGAGCGCAGATTGTATTGGAGTGTTGTCAATTGGACACATGGGTACTCCCGTATTCGATTGAAGGTAGGGCTTCAAGCAACGTTCGTGAAAAAAGCGGCCGCAGGGACGAAGCTGAGTGTCGACGCCTGCTTTCGCACATAGTGCACAGGTTGTTGCCGAAGAAACCTTGACAGATGCATTCTGATCATTCGGCTCTGATTGACATTGTGACTGTGCATTCTGGTGTTGCCCAGGGTGCTGCCCAGGATATTGATGGCTCGGAGCTGGAGCGGCTTGAGGGTTCTTTCCCTGAGAAGAGTCCATTGAAGGTTGGTACCATGAGGACTGGGACTCTTGTGATCCATGTCTGCTTTGAGGAGGCCCCCGAAGAAACTCTTGCGAGAGAGTACGCTGGATCTTCGCTGGTAGTGCGAGATCCGTGAGCTTCTCACAGCTTCTACTCACAGAAATGAGCCCTCTTGCAGCAAGCGCATCGTCATAAGCTCTCTTTAATGTACCAGTAGAATCCTTTCTGTCAAAAGATCCAAAAGCAGGAGCGGGGGCAATTGATCCAGACTCTGGCTTCGACGCTGTTGTTGACGGTCCTTCGTCTTCCAAAGACAAGCCAACATCATCGTTATCTTCTTCGCGTTCTCGCTTAATACCTCGCTGATCGTTCTTGCCACCCATGCTACTGAGAGCATTAGAACTCCTCTCTCCAAAGAATACCTCGAGAAATGCATAGGAGTCATTCTTGCCCATATTTTCGTAGCTCTTGACTTGAGCCAAGTTGTCAATAGTACCATTCACTGGGCCCTGTTTTGCAAGATCAGCTAGACTGAGACTAGTAATACTTTTGACGCCAGGCATATTACCAAGGTTGTTCAAGGATGAAACACTGGAAAAGTGCGGCCATGAATTCAACGTGGGGACATTGATCATGCGTGCCTGTGAAGGGACTTTCATTGGTGGTTGACTCGGCGCTGGAGCGAAAGATGCTTGTCCTTGTCCTTGGTCTGATTTGATTCCTGCAGATTCTGTAGCTTGTCGCACAAGGTCTCTATCACGGGCGAAGAGCTCCATCAATACTGCATGGCTATCCGTCTTGCTTAGTTGTTGGTTGGGAGCAGTATTACTCATTTGAGGCAAAGACCCAACCTGCTGACTTTGTGACATTGGTGCAGCTGCTTGGGAATCATAGTACTGCGGTTGCTGTGAAGGAACTGGTGCTGCAACAGCTCGTTGAGTGTACACAGCATTTCCGTATGGATCCACCGAAAGCTACGATTGAATAGGGACATCAGACACGAAAGACTTGCAAGTCCAATCAACACTGCTCTTGTTGCTTACCTCATGTTGCCCCATTTGTTGCTGGATCGGTTGTTGGTATGTTTGATCGGCTGGAGCCATACCAGTCATTTGAGGAACCATGAGTGGTTGAACCCCCCCTGGTACACCCACTCCTCCCCCCACAGTCGCCGCTAGCTTTCCCTGTTCAAGTTGCTTTTTCAACATTGGTTTCCATATTCTCCGTCTTGCATTCGTAAACCAATTCTTCAATTGCTTCTTGTCTATTCCAGTCTTTTGCATCAACATGACTTGATCCTGTGGTGTTGGGTATGGATGCGTAAAGTGTTCAGGTGATAAAAGCCACGCTTTCAGTGTTGCTACTGCACCAGCTGGTAGTTCACGCCGACTTTTAGCCCTTCCACCTTTGGCATCATCATCATCCGATCCGTCAGCCATTTTCACGTTCGTCTTTCCTCAATCACAAAATTTGACGTCTTTATTGTTGTTAATGTTCCCGTTGTTTGCCTTCTATTCCATATAATTTGACTTGTGGTCTCTAGGTGTGTATGCTTATCGTGCAACCAATATATTTGCTTTTATAGCGTTGTTGCGCTCAGTAAGTTGAAGTAACTACGACTGTCAGGGTCACTTCTCTGGGCTTCCTGTTATGTGTGAAGAATTCAGATGAGTTGTGTGATGTCAAGGCATAATACTGCACTGTACGAGAGGCGGACGTAAGATTGAAAATCGACACGGAACATGTACGTAAAAACAGTACTACCAACCCTGCGGGAGGCGATGACATCCCTGGCCGTCGGTGCATGTCATCATTTTGTCGCATGTCTTTCCAATACGCAAAATAACCCCTCGAATACGGAAATTGGTGCATTTTCAATTTTCGACCATTGCATTGACACGCCAACGAGAATGGTACCGAAAATGATCTTCTCACCTCGTTTCTTCCAATTTCGACAATGAAAGCCAAACAAGTAGTATCGACTCTGATTGCCCAGGCTTTGGTGATCAAGTCTGTAGCTTTCTTTCCTCCTTGGACCAATGCTTTCTTGGATGATTGATTGCCTTTTTGTTTTCTCAATGTCGCAGGTGTCAATGTGCGACAATTTTAATCTTTGCTTTTTTATATTTCCGGGTTTCAGATGTCAATGGTTGAGGATCGATTTGACAAGAATCGTCAGTTCGACTCATCGGAGCACCATGCCTGGTAATGATGATGTGGTTGTTGAAGGAAACACGAACCGATACGCTCTACTAAAACGTTTTGCGTTTCGATTCGAGCCATTCGCTGGAACGCATTTCAGCCAATTGCTCACGAAATTAAAAAAAATCGATCAAAATCATCACTGGATGCATTTTTCAAGAGTCTTCCCAGAGCCAACAAATAACATTCAACCAATACCGACAGTGTTGAAGCAATAAGGTCATACGCTGTACTCGGTGCCCCATAGTTGCTTCCATGGAACAATCAGGGAATGAAGGAGCTCCATCGAGTGATCGCCAATATGAGAACAGCCCAAACCATGTAGCATTGAATGGAGTTGCAGACGCTCAGAACAGTATTATTTCGGCGTTACCCCCACCAATGCCCTCGCGGAAGCTAGGAGAACAACCTCCAGTTGTCAACAATGTGGAATTGGTCATCACCAAGGCCAAGAAGGCTGCAACCTATCTCTACACCCTCCTCCACGCAAAGGTAAGTGAATAGCACAGCCCAAAATGCTGAAGAATGACCGGAGTAAGACCAAAATCTCACATGTTTGATGCTTAGAATTGCCGACTCTCTGCAGATAGGTGTTTACATCCTGGTTGTGCCGAGGCTAAGCTCATGTACCTCCACTTGAAGGTAAGCCACATGAGAACGACTTTTGTATCACTCCTCGAGTCATTTCTCTGATTGTTGATGTTCCATTTCCATCATTTATTTCCTTTTCAAAACAAAGACTTGTGGTGCTGAAGGTATTTCGTGTTGTTCAACGGAGTACAAAGGGTGTGTAGATGCGAGGAAACTACTGCTGCACTACCGCCGATGCAGGGATATCAGATCTCGAAAGGCTTCTGGTCAAGGGAGCTCGGAACCTCATTTCTGCCTTGTTTGCTCCCTGGTAGCAAGAAATGCTAAGTCCAAGGGTCGATCTCTCAGTCCTAACTCGACCAACGCCCCTAAGCAACCTCGGAAGCAGTTGATGCCATCAGCTGGCGTCCGATGCACTCCTGTGAGCCAACCTCAAAAGCAACAACTGTACAAGCAAGAACTTCGAGTTCGTCCTAGGTCATTCAGTTTCTCTGACATTGGACGAAGCTCTATCAAGCCGACAGTTCCAAGAGAACTAGTCAAAACCATGCCTCCACCACCGCCTCGATTCTCAGTTCCGAGTCTACCAGGAAGAGCTTCAAATGCTGTTCCTGGAGGTTTTCAGAAGACCATGTCCTCTGCTCTTGCAGTCACCCGGTCACCCGAACACAGGGACCAACTGTCAAACAACGCAAGACCCCGAGCAGAAAGTCTTGATCTACGAAGAGCCCGGTTTCTGGAACCTCCTGCGTCAAACGAGGAGCCCCTCAACCATCAGCCGACTGTTGGAAAGGTTAGGTTCCACGTGCGGAGAAGAAGCGCCTCCTTCGATGCTCTATCATCATCTGTCAAAGCTAATGAATTCCCGACGATTGAAGAAGAACCAGTAGGAGAAGATCTGCAAGAAATGCTCGAAGGTGATAGATAAGAATTCAACCACAATTTTGTGAGACTAAAATAAAGTCTGATACCAATGCCACCTAGTGACGCTCTGAATTCCCTTTTAAATTATCATGTTGGTATCTTCAAAATGAAACTGGGTTCTCTCTCATGGACAGAATTTAGCCTGTTTACTTACTGACTATGTGTCGAGAACAAAATGCCATCTGCTGTGATAAAAAGGAACGCATGACGTAGATGTGTTTTTCTTTTTCTTCTCTAAAACTGCTGTAGCAACTGTGTATTTTCATTTTCAAATCACGCTGTAGGTCTAATTACTAGGCTTAAATTATATGAACATGGGAAACAATAGTTTAGGCTCTATTATAACGTAGTTTAGGCTGTATGATGATGCAGTTCATGAGCGGCAAGAATCACGCCGTCTTCAAACCGAATTGGCCGAAAGTGAAAGTCTGGTGACAAGCAATCCCACCACTTGAAATCGCACATGGTGGATATTCTTCGCGCCGCAATGAATCGAACTTCTCCACTGTTGCTCAGGGGACCTTCTTCAATCAAGTTATCATACACCAGTGTCTGCACCAATTGTTGAACTTCTTCTATTGTAAGCTCCACTTTGGATACCTTCACTTGTTTCATCTTTAGTTTAATTTCCGTCATAGTCACTCCTTTGCCATCATTAAGTTTCTTGATGCATTGAATGACAAAGGTTCGCAACTCGGAAATGAATTCGTGATCGAATTCCAGTCCGCTGTACCATACACCACCAGTAATTTCCTTGGACGGTCTCAAGTCGTACAACATGTACAACTTCTTCGCCTTGGCATTGACGGACTTTACTGGTTTGATCAAACGTCTTTGCTCGAGGTGCTTGAAAATTTTGTTGAGTGGTTGTGGATGCATATTTGTCTGCAACCGAATTTCTTTGGTCCAAATTCCCTTGTTACCAGCCTTTTCAATTACTTGCAAGACTAATCGGTCATTGGCATCCAATCCCTGATACTTTTGGGCTACCTCTTCATCCACTATCGTGTAAAAGAGCTGATTGTCCATTTTGCTCATTGTGAGTCGGGACCCTCTGGATAATTCATTGATGGTTTCCACCAAATATTTCTGCTCCTCCTTAGTTGCAAAATTCTCTTGAATCACCTTGTTGGGAGCACCATTCTTGTATTGGGGCTCATTCAAGAGGGCCTCGAAACGTGCCTTGACACTGGCTTGGGAAACCTTCGTGGTGTCCACGGCAGTAGTAGCATCTCCTGCTGCTGCTGCTGCTGGATCTGCTTTTACTTTGACGGCAGTTCCGATGCGGACCCTTTTCCTCCCACTTTGTACGCTTGTGGAGGTTCGTTTTCTTCCCGACATGTTGTTTTGTTGTTGTTGTAAGGAAGTGAAGAATGAATCAATTCTTGCGTTGTTTTGATGGGTTCTTTCTGGAGCAAGTCTGGGAGTTGAGAGATTTTCGCAAATTTGGGTAACAGGTCTGTTTGTCCACCCGTCCTACAGTCTTCGAAAATAAAATCTTCCTAGTGGTCACAAGTGACTTTTGTTAGTTTACCGGTACGCACGAAACAGCTACTTTGCTTGTGGGGTCTACGTGATCGATACGTGTAAAAATTGTGGACGTAGCCGTGAGATTCGATATGGCGTCTGGCCGTTCTCCACAAAATTACTTGACCGCAATTTGTTCTCTCACGGTGTCAGGCCATTCTATGCTGTAATTTCAACGTGATTTTTTACGGACACCAGAAACTACTGGGTCGTTTTTCGGACATAAGACAATTTGGTAGCTTCGACACTGCGGCATAATACTTAACGACATTACAACAAAAATTGGCAGCGATGGTACTGAATTTACCGTAGAAGAGAGGAATTAATCCGAATCTTGCCAAAACTGCTAGCTGCGGTACGTATGTCGATCAATCACTTCCTGGTGTCGAGCGGAAGAAGGAAATACTGGTGCTGCGAAACCGAGCCGATCAAAGGTTGTAGTTTAGCCAGTGCATCCACAACACGAGTGACTCAAACTCTGCTAACATATAAAGCAAACCGTTTCGCCTTCATTGCGATACCTCTTAGCGCAATCCAGAACTGCGAGATTTTGAATATTGGACGTGCAGTGAAGCTCTCTGGTTGGATTTTAGTTGGAGAAGGAGGCTCAATCAGATCAGCAGCAGTTTTGCAAAGTGATGGCATCGGCAGGAAGTATTAACGATCGTAATTCCGGAGATGGTGCATGGGACGGTGGCGCATCTGTGCCGTCTCTTCATTCTGGACTGCCGAATGACCGCAACGGACTAGGCGAAAGCCAGCACACTACACTGGGAGGAAGCTTGTCGACGCCATCATTCGGTGCCCCACCACCTGGTTTCAACCCTGGAAATGATGCCCCGCGAAGCAACCTCATGTGGAGCAATAAGGAACCACCCAATATCAGAGATGAGGGAATGGATGGACACAGAAGTTCCAGCTTTAACAATTTAGCGGCTGTTTTTGGAAGCGGGCTTGCGGAATCCATTAACGATGCTGTTCTGACGGATTCGTTTTTCTCTCCCGATAAGAAACAAGGAGATCTCAATTATGCTCGTCAATCACGTCAAACGGCATTAAGAATGGGACGAGGCGGTGATTCCATTGGTTCTGCTCACAAAACACAAGAGGCTGGAAATTTATTTGCATCTTATGATGCTCCAAACAATCGTGCCACTGGTGTACGAGGGCCTGCAGGTAGAGATGATTACCCTAGAGGCCAAGATCGATCGGTAGGTGGACTATATCCAGATCATGGTTATGGTACAGCTTTTGCAAAGGACCGAAACGCTGCTCATCAGCAGGGAGGTTACGATTTGGGGATGACTGTGACAGAACCACAGGACTCCCGTTCCCGCAATCGACCAGATGATGGAACCATGGATCTTCAGCGCGGGATGAAGAACCTCTGGTCCAGCGATGAGCAACCGCCAAAAATCGGTGGAGCTCCAAAGGATGCTCGTATAATGCAACAGGAAGCGGAAGATGATTTGCGTCCATTTGCCTGGGACATTCGTCATCACGAGCCAAGTAGAGCGCTGGTTATTATGCGTGCATCAACACTTGCAGCTGCTGATGCGAGGGCGGCTTGCGAGTTGTTTGGGGTTGTGGAAGCATTCCGATCGGACTTTGCCGATCGTGGAATCTTTTTCGTTAGCTACTATGATATGAGGTGTGCTCAATATGCTGCCATGGAATTGCTTCCAAAGCTGCAACGACCAGGTGTTGATGGGGACAAAATTTTGGTTCAGTTTTGTGTACCCTTGAACTCTTCCTCTCAGTTCGATGATAGTCTGGTAGTTCTGAACGATGTTCCAATGGATATGAACATTGAGAGCCTCGCTCAAATGCTCTCTTCGTATGGAGCTGTCAGATCTCTTCGAAGTCTCGGGGGAAACTATGGTGGAACTTCCTTTGTTGCGGAATATCACGACCTACAGGACGCAAAACAGGCAGTTTTGGAGCTGGAAAGCACTCAGCCTTGGGGTCCCAACGTCAGTGTAGAAATCGGAGCAAGGAATCCATCGGACCGAAAACGAGGACGAGAGCTACTGGCTTTGATTGGTCGCTGGCGCCATGGAGAATCACCAAGCGATTCCAACAGACGGCTTCCGACTTCTCATGGTGGTGGTCGTGGTGGTGCTACATATGGAGGTCATCACGACCTACGGGGCACAGCGTACATACCTGGTTCACATGCACCAAGGCATGACATTCGATACGATCGAGGTGGTGCCCCTGGCCGAGGCTATGGGCAATCATATGGTGCTGTTATGAATAATTCTGGCTATCCTCAGTCATACGGCAACAGCATGCCCCCCTACCAAGCGGACCATCGTTCGAATCACCACGGATCTTACATGAATCATGGAGGTCCTCCCTCGCATCAACACTATGGCGGTCCTCCCTCGCATGGGCGTGGGTATCACTTTTCGAGCGGTGGCTCAGTTGTGTCTGCTAATTCTGCTTACTCGGATGGACATCACTCTCATCACTCACACCACTCGGGTCACTATCCACCAACCAGCTCTCGCAGTGTCCCTTACTTCCCAGATGGTGCATCGGTTGGCAGCCAATCCCGCGACTACCGTAGTGTACCAGGTGGTGGCACACCCGACCAAAAGGACAATCGGCACCTAAAGTTGGATGTCGACGCAGTGGAAAATGGTCGTGACAGCCGTACTTCACTGATGGTACGCAACATTCCAAACAAGTACACTCAGCAGATGCTGCTTTCTGAGTTTGCTGAAAATGGGCATGGTCCCGGGACCATTGATTTTTTCTACCTCCCCATTGATTTCAAGAACAAGTGTAACCGTGGTTATGCTTTCATCAATTTTGTTGACTTCAGGGACATCCTACCTTTCCATCGCAGATACTATGGAAAGCATTGGAGAACCTTTAACAGTGACAAAATTTGCGAAATCACATACGCCAGAATTCAAGGGAAATCAGCCATGCTTAAGCGTTTCGAGAACTCAGCACTTATGGAGAAGGACGAAGAATACAAGCCTCTTGTGTTTGTGAGTAGCGGTCCTGATAGAGGCAACAGTTTGCCATTCCCCGATCCTTCAAATCGATCGTAATGTTTTGCGCAAAACATTTTGTTAATATTATTTTGAGAAGCTTTCATACCTACAGTATAACACGAATAGAGAAGCAATAATTACTAATGCTTTTCTAGTATTGTTAAAATGCTATTCTACATGCAACAAGGCCTATACCAGCATCTTCATTCCAGTTGTTGGAGGCAGCAAAACCGTTCCGCGCGTTTACGTTGAACGAGCGCAACGGAAAGTACCAATGATTTTCGTTTTCAAATTCAATGACATCAAAAACTTTCCTACACTCACAACAAACTTACTATAGAACTTTTGTCTCGCAACCATGGCATCTACTGTATGGCCCAGCAAGACTGCTGAAAGCGTGAAATTGATAATACCCGAAGCCTATGATCCTTACAACGGAGATGTTCTGAACAAATGCTTTATTCGATATAATGCTGACAAAGGCTGCTTTTTGGTTGTCTCGGAAGGCGATGAGAAGACTCTAGATATCATCGATTCACGAGATATTGTCGGCGCGTCCGTCGAAGTTGACATATTTGGATCTGTTGAAACCAATGAGCTTAGACGACTAGCCACCGCACAGTCCACGGACTCTTCAAACGGCAATTCCCCCAACAATCGAGATGACAACGAGCCGGGCACAGATGAAGTGAACGACACACAGGGAGCCGCCATTTTGAAGATTTTTGCCTACCCTCGTGTCCATCCCTCGGAAGAAAGCATAATGTCGAGCTGTGCTACGAGTGCTCCAAAAAGAAAGCCAAATACAGAATACAGAACACAGTCTGATAAGGGTAAACTGAGATCCCGTCGGGCTCATCATCGGCAGTTCCAGGTAGCTCCCTCGGAAGACTTGTCCGGTCTTTCAACTCTTATTGACGCCATTCGAGCAATATGCAAACCTGGCTACAATCCAAAAGACAAATTGCTGGTTCTAGTCAATCCGTACTCGGGAACCAAAAAGGGAACACAGATTTTCAATAATACCGTAGCTCCCATGTTTGTGGAAGCAGGAATCGACTATGACTATTTGATGACTACCAGCGCCAATCATGCATTTGAACGTATGAAAGAGCAAGGGGAAGACTCGAAAATTCCAGACTTGTCCGAGTACGACGGTGTCGTTGCAGTTGGAGGTGATGGTATCATCCACGAAATGTTTCAGGGAATCCGAACGAGGTCCGACTGCGACAAGATCTTGAGTAAACTAAAGTTGGGCGTTGTAGGGTCTGGTACATCCAATGGGCTTGCCAAAACACTGGCTCATGCTAGCAACGAGCTAGACAATGCTGTTGACTATGCTTTTCTGGTTGCTAAAGGAAATTCAGAAAAGATGGATCTATCGCTTTACGAGACGTCGTCGTCGAAATACATATCATTCCTTACTTTTTCATGGTCCATGATTGCGGATATTGATATTGAATCTGAAGCCATTCGATTCATGGGGTTCTTACGAATGGACATTTGGGGTGTTTTGAGTGTATTGAGAATGCGGAGATACCGAGCACGCTTGTCGTATTTACCACCATCTGACGAAAGCAATACTATAGTGACAAAATGTCCTTCCATCAACGAACCCATTCCCTGTGATGAAAAGTGGGTCTCAAGTGAAAGTGATTTCCTCTTGCTTTGGGCGTCTCAAGTGACACATGCAGCAGAGAAGACACACAACTCACCCAATTGCAAGCTAAATGATGGTGTCTTTGAGATTCTCGTTGTTCGGTAAGACTAGCAAAGCAAAAGAGACTGCAAAAGAGTACTGGAACTTTTCCTCACCTTCATTGTAATTTCTTCACAGTGAAAATATATCCCGACTGAGAATGGCAATGATATTGTTGGGATTGGATAGTGGAGACCACGCGAATATGCCAGGTGTAGAATTCATCAGGTGTAGCGCCTATCGGCTAGAACCAATAACACCGGGATCCTTTAATGATCTGGATGGAGAGGTAATTGAAGCTGGCCCAGTGCAAGCCCATGTGATGCCAGGAGCTGTCAATGTATTCTGTACGCCAATAGATAAATAAATGCCAACAGTACTACCTACTCTCTTCCGATAAAGGTTAGAAAATTGGGTCCGTCCGTCGTCCATCATCATCATCATTGGACCTTTCACGAACGGCCAGGATACGGTCGGTCCCCCAACCGCAAATTACGAGACGACCTTTCGATACTGTACCGTAGCTTCAAGTGGTTTCCGATTGTGAAACCTGTGCATTGCAACCAACAAGATGACCAGTTTATCGTCCAAGATGTCACCGTCTTCTCCCGCTCTTATGATGGAGGATGACCCAGATGCTGTTACCCATGTTATCGTCCATCCAATGGTTTTGTTGCACGTTCTGGATCATCACACTCGAAGACAAGAAGCTTCGGGCCGTGTAATTGGAACTTTGCTTGGTCGAAGAGACGGCAAAACGGTATGTTGCAACTGAGAAAAGCAGGATTTTTTAGTTGGTCTATCATGCATTTATATCTAACATGCTTGTGTGATTTTCTAGGTGGAAATCACAAATTGTTTCGCCGTTCCACACGCGGAACGAGGGGAAGAAGTCGCGATTGGAAAGGATTTTAACAAGCAAATGCTCGCATTACACATGAGAGCATACCGAAAGGAGGCAGTCGTCGGATGGTACGCATCTTCTGCACTAGAAGATGGCCAAGGAGATTTGATAGCCGACACTTCGTCATTGATTCACGAGTTTTATGCTGGAGAGGCCGATGAGGGTGATCCAATCCACCTTGTGGTTGACACCAGACTGAAGGAAGACGCTATTTCCGTTCGAGCATTCAAAAGCACGCCAGTTGTTGTACAAGGCGAGCCACTTGCCAATCTATTCCATGAAATCAGCTTGACTATGGAAAGCACCGAGCCAGAAGCCATTTGCCTGAATAAAATGGTGAAGGATGAAAACCCAGCACCCAAAGAAGGAGAACAAGTAGAACCTCTTTTGCTTTCTATGGAAAAGCTGTATAAACTCTTGGAAACTGCTACCGAATACGTTGATTCCGTTGTTGAAGGAAAGATCACACCAGATGCAGAAGTTGGCAGGCAGATTGCCGACACTTTGGCTACTGTTCCTCGCATCAGACCCGAAGTCTTTGACAAGCTTTTCAACGATTCTCTCCAAGATTTGCTCATGGTCACATACTTGTCCAATATTACACGAACGCAACTCACGATTGCCGAAAAGCTCAATGCAAGCTTGGGTGTATAGTTATATAAAACTAGATTATGCAAAGAAATAAATTGCCATGTTTCGTAGTCAAGTTTAGATGTGAAGAGCACTCGCTGCAATGTTACAATACAATGCCTGGCCATGTCAAGCTCAGTAAGAAATGCCGACAGACGTGATCAAGCATTTGAAAAATGAAATAGATAGTTATGGACTCATTAATCCTGCGCCAGCAGCTGCACCAGCAGCAACTTGAGCTATGTCCCCTTGAATCTTGGACACGCATTTGAAGTTTCCTTCAAAATCAGATTTCCACAGTTGCACTAGTCCCGCATCTCCACTGCTAGCAAGAACAGTTCCAGTGACATTCCATTGGCACCTCCAAGCATTGATGACTTGCAAAGTTTGGGTGGATTCCAATTCTAATTTGTTTTCCTTACGAGACAATTTGAAAATTCTCAACTGACTTCCTTCTGCAGAAGCAATGTAGTGGAATTGACGACCAACGTTGGGCGCCCAAGCAATGTCCAAGACTTCACCAACTGCAGGAGGGGGCAACACAATGAGTGGACTATATTGACGACTGGCCTCACCATATCGATAGACAATGGGGTTGGCTCCACCCACTACCAGAGTAGGCGGCTCGAATCGCCCCGACGACCAAGACATGCAAGTCACTCCAAGACCTTCTGCAAAGCACTGCAGGGTTGTTGCCAAAGGCCACTGAGATAGATTTGCAACATCCACCGCTTCGTAGATTCGCACACACCCATCTGCACTACCCGTTGCAAGTTTGAGTCCCCAATGACGCGGCGAAAATTCCAAACAAGAAACCGCCTTGCGAGCATCCGCCAATTGCGACTTGACAGTCCATCGAGAAGCGGCCGAAGTGGCGTTGGTGCGTTCTTCCCAAATCTTGGCTTCGTGATCGCTCCCGCACGTGGCCAGCATACTCCCAAATTCGGGATGCGCCCAACTGAGCATGGCGACAGATCCCTTGTGTGCTTGCCATTCCCCAACCAGAGACCAAACGTTGTTTTCCGAGAGGTCCCAAACCCTGACGAAACGATCTCCACTGCAAGTGGCCATTCGGCGTCCGTAAATGTCAAAGGCAATGTGATGGACGTAGTCTTGATGTCTAGACGTGAGCACTTTGGAGGTGGACGTGGGGCCACTGAAGTCCATTATTTGATTTTGCATGGTTGTTTTGTAGATTGAATGAGTGAATGAATGAAAGCCACTATCTCAAACAGTTGCAGCGGTTTCGGCTCTCATCGGCAATCAAGCAATTTTGAATGCGTGAATCCGTGGTGGTGGACTAAATGGACCACAGACCCAAAATTTTGATCTCCGTCTCTCCTGGAGTTTGCCTACAGTACTGTATCTCTTGTTAGTACCGTATTGCTGCTGCGGTAATGCAATCCAGACATCACATGTTCAGTGCCTACATCATATATCCTAACACTTGATAATTATGCCAATCTAATATTTACGCGACAAATTTATAAATGACTGCTCCAAAACCAATCATCAAGACAATACACATGATATCCACCATCATCTTGTCACTGGATCTTGCAACTTCTTCCAGTGTCTCCTTCATGCGACCATTTACTTTTTCCATATTCGCTAGATTTTTGTCAATCTTCTTGTCAACCTTGTCCAACATTTGACTTTGCAGAGCAACTTCTTCTCCTTGAGCAGCCGCAATTTCAGCAAGATCTTGAATACCTTCTCCAATTTCATCGAGCTGAAGGTCAAAGTCAGCATCACGCTGCTCAATTTCTTGGATCGTTTGTTGTTGGTCGCCAGACAAGGCGACGCCTCCTCCACCGGCCCCGCCCCAGGATGGTCCGTTGGATTTCTTACCAGCTGTTTGCATAATGGAAAATGTTGTCAGCTACGATTGGAAAAATCCATAACATCAACAGTGTCAAACGTATCAGAGCAAAAAATGACTTACAATCACCATAGGAGAGCGCCTTTGTGTTCAAAGCAGCAGCTGCAGCATCGCGGCCGCCACTTTTGGAGTACCCTTTGGTTTGAATGTTCTTGACCTCTTCAATCTTGGCATACAATCTCTTGACAAGCTCGGATTGAACTTCCAATTCTTCAGGAGTGAATTTACTCTTTTTCTTTCGGGCCTCCTTTTTGTAAAGCTTTTCTAATTGCTTCCATTCATCCGTAGCTTGGCGAATGTTCTCGCGGACTTCGGCTTGCATCTTAATGATGTCCTTGGCATTGTCACCACCGTATCCCGAGTTTTCCAGATCCTTGCAATCCTTTAATAATTGATGCCCCGTTTTTAGACGGTCGACAATACTAGATTTCAATTCCAAAAATTGAGATCCCTTCTTTTCTGCCTTCTTTCCGCTTCCCATCTTGGCAACATTCGATGCTTTGGCAATTTTTTCCTCATCGGATGTCTTGGGCTTGGCTCCAATATCCTCTTGGATGGTGTACAATTTGGCTAGAAGCCCGGTCACTTCGTCATCTTCCTTTGATTTTGCCATCTTTCACTTGATTTGTGCTGTGCCTGAAGTTACGGTAGTATATGAGGGTCTCAACAACAACCAACGCAACAAGTAATTTCAAGCCCAAGTGCTGGAACAGTTTGCTCCGCGATCAAAATGTCTTCCGAGAGGGAGGCATATTTGAACGTAGACTTACGTAGACTCCAGTACTGTGGTCAACGGAATTTATGCTACAAAATAGTTTATATGCCCAAAATTCCGCTTTTTACTTATTCTTGCACAGGGGCAGAAAGCAAGTCGATGAGGTTCTTACCGATGACTGCTTATTGCTAATTGCAAACTTATAGCGATTCCTGAACGTTGCGAAAGCGATGGTCGAATATTTGACACCCCTTGTGGGTACCCCTCTTTTGTTCCATGGTTGTCTACATTAGTATGCTAAGGGGTAATGCTGCAAAACAAGGTTATATCACGCGGTATCGATGTTGGTGCGTTGACACTGCCAAAATAATATCCATTGAGTACTGGTACAGTAGTAGTTCAAAAGTTTAATACTGTACATCTACTAGAACGACAAATTTAGGAGAGTGCGATGGTGGTCATGTGCGTGATGCAAAGAGCGATATGTCAAAATGTTTGTACAATGTACTATATTGCAATTCTAACCTATGCATGCAACTGAATTTCCCTTAGAATCTCAAAAAGGACATCTGGATAGTTTGTCGATCTTGATAGCATCCTTGGCAGCAAAACTGAGGGGAGCAACAGCTTCAGGCTTTTTCTTCCGCCGCGATTCAATCGTAGATAGAAATCAATCATTCGCCAGCAGCTTTCATTTCCCAAAGGACCATCCACATGTTTCAATGTGTCGTTGTCCTTCATACCATTGAGGAGAGCAATAGCCAAAGTATGATCTAGTTCTCCAAATAAAATGGACTCGAGACTTTTCATCTTGGGCAAGGACTCTGCGAAATACTCAAACTCGTCCGTAGAAAAAGGGATACTCTTGAGATTTAGTTTCAATAGATGTTCATTGCTTGTCAGAGAATCAGTAAGCTCCCTCAATAGATGATCCTGCCGAATTCCTGAAATATCCAGTTCTCGAAGAGTCGTATTATTTGCAAGTGAACTGATGATTGGTGTTAGCCCATTTGGTCCCTCCATATTGATATGGGAAGCTTTCAAGACTTCCATACCAGTGTTGCCATTGATGGAGTGGGCAACGGACCCAAGGAAACGGTCCGACAGACCCTGGTAGGCCATGTAAATGCCCATGGACTTGGACATGTTAGATATATTCAAATACTTGAAGCTTCGAGTCCGAATGAGATCTCCAATGAGATCAAATCCCTCTGGATCGACTCCAATGTCTTGCATTGTAATATCAGTGATGCTTCCATTCTCTCTTAGCCCATCCAGGAGATACTGCATACCTTCCACCGTGAAATTATTATCCGATATATCAAGACGTTGAATGCTTTTTGCTTCCTTCAGTCCCTTCGAGAATAGTTTCCATCCGTTTGTCGAAAATGTCATTTCAACATCAATATCCGCATCGCAAAAGTTGATCGATTCGAGCGTTGAGTTGACGCGGAGGGCGTTTGCAAGGGCATCCGCGCCGTCATCGAGTAAATAAGAATTGCAGGATAGAATGAGTTCCTTCAGCGAAGTGTTCACCTCCAGTGCCTTTGCAATCGGGGTGATATTTGAATCTCTGTAAACACCAGCCAAGTTCAGGTGTTGGATTTGGCATTCACCATGCTCCAGTGCTTTCTGAACGGCTTGTATGCTCGCAGATTTGACTTGAGAACGACTCAGAATGAGTTTTTTAAGCTTGTGTGCACTACCTGCAAACAAAGCTGCCAGAAATCCTTCGTGGACCATACGCGTCCTTGAGATGCAAAGTAGCTGCAGGGATTCAGAAGTTGCGATGGCTTTATCAAGGGATTGATACGACTTCTTGGAAATTCGAGAGAATAGCGAATTCTTTATATGCCAGCAAGTAGATAGGTGTAACTGCTCCAGCGTCTTACTTGTCGCAACAACATTGCAAAGGAAACTCACGTCGCGATGTCCGAAAGGTACACCCATCATCTCCAGTACCTTCAAGTTGCTTACTAATCCGAGGCTATCTGCTATGAAGGAGGAATTCGGTTTGGGTATCACCCCTATCATATATCTTGGGAGTTCCAGCGCTTGGATGACCCTTGCAGTCTCCCTATAAACTGGCATCTGACGAATAAGTTTACTTCGATCTTTGACGAACACGGTGAAACTGCGCATCGTTTCCGTGCATTTTTGGCAGCATATTCTGATTTTACCTTTTCGAATTTCAAATTGGCAATGGTTGTACTTTCCAGCGTCATAACAAATAGAGCAGTTTGGATAGCTTCCACAAGGTCCTGACATTTCATTGATTTCCTGTTTGACGGCTTTGATTAGGTCATCAAAGTGATATGCTGACTCATTTGGATGGGGTTCGCCAGTTTCCCTTTCTTTTCGGAGGATATATCTCATGGTATCGTTGTATTTGCCCTTTCCAGATGCTTCAGCATAGTAATCTACAGAAGGACTTGAACATCATTGCAAAGTGCACGATAGACGATAGTAGTGCCCTTATGATCGATTGATTCTTCATCTGAAAACATTGCCATCGAAAACAGGGGTAGGGGGCGTGTGTGTAGCTATTATGGGGAACCCAAAGTCACTGAAATTTTCACATCGATCGCTGCAACATCAATATAAAATCCAAGAGTGATTGCCATTGAAGATCACAAGGACATACTGTAGCCATCGCAGTGATCATCACATCACACAGCAACGGAGAGACTCGAGTTGTCTCTTGGTGTCTCCTACCTATAATTTGTTTGGTTTCTGCCTCAAACTCAAACCTCTTGAACGTCGACTGATTGACTGACTCCTCTCAGACAAGCGAAGCCAACCATGGTGACAGCTCCCAATCCCAATCCTACCAACACCGCAACGGCCACTTCCAATGCTACTACTAAATCCACGACGAAAAGTCCCAGTAAGACAGCCACCAAAGCTGGTGGAGGCACCAAGACCAAGAAAACCACAAAAAAGAGGTCTACCAAGAAGAATACCGGCAACTCGGCGGCCACTCAGGCCGCATTGAATGCCTCCCGGGCTGCTCACGCGGAACTAACCGCCCAACGTAACAAGGCTGCAGCCCGACGATCAGATCCTCTATGGTATCGAGACGAAGATGTCCTACCTTCGGCCGCCGAAGAAACTCCCATGGCAGAACACGGCAGGATTTTACCGGAACAGTTCCAAATTGTCGATACTGCCCTCCTCAAGAATAATCTGACGAGAAGTGATGTGACGCCCCAAGCCTTTTATTGCTTGTTGGAACAAGCTCGGCGCTTTGCTTACGAAATCATTACTGATTCTCAAGATTATGCCTTCATGGCCAACCGCACCGAGATTGCCAAGGCCGACTTGGAATTGGCAGACTCGTATAGACCGGACCATCCCACTGCCTTGCAAGCCCAGTTGCCCAAGCTCAATTTGCTGGCCCAAACTATCAATCGGGTACCCTTACCACCCATACCGACTCAATGTTATTCGGGCGTCTCGCTGCCCCCCAAGAAGCATCAACTCACGGCGCGAACCTTTGATGTAGTCAGTGGGGCGCAAGTGGCCAACAAAATGGTGCAACCCGCACCTTCCTTGCCCGTCAAGAAACCATCCACATCGTCCTCTAGCAAGCAAGGCAGTAAGACGACGGCCAGCTATGGAGCTAATCGTGGACGTCAAATTCCTGTGAATATTCAAGAGAAGGATGGAGCCGATCCAACCAATACTGGAGGCACTCCCAACACTGCCCTTGGCGCTATGCCCCCCAATCCTGGAGCGACAACAGGAGGAGGACCCCCACCATCCGCCAATCCTACAACAGGTCTTACTCCCCCACCCATGGGTGGTGCTCCCCTTGGCAATCCCGGCGGCGGGGCCATGGCACCCGCTCCAGGAATGCCACAGCAGCCCATGGGACAACAACCGCAACAACCACAAATGGGAGGCATGTCCTCTGGTCCTCCCAATCCAATGAATAATTATCTTGGAAATCCACCCGGGTTGCTGTAATGGGAGAAAGGAACACTGTGATCTGGAGGACTGACGAGGTAGTGCTGACTACTAGACTGCTTTTGAGTTGATTGGAAGAGTGGTTGCTATTCAATCTGTTGAAATGAAACGGGACGACAAGGAGAGTGAGTTAGACAATTCTTAACGATAATGATATAACTTTTGAATTATTACGATTTCTCTTTGAATTCTATTCGAGACAATGATCCAAAACCGAGAGAGACGAGTATAGTATATTAATACTATTATAAGAACAAAGAAATATCATTTTTTCTATGCCAAAAAATAAATTTATTGAAGCAACTAATGAAAACAATTATCGAAGGACTTCATGAAGAAACCAATCACAGTTGATGGATCCATGATCATGTTCCTTTGAAGTACCAACTCACAGCTTTTGTTCGTTTCTCATTTGGATCTTTCACGAGCAAGTCGAAATGGAAACGCACAATATTTTTGTTTGTTTTGAAACTGCTAGAGGAACAACCACAAAATAACACCACATCACCCATGGTAAGCGGTGATCCAATGATTTTTAACCTCTTCTAGCACCCAACATGAATCCAGCAGCAAAGCCTCCGGCGTTGGGCACTCGATCCGTCATAATGTCACTGTACTTTTTCCAATGCATTTGGGCGTCGTCCATGTTGACAATCCCATCCTTGTTGGCGTCCAGTGTCTTGACAAAAGTATCCTCCTTGACCTTGTCCCAATTTACTGTGATGTAGCCCGAGCTAGCAGCCGTTTGGACACCCATGAAGGTCAATCCAATGGCCACACCAGCAACCTTTCCCACTTTGCGAAAGGCCATGCCGGAACAGTAGCCCAACATGCCACCGAATCCAACAGCGGGACCAGCAACCTTGGAGCGTTCCAAGAATTGATTTACAGCATCGGGCATATCTCCATTTCCACTCATTATTTAGGACTGTTCTTGGGGATTGAATTACTACTCTAGAAGAATGAATGAATGAATGAACTAATTCACTACAGAAGTGAAGATTCTCGAAAGCTCGATCCGAGATGAGAACGGAATCCAATCCTGGATTTCGGCTCTGTAGAAAAAGTACTATGACAGGTCTGTCAATCGTAAGAGGTCCACGTACGACACGCATTTTATGTGTGTTTTACCGTTGAAAGACTGACGGGGGCGATCTTTTTCGTTTGAAAAATCAAAACACCATCACACTTTTCAATCATTCTTCAACCGCAACTCCAAGTGAATGCATGCATGAACGGCAAAAGGAATAAGATGGCATTTTCAGTCTCAAAAAGATAACAATATGATAACAAGATCATCAATCTCGTGGTTTCTCTACAGTGTCCTGGTGATTGCTCGCATTACTATTGGTCCCTTTCTCAATGGATATGTACACCCTGATGAACTCTTTCAATCGGGACAAGAGATTTGGTACGGGACTCCTCCCATTATAGCATGGGAATTTGAACCAAAGAATGCCCTACGATCGGTACTCCCACCAGGAATCATGACGGGGATTCCGCTCCAAATATATGGGATGATGATAAAGGCAATGCTGAATGATGGCAAGCATATAGAATTCTCAGGTCGAGAAGTATTGTGGATTCCACGATTTGCCTGTGCCATCTTTTCGGTTCTAGCTGTGGATTGGAGTATTTATGCCGTCGTGGTTTCGGCAATGAAATCAAGAAATGGTGATGATTCTTCGATATCATCATCACTCTCAGTTTCGTTGCTTCCGCTCTTGCTGCTTGCCAGTTCCTGGCCCACCATGGTCCTGCTCAATCGGCCATTTTCCAATTCCATGGAGACGTGCTGTGTGGCACTCCTGGTTGCCTCGATACTTCCAAAAAAGAAGCAAGCGATATCGAATCGAACATGTGTCTACGTTGGCATGCTGTGTGCATTGGGAATCTTTACCAGATTTACCTTTTTGTTTTTTGCCATTCCAGTCATGCTGTTGTTCCTGTACGACCTACTATGTGGAGAAAAGAACAAGAGGAATACAATCAAGAGCGTCATGGTGACGACAATTGCCTTTTTCATTGTCAGCTTTGTCCTTATATTGGCCGATACCCTATTCTACTCATCGGACTACTTTTCCAATACGGATGATGATGCATGGACTTCCTTATTATCGACAAAAGACTTGGTGGTGACTCCATGGAATGCACTCATGTACAATTCCAAGGTCTCCAATCTAAAAGAGCATGGCTTGCATCCTCGTTGGACTCACGGGTTGGTAAACATGTTTATCCTCTTTGGTCCATTGACTATTGTCGGGTATTGGAACATTATTATTTGTATTATTATTATTGCTTCCACATTCAATCCAAGGAAGCAGCAAAACCAACAATTTACCAATGATAATGATTCACAGCAACGGAAGCATCGCACCAACAAATTGGCATGTTGGATGATTGTTTCAGGTCTGGGATTCTTGTCCTTGGCACCACATCAAGAACCTCGATTCCTATTGCCCTTGTTGGTTCCATTGGTGCTCTTGGTAACTTCCACCACTAGCAACGCTATTTGGAAGGAACGCCAATGGCTTCAAGTGCTGGCTGCAACTGTTTGGATTGTCTTCAATCTTGTTCTGTTCACCTTGTTTGGTGTCCTGCATCAATCGGGAGTCGTTCCATCATTGATTCAATTGGGCCAAGAAGTCATGAGTTTTCAGCATCAGCAACCAACAACAATTGTGTACTACCATACGTACATGCCGCCATCCTTTTTGCTTCGGCAAGCGACTGGGGATGATGAAACATGTGTCCTCAATACTGGCCAAGAACAAAAGGCAGAAGGATTCTGTGCAACAACAACAACAACAACAACAAGCAGTCTTGTCGATTTGAATGGATCGGATTGGGCTTCACTGGAGCAAGCACTGGACGCACACCTTGGTTGCAAGGACGAATCAGATACTGTTGTTGTATTGGTCATGCCCACCATGATTCGAGAACCTGATGGAAACGCCAGCAACGACCAATCATCTTGGTTATTCACACCCGATGAGTGCGAAATGCCTGGAACAAGCTACGATTGCCAATTGTTGACTAGCCATGGAAACCATCTCAGTACTGAGGATCTTCCACCATTTGGTGAATCGCTCACTCAGTTCTACCACAACATGGCTCTGAATGTATACCAAGTCTCTTGTAGTGGTAGTAGCAGTTAGTACATGTGTTATAAACGAATAAAATTCTAATTGTATGAAAATTATCGTCGCTCTTTAGTGTAGACCAGAACAGTGCAATGGGCAGTAGTACTTCTACTCACAGAATCTTAGGAGTAAAAGTACTGTACTAGACTTGGTACTCTAGGACTTTTGGACTAAATAGGTACCTTGAAAACAGGCCATTAATTTTTCCACGTCATTGATCCACCCAAGCAACCAGATCCGCATGCATCATCCGCCGCATTCATTCTTCGTCGCTTACAAAGCAAGAAACAAAAGGTCTCGCAAAGCACTATCTCTCATTTAGTCAGACAATGCCCTTATTCGGATTCAGCAAGAAGGAGGGTGAAGAAGTAAAAGAAAGAATTTCAAACGATATCAATCCCGGAAAAGGTTTGAAACACAACAAGGGCAAACCCAAGAAAGCACCTTACGCCACACAAGACTCCACTACCGCTCGGTTCTTGACCAATTGTTCCGACGAACACAAGGAATCTTTGCAGTGCATTGAACAGAACTACAATAACCGAGGAGCCTGTCAACCATTCTTTGATGCTTACAAGCAGTGCCGCGCGGAAGAAAATGAAGCACGCAAAGCAGCAAATTCGGGTGGAAAGGAAGAGAAGGGTTTCTTCTCCTTGTAAAGCTGCTTCTTTGCAGAACGTTTTCTGCGTCTTGGTATTGTTGTCTATTCTGGAGTTGCCACAATTTGTTGCAGGCTTTGGAAGAATTGCCGTCGTCCCTAGTGCTGGAACACCATGTCGACCATTCTTGCATCACTCGCATACGCAGAATTTTGCAGCAGCTACTGATATTGATAGCATTGCCAACAGTGCAGATTCGCCGCTGCGCCTCATTTCCTTTGATCTGGACGATACATTGTTTCCAACCACTGATGTCGTCAAGGCGGCCAACATGAAAATGTTGGATGCCTTGAAAGAACGAGGGTGTGGTCAAGTGGCACTTCCCGACTATTTGGCCACCACCAAGACGATTCGGAAAGGTTTGGAGGCACCTAGCACCTATCAAGGGCTGCGCAAAATGGCGTTGAAGCAAACCTTTTTGAATGCTGGCATAAACAATGACGATCAATTGGACGCGTGGGTCAATGAGTGCTACCAAGCATGGGAGGACGAACGACATGCAGCAGCTCAACGATTTCTTTATGAGGATGCCATGGAAACGTTGCAAGCGCTAAGGGCGACCTACCCAGACGCTGCTATTGTGGCCATTACCAATGGTGCGGGGGATCCTTTGCAAATGAAAGAGACCTTGGCACCCTACTTTGATTTTACTATCAGTGGGGAAATGGACGCTGTCTTTCCTTATCGCAAGCCACACGATTTCATCTACAAGTACTCCCTGCAACACTATCAAGAGAAGACAGGTACCGTTGGAGATGACTCCTTTCCAACTTTGGGTGAATGGGTACATGTCGGGGATTGCTTGGCAAACGATGTCGGTGCGAGTGCACGATGTGGTGCGCAAGCCATTTGGTTCTGTCATTTGGAGGAGGACGAAATGATGGAAGAAAAGAAGGGAGACCCAGAAGGCAAAATGCAGACTCCCGAATGGAGTACGGCAACACCCGAGGAAGTGGCTGCGAGAAAGAAGCAAGTCGAAAACGGAAAAAAGTATGTTGCCGCTAGCATTCACAGGCTTTCGGAGCTACCTGACGCCATCAAATCAGTTCTCACAGCAAAGCGACCAGCTCTTCAAGATAATTAAGAATAGTATTGTAGCGAGATAAGCATAGATTGCGTATTTCTAATAGTCCTATCTGTTAGTAGTCGCAAAATAATCCATTTATCCTTAGTTATTGTTGAGATGATGCCCTCACCAAAGCCAGCAAGAAGCCTATTGACCGTTGCCATGTTTGTCCATCGTCTTGAGGTTGCACTCGCGACTTGGGCTGTCCCTTGGATGCCTTGCGGTACTCTTCCACCTGAGCTGTTCGCAAGGAGCGGGTCAAGTTCAATGCCTCTTCGCGTAAGGATGGATCAGTGTCACTGATTTCACGAAGCATGGTTCGCAGTCCGTCAACGGTCTTGGGAGCCTTGGGTAGCAATAGTCGCGAGGCCAACAAGAAAGTACGCTCGTCAAAGCTAGTGCTAGTTCCATGCTCCTGTAGTAGCTCGTCTAAAGTGGACAAAACGTTGCCTCTACCATCCTTTTGATAGGAGGCCAAGACTATACTCTGTATCGTTTGAGAACTGGGTGGAAGATTCTTTTCTTTCATTGTTTCAAACAGTTCAAGTGCGCCATCCCAAGACTTCGATCGAATGTGGGATAGGATCATAGCATCGTAGGAAGCAGTACCCGGAGTGAGTTGTCTCTTACCAACCAGCTGCTCCATATTCTCAAAAAGTTCGTTCGCTTCTTCTATGCGATCGTTCACCACCAAACTGTACAAAACTGCCCCCACTATTTCTTCACTAGTATAGTAACGAGAGATGCATTCATTGGATGAGATTGGGTACGCACTCAAGGAACCCATTCAAAGAAGAAAAAACTTACCTCACATCCATATCACTCTCGCTCATAGCAAAGAGAGTGTCTTTTGCGTCGTTTGCTTGTCCTGCTCTTGTGTAACACAAACAAGCCAGACCAAAGACATCTGATTGAAGCTTCGTTGGATAGTCATCCTTTATAGCTTTGAATGCATCCAATATTTGACGACCGCTTTCTGCATTTCCCGAACGAATACACACATCGAGACTTCTGCGAAAGACACCTTGTGGAACAGATGCAACTTCTGGGATCGGATTGCCTTCTCCGTCAAAAGATTCGAATCGTCCGACCGGAGCGTCTTCAGCGTTCGCACTTTGCCTCGATATCATTTCAGCCATTACCAACGCATCGGACATCGCTTCAGCCATATCCAATCCTTGCTTCAGTAGCAATGGATCAGGTACATACTCTGGGTACAATCCAAGAAACGAAGCAATGGCTCGGTCGAGGTCTTTCCAATTGGATGCACCGGATTTAGCCTGCTTCCAAAGCCGTGTGATCAATTTTCTCCATATCTTCTTCTGAGGCTTATCCCCATCTCCTTTGCATCTTCTTTCCAAAATGTCCAAGATATTCAACATCAAAGGAGTGGTATCAACGAGGTCTCCTCTTCTGGATCGAACCGGCCAGTTGCAGAGCGAAACAAATAGTTTTCCCTCTTCCTCACTACTCAGACTATGTTTCTACAACATGAAACCAATGTGGTTGGATCAGAGACTCCGAGCAATACCCACAATGCAAAAATAGAACCTTTCTTACCTCGTGCACTTGATTCAAAAGGCGAAGAGCTTGTTCTTGAAGGTTTTCGTTCTTCATCATGTCAATCATCCAAATGTAGGAGGCCACAGGTGGGCGGAAAGTTTCGTCTTGCTCGAGCGCAGATCTGAGTATGTCGTGGGCAGAAATGAGATCGTTCCTCTCGAAACAGACTTCCATGCAGTTCAGATACACCTCAGGAGTCACCTCAAGCCCAGATTCAAAGAAGCCTTTGGAAAGCTTGAGAGCCTCCCCCGATGCACTGAGACGTCTGCTTAGCGCGAGGAGAAGGATTCGATATGTGTAGATGTCAGGACCACTTTCTGCTTGTCCGCTAATTTGAAGAGTCTTCATTTGGTCAAACAGCTGCAAGGAGTTATTGAGAATCGCGTCCACCGACTCGTCAACAGATGTTACCATATATGCTAGCAGTAAATTCGACTCTTCTGTGGTGAGAATGTACTGATTTGCTTCCATATCTTCGAATAATTCACTAATCGTTGCCGTCCGCCACGGTTCTTTTTCTTTGGAATCTATTAATTCGGACAGCGTCGCTTCAGTCAGTGCAGTTATCTCGTCAGTGGACCCGTCCTCTTTCTCTGTTGATACATCATCGTCATCATCCTCCCATATTGCACTCAAGTCCTCCAACGGCTCTTTAGTGCTCAATTCACCAGTAGCGATCTCTTCGAGTTTGGCATCAGATTGTTCCACACCAGAATCGAATGTTGTATCCAGCACGTCCCAGTATTCACTACGCGACGCATTTAGAAGGGCTATGGCTCCGAGAGCAGCGTTAAGACTCTCGAAACCTTTTCGCTGGCTCATGTATTCTTCTTTCGCGTCATTCAAAATCGAGTCAATATCCAGCGATGATTCAGAATTTGCCTCTAGCCTTGAAACGTCATCAAGTTCTGCAATTCTGCCTTCCTCATCGAGATGCAAGCCAAATATGGGAGACGACGAAATCACATCCTCGGATGAATCCTCTTCAGAAGCTGTTATGGATTCGTCTGTTTCTTCCTCAGAATTTGACAAGGGGTCTTCAGATGATGACAACATTTCTGGATGCATGAAAGGAATGCTAGCTTCAGCCAGAGCTTCTTCCCATAGTTCTTCAATTGTCAAGCTGTTCTTCATCGTATTGTTTCGTCGATAATTTCTCCCCCTTTCAATTGCATTCAGCTTCCGCCATCTGGTAGAGAGATTGATGGTTCTCCCTCTTTTGGTCAACTTGTTGTCGAGGAATCCAACAATCTTCTGGATATTGTCATTGGTTTGTTGTGCAAAAGCTTCAAGGAGAAGGTCTTTCTTTTGAGAACTGATGCCATCACTTATCAAGTCCAGATCTTCGCCTTCAGAAGAAAACGCAAGGACACTTGACGAAAATGGTCGATAATAACTGGTCATAGTCCTACTAATTGTTCTGAGTCTTGTCGATGAACAGCGAGATGGACATTGAAGGGGGGGATCCAGGAATTGCCTTCTCGCCATGTCACAGCGGCGACGGATTCTTGTGCGACTACCGGTGCATAGATTCCGACTACCTGACCGCAAGTGTGGAATCATAGTTGACGTTAGAAGATGTTTCCGTTTTAGGAGTTGTGTGGGAAATGAAATGATGGGTGGGTGTCAATTGTGACTAAGTTATGTCCTTCAGCGTCTGTCCTCCGCACTCATATGAATACATCACGACGAGACTGACTATCATTTTTCGACAAACAAAGAATTTGCAGGATTCATCATGGATAAGGTGAAGGGTAATGCAAGCAAGGCCTTTTCTGCCGGGCTCGGTAAGGTAAGACACTTAAATGAAGTCAACAGATCCCAATACTGAAGAGTCTGACGCTTTTCATTTGACAGGGCGGTCGGGGAGCTGCGTGGTAAGTTGGGTTTGGAATCATATTGATCTCAAATCTTTCGTAGATCTCTCACCACCCATTTCTCGTTCTATTTGACAATCCAAAGGCTGTTAGCCGTTGGTGTAGTTGCCGGGTATACATATTATGAGAACATGGATAATGGATCGGTCTTTTCCTCCGAGGAACAAAAGAAGTGGAATTCTCAACTGAAAGAAGCAAAGAAAGAGGAGCCAAAGTAGAAGCTAGTGTCACTTGTAAAAATGTTAAGGATCCTGTGATAAAACATAATGATTCTGGACCCTGAATCTTACAGACAACGAACTCGTCCGT